ATAGTACCTCGTACGAGCTCCGTCAGCGTTTTCAATTCTTTATGATTGGAACGTGCGTCCGTTTTTTAGACAATCGTGCGTGGTGTGAAGCGTCCATTGCCGTTGTGTCGCTGTCCTTGAGATACGAGTGCGTCGTATGGGGTCAGTTGATACTTCATGTGAGCGAATATGCAGGATCGGAAGTTCGTCGTTTTTTCTCGTCCACTCCGTCATTAATTTGGGGGGTGATATCGTCTCACTTGCAGTTTGGGGGAATTGCAATTGATAATCGACTTGTGGATCCATGCACTTTTGCATTGTTCACACGGTTTTGTTCATGCCCGATTTAGTCTAGTCGTTTCGTGCGGTGGATTTTTATTCCGTGCCGTTCGTCCGTGCGGGAGATCACATGTTGCCTACAGCGCTGAAGCTGACTGCGTGACATGTTCCGTACACCTTTCGTTATCCGCACATCGTTTCTCGCGTGTCGTACACTGCGAAAGAGTAGATGGGTGTCTTGGCCGTGCAAGAGGAAGCACAAGAGGACCAGACCTTCGTCCCACTACTGCGTCAAATCCATGCTACAGCATATCGTTTGCTGTACTCGTAATCACCATTCGTCGTCGTTCGTCTATGCAGCGCCTCTCATTTGCGTAATCGCATGAGAAGGTCGTATCGTTAGCTCTCCATGAGCTGTGCACATATGTTCGTTCGTTGTTGCAGCTGCATATCGTTTGAGCAACGTTTTCCCAGCGGGTCGACCCACGTCATTTGCCATTCGACACTTGTGAACTTTAAGCCTTGCAAGCAATCGTGTTTCACGGGTGCAATGCCAAATTATTTTTCGTTGCTGGATGTTCGTTACGTGCAACTACAAAATAGTTCACGGCGTTGTCTCAAGGTACTACTCGTACAGTTTTTTTTTACACTATCGGAACAAGACGCGCACCGAAGTGATGTTTTTTCTGTACATCCGTCGTTCGTTCGTACGGTATATCACATGTTACCTACAGCGCCGAGGCGGACTGAAGTGACATGTTCCGTACACCTTTCGTCATCTGTGTAGTTATTCGTTCGTCGTACGGGAATAGTTGCCAAAATTCCTGAATTGCTCTCGTGCAAACTGTGGTTGTGACTGCATTATGTACGATCGATGCTCGGATGAGACATTTTGGTGACACGTTCCAACTTTTATGACTACAAAACACAGAGCATTCGTTGAATGATGGCAGTCGCCGTACGTTACGGCCCAAGTCATTTAACTCGTGTTTTTCATCAGTACTTCACAATTTCGTACACTCTGGGTTATTTATGTCATTCTTGTATCTTTCAATCCGGATTCAGGCCCCGTGATTGAAGATAGGGGGGTGCTGTGAATGCCACCTCAGACTGTAGTAGATTGTGACGTCAGATGACCTGTCGGAGATCTACCTTCGGGGTGTTGCCACAGATAGAGTCAGTGTCGGATGGATGCTGAACCTTGCTTCAACACAAGGTTGCTCCCCCCCTTGACTCACAACACAACTATCCGTACTCGTCAGCCTCTTCACCAGAGGTTGAACCGGTGTGTATCCACACCACACATCCCAACGGGAACTTGTTCACACGCGAACCTGGAGACAACAGTCTCATAGTGGCGTCAGCGGCGTTACGTGTGCTGCTCGAGTTCCTAGTGCGGTGGTGGCACTACTTTGCCGCCATGGCCAAAAAGAAAAAAAAAATGTCCGAAGAGGTCCTCCATCCTGGAGCGTGGTACACTGATGATTTATACCAGTGATGCCAGCTGGTGCTAAGTACAAAAACATCTGTCTGTATAGGTATCTTACATTTTACAATACATCCCCTGTAGTTCTCTACTGGGTCAACGACAAAACATCGGGGAGAAACCCTACGTATGTACATGGCTGCTGCCTTTTTGGCCTTGAGCTGATCGTAGACTGTGTTTGAGAAAAAGTTCCCCCATGACTCACTCATGAGAAAACTTCTATGACGTCACGTGCAAGAGGTTACCGCTGCTGGTCTGATGATGCATAGAACCCCACAGACCACACAAACCTTGGGCAACCTTCTTTGAGGGAAAGATCTAAAAATACAAAAATACCCAAAAATGAAAAGGCGATTGTAGTAAAAACGTCTGTGGAGGGAAACGAATGTTCCATTTAGCCTTGCTCCCATCCAAATTGACCCTGACGTCTGTTCGCTGCGGGCGAGGGTCATGCCCTACAAAATGTCCACATGTGACTTGAAAAGTCCGAATCTGATTTGAATGCCCGTTACCTCGGAACGATCAATTTCTACGGTCATGAAGAGCTACAGCAGTAGTAGAGGGGCATGCGGGTTGCGTGTGTGTGGTGCTGAACACCTTCATGCAGCCTTTTGCAGAAGGCTGCCGTATCCATCACCATCAGCCGTCTGTAATGGTTTACGGTTTACACGCACATGTGTACAGGGGCGGCGCACCCTCGGCCAACAAGCAAATTTCAATTTTCGCGGCGAGGCCGGGCCCGAAACACCCGACACAATGGTTGGCGCACGAAATTGCAAAAAATGCCTTTTCGGTTCCTTCTACAACAACGTGGCTGACAACGAATGGGCTATTTGCACCTCTGGTTCGGAAGGAGGGGGAGAGTTTAGTGGGCTGAGACATAGGGCTCGCGATAGAACGGCGAGTCTGGACAAACACCATGTTAAGAGTGCCGTTGGCTGTAAACTCTTCGTCTCCACCAGGTCTGATTGGAACAATTTTTTGGCCCTGTGGAACTCTGGAATCAAGCAAGTGACAACCATCGGCGCGGTTGAACAAAATACAAACCATGACCGATCATCACCATGAAATATAAGTTCATCTGCTAGATGTTCGCAGAGATTCCAATCAGCCCGGTGTGGTGTGGACGCTCGTCCATGTGGGTTTCGGGTCAGGTTCGGCCGTAGAATCGAGAGTCGAGACTCCGTCACGTCACGGGTTCGATTAACACCGCTACCTGGAGAGGCTGATGTGTCTTGGGTGGTGGTATTGTTGTTGTTGTTGTTATACGGCACGCCAGAGGAGCAGATGGGGAAGGTTGAACAACCAAGAGAAAAAAAATGACGCGTCGACTTGTGCCCTGCTGCGCTCCTACTAACTGCTTTACCGTCTTGGCCCTGCGTCTCACCGTGAACGACACTCGCTTCGTCGCCATGCGCTGTTGTCGCCATGCCTTAAGCTTGTCCTCGTCGGTCCCATGGACCTCGACGTTCCTCGCTTCGTCTCTGCCCGCCTCCCCACCATCCCCCTCCCCCTCCTTCTGTTGACGCTGGTGGTGGTACCGGGTCCCGGGTGCTCTTGCCTCGAGCGCTTGCGCGCGTGAAGGCTCCCGCACCCCGGCCGCCTTGATCGCCACGGGCTCCGACGCCCTCCATCTCTGCCGCCCACCCGCGTCCGGGCGGCGTGCGGCCCACCCGGGCTCTAGGAGGGGGCCCGGGTCGTGGTCGTACCGGTCGTTCTCTTCCCCGCTCTCGTCGGCAGTGCGCGGAGTTGACAGACTGTCATCCGTCGAAGAATGGCTTCGACTCCCTCTGGTGTTGTTGTTGCTGTTGTTGATCTTGCCGAGGTGGGCGAAAAAGTCCACGATAGCCATGAAGACGTTGCCCTGGTGCTTGACCTCGCCGCCGCCTCTCCTCTCATCGCCCTTCATATATCTGTCGTGGCCCGCTACTGCTGCTGTGCCCTTCTGATCGCGGCTGTTGGCCGGCGGCCTAGGGTCGGCCGATATCATCACCTCGTCTCTCATCCACTCTGAGCCCCCGCTGCCCCGTTTACCGTAGTTCGACGGAGCCATGCACTGACTGCGGTAGTACCGCAGCAAAACGCCTGGACAGATGACACAACCAAGCTTGTCGTGGGTCTCGTCTCCACGCCGAAATCTTGAATATCGTGCACCTCGCGCCAATAGTCTCGTGGACTACTCTGGCTGCTGCTGTGTGAACGACTTTATGTAAAGACTCTGGCTCTGGAGCGCAGCTCCATTCTCTCTCCATCTATCCCTCTCCCGGTGCCTAATTTTGTTTTGATTGGCTGACGGGTGGCCAGCTGTTTCCAGCTTCCAGCGCCGGCGGAGCAGTTCTTTGTACTTGCGTGTACCTATGTGGTATGTGGTGCCTGCTGTGCTTTGAAGTGAGATCCCCGGTAGATCTGGTTAGGAAGAGGGTGGCGGTGGTAGGGCTGTGCCCGAGGCACTCCCTTGAACACCACAGCAGGGCTACAGTAGATGGCTACATGTTGATGCTGTGCAGCCACCATTCTGTGTCGTTTCGAAGACGAATTCCGTAACGAAAGAACATCACATACATGCGTTCGCTCGTGGTCTCCATCCCATGCGCATCATCACCACCACTACACGTACAGCGATACAATAGCTCTTCTCGCATACATCTTGTTGTTGAAGTATTGTGTGTGATGTATCAATTATCAACGGTGATTTGTAGATCCTCGCGGTTGGTGCTTTCCCACAGAGGAAAATAACGAACTGGTGGTAGCAATCGGGACCGGCGGTCGTCGAAACATAAACAAACATGCGCCGTGTGGAAAAGTATTTGAATTTCGTGGCTATCGTCGATCTTTTACAATCATGTCGCCCGGGTGGTCAGGGGTTCGAATCCCGGCGTAAGCGAGCTTTTCTTGCAAAGTGAGTTTTTCTCTCGCCTCCGCTTTTGGCCCATAGTGGATAGCGCTAGTTCGTGTGTACACAGAGGGAAGAGAGTGCTGAACTCTTCTCGGATTAAAAATCGAAGGCAGAGTATCGCAGGAGGGAGGGTAGAGAGGGGCTCTTCTGTGTGGCCACGGGTTGGGAGTAAACGGCACTATTAGTGCTGTGAGCGCCGATTTGAAGTGACGACAAAAAAAAAAAAAAAATCACACACACGTATCCCGCACCCACGCGGATCTGTACGTATTATACACCACGCACGCTCGCAAGCCTTCGACACCAAAGCATTAGCTAGGGTGTGAGAGCCGGTTCTTCAGTGGTTTTGCGAGAGTATCAGAAGTTTGCAGTTGCCTTGCTCCGAGCCCTAACCCTACCTACTTCTTGAAGCTGGAACGAAAAACAAGGATCTCACGTGAATCTTGGATCGTGATCCACTCTGCTCTCAGATTCATCCATGCAAGTGCAGCAGTTCGCCGCCTCCAATCAAATGCGGTCCTCACTGAGACTTGATATATAGACTATGCCTCGAAGCTAAATTCGCATCCATCCGAAGATAACCTCAACCATGACACACGGCACACACAGACGACGTGTAACATTTCTCGATCTACTCACGCCACCTAACGGGCATCGAATCATGTCTGTATACATACTCATGTTCGAAACAAGGAAACATCTTCGGAAACACAACAAAGGAAGCATGGTAGAGACAAGGGAACATTTTCGAAAACGAAGGGGAGCATCCCCTGTCCAGCTATGGCAGCACCCAGCGCCCAGCCTCCAGCCTGATACATCAGAACTTGTCCTTTCGTTTGCGACCTGTAAACTTGTTGTCGTCTCTGACGTCCCTCCCCTGCCGCCGCTGCTGGTCCTTCTTGGCTAACACCCAATTTCGGGTCTTGGCAACTTTGCCCTTCTTGGGCTTCCCTCGGTGTCCGCGCCTCTCTCTGCTGCCACCCTGTGAGCAACGAGGGAGCATCGCGTCGACAACATTCAGCAGATCGTGCTCGCACAGTAATCAGCGAGAGATTGAAGGGGTTGTTTTGGTTGTTCTTGGCCCGCATTGGCTATACACGATTTCGAAGAAATTGCAACAAGCACAAGCAGCAGGAAGAACTGAAGTCCTCGTCCGAACGTTTGACTCTGAACCACACGTTTTCTCGTCGTTTAAAACACCAAACGCGCTAAGGAAAAGCTCCGCACAGGGGGACGTCGTGCTGTTGTCGCTGCCACAAACGGGACTAGTGTATAGAGGGAGCAATCGTCGCCCTCAAAAAACCCACTCACATCAAACTTGGCCGCCGCTGCGCCGCCCTCCGGTTCGGCCCGCTTCGCCGCCGGTGTCTTGTAGCCATGCTCGAAGCTCAGGCAAAGGTAGTACTTCTTGGCCTTGGTAGAGTTGGGATAGTCAATCACCAGCCCCCCGGTGAATCCCGCCCTGAGGGACATCGGCAAGAGAAACCAACGTGATGCGAGAGTAGGCGGGGCATCGGCTGAGCATCAACCAATGGTAGTGTCACTTCGCATCTGTAGGCACTGAGGTTCGTTGTCGGTAACAACTCAGGAAAAATCGAGAGGTTCGGGTTCTCTGCATGGACAAGGTAGCCTCGTAGCTGCGAACACGCAGCCGACGCTCGCGGCGAGTGCACTTTAAACTTGGGGTTCTTCTATTCTCCCACCCATTGTGTTGATGATATATCGGCAGTCCGCCTAGACATCCACGCATCAATCATCTTCCACGCAGAGACATACACCTCTTTGCACTAGGGCATTCAGTACCCTTCCTCCGGGGGGAGCAAGCTCGAACGAACCTACCACGTACATGTACCGTGTCCGGATGGCGAGAAGTCTCTGTCCAATTGTCACCCCGAACGAATCGTCCTCTAACACTAACACAGGACCCTTCCCGGTTGCCACATGCACATCAACCACCCCATCTTGCCTGGCAGCACAAGAGGAGATGAGCACCGCCTGCTCGGTGCTATCCGGGTAAAACTGTAGCGCCGCTCTGGAGCCTCGCTTGAGTGTCGCGTACAGCGACGAGAAGAAACGGAGCAAACGGGTCTTCGCTACCTGCTCGCTCGTCTGCGCATAGCACAGCCACTGTCGTCGTCGTGGGAGGGGGCATCGAAAACGGGGAGGGGGCGACGGTAAGGCTAGGTCACTAAATGGGTGGATGTGAGTTCATTTGTTGCCTTCTTTCTGTCATTTGGCCATCAACACCAATCCCATGCCAGACGGAGAACCACTCCAGCATATTCTACTTGATGCAACATCGACACTGGCGTGTTCTTTCATGTACCTGCCAGCCACATTTCACCTAGGTCAAGTTGATATCCTCACCGCTTCCTCTTCGGCGTTTTGCGGGCAACATTTATCATCGTGTAGCGATCGCCTTCCAACCCTGGTATGGTGCTCAGATCTTTGTTTGTTGCCGCTATCAAAATCTTGGCATACGCGAGAGAGCAGCAGCCAATGCGACGGCCACACACGTGAGCAGCAGCACGCGAAACGATTCTAGACCCTGTTGGACAAACAACGATGGCCAAGCCGTTTTCAGACCCCAAAAGTGGGTGTCTTGGCGGTGGGCGGGTACAGTATACCGAACACTGGTCTGCTCGAAACACAGCTCTGCGATGCCAAAATCACCTGCAAAGCAGACACGCTGATGCAGCCGTCGAACGTCGCTGGTCGGAACGGTAACCCAGTGCCCATGTCGTGTTGACACAAGTCACCGAAACTGGATGCAATATTGCGGGAGAAGAAAAAGCAGCACGCGTCGAAAAATAAAGCTATGCATACAACTGTAGATACAGTAGTTGTGCACGAAAAAAGAAAATCTGTATTGTACGAGTGCATCGCGTTGAAATCGTTGTGGCGAGATAGCACAACTACGACAAAGTAGATGGCATCGCGGGAAACAGCGACAGCTGAAAAATAGAACATTTCAAGGACAATTGAGGGCGTGCTGCCACGATCACTGCGCAGACGTCTCATTGCATTCTATGCATACGGCGGGGTCTACTGCTGATGCAAAAGCTTGACGCGAATTTCATGTGATGTGGTTTCGCCACACTTTCGTTGTCCATGAGAGGGAGCCATGCTGTGACTTTAGTATGCCCACAGCAGGAGACACTTTCTTGACTGTAACGCACACGGAACGTCATCCAAGCACTAGTTCTGCTGCAAATCGTGGGTTCCACGACACTCACTCTGTCTCCCGTTCGTTCGCAACGTCGAGCATATCGCGGCTGATGTCTACGCCAAGCCAGACATGGCCGGCTTCTTCCAACGCTTCTCCGCTCAGACCGCTGCCGCATCCGACGTCCAGAATGAAGTACGATTGCCCTGGCTGGGGGCAACAGAACGGATTGGCAGTTTTCAAGTGCAGAAAGGACCGGGACGCGTAGTGTGAAATCAGCACGCGAAGGTGGGGCCGACAAGTAGGGTGGTGCGCGCGCCTGTAAAAGGCACGCGTAAAAGACACGCATGGTTTACATGGAGCAAAAAACCATGGAGGTAACATGTGTCGTGTACCGCGTGCGGGGCTGAAAGCGACGGCAACAGCGATACTGCGTTATATAGGGCCATGAGTTGTAGATAGTGTCCGAGTAATTCCATCGTGTCCATCACGTAGTTGAGTGCCAAACTCTGTCTGGCGCAGTGTCGAACTCGCCCGGCCCCACGTGGGTTATTCCAGTTCATGATCCAACATTGATCCAACATTGCTTCGTTTAGCAGTACTTCAGTACAAACTAGATGACACACTGCTCACGAATTTCACAATTGGAAGGAAACGATGTGACTACTGATGCGCTGAATATGTCACCAACGGCCCCAACAGGCTTGCTTCAGGGACAACGTACACGTGCACAACAACGAGACTGCTGCACGCGTGACGAACGTATCAACGTCAACGTGTACGATGGTCAGCATCTGTAGAGCTGGTACCCTGGTACGCTACATACAGCAGTTTAGTCTCCCCGCAGGCTCCAAAGCGCAAAGCAATTTCGGCACCGCGAATAAACAAAATCAACCCCCGAACTGCAAACACACATGAAGGAGTGTATATTCTTCGTGTTCCCTCCCTGTCGCTCTCACCGGTATGTTCAAGAGCTCGATGCACCGGTCCGAAATCTCCGCCTGAATCCCCACCATTCGAGAGTTGGAGTTGTACTTCTTGGACATCTTGTCATTGTAAAACAACTCCGGAGGAGTCTGCAGCTCCGGGCGACTCATCGTGGAGAGCTTATGAACAGCAGCAGAGGGTGAACTACGTTGGTCAAGGTACGTCGCTGTGTCGAGCTGTGGAGCCAGTGAGCAACAAGCGAGCGCCAGAGTGGACTGGTGCTCGGCTCTCTGTCGAGAGCGGCTCCGCGCATGGAAAGTGCGTTGGCATATATACGTGGGCTACGGTCTTTCGCGTTCGCGTAGCCCCCTTGGTTGCGGCGTTGCACACCGGGCACAGCAGGGTGTTTGTCTTGCTCCTCCTGTCTCGCTCTCCATTGCTGCGTGTACGGCAGCACCATGCGCCAAGCTGCGGGGTGCTCATTGTTGGCACTGCTGGTGCAGGGGCTGCTCGCACCATCCACAGCGTTTGTGGCGAAACATGCCCCCACGGCAAAGAGGCTCTCGCCCCGGGCGGCGAAACTACCAGCTCGAGTTTCTCCACCGAGACAACGTCATTCAAGAGCCTACCGCGACAGCAGGCGTAACGGCAAGGCCGGGGGGTTATCGATGGCATTTGATATGGGGGAAATGATGGAGCAGTTTATGAACTCAGTTAGCGGTGGTGGCGGCAAAACCGGCGGTGGCGGGGGAGAAAATGGCAAGCGCGTTGTGTACGACGCTGCGATCGTCGGATACGGCCCGGCAGGCGGCGTGATGGTGAGTTGGGCTTGAAGGTTCACCTGTAGATGCCAAAGAGGGTTCGAAGTTGCAAAGTTGTTGATGATTTGATTGAGGTGCGTGAGGGTGCACACCACCTTCTGTGTTCTTTTTCGTGCACACACAGCGGAACAACAACATGTCTAGCTAGACATGTTCTGCTTCATGCGTCATCGCATGAAGGATTTGCAAGGCGCAACACAGCAGCCAGCTGTTGTAAAGGGGGTTGTTGGGTGGCTTGGTGCGCCCGGCGCAGTTGTAGACGGCAAAAATAAAAGAACCGCGCGGCGAGTTTGCCGGCAACGATAAAATACAGTAAAACTGCCCACGGGTGTGGTAACCCGCCGCATCTATGATGTTCCGGAGCGTGATAGCTCTGATGTGTTGACGCTGGTGCTGTGATAGCTGTTGTGATGGCGTGATAGCCTAGAGGCGTGAAAGCCTGGCAGCGTGATAGATGGTGGATAGGTAGTATGGGCACGGGCGTGATAGCCCAGGGCGTGATAGCCGGGAAAAAGGAAGATGAATAAATCAAGGGCACGTGGCCAACACCGTTGCTGACACGCATACCCAGAAAACAATAATATGTGGCAAAGATGGTACCACCATTCCCCCAATTTATTACAACTGCGGAACCCCCAAAATCCCCCGCTCCATCTTCTAGGAACATTCCTCGGTTGCAATAATCTGTCAATGCTGTGAGTACATCCAACAGCCCCCCTGCTCGCTGCATTGTCAAGATTATACCCGAACTTGCTTATATTATGCATCACACGAAACCCATCCCAAAAACTCCAGAAATCAATGTCATTGTGCAACAGTCGTTTCTCCTCCCATCCTCTTGCAACAACCATAAACCATTAAACCAGAGAGACTAGTTCGAACTTCCATTTGTCGCAAACGAACCAGAAACACCTACTACCAGAATCTCCATCGGTCTCCATTGTATCCAGAATCTCCAAAGATCAAAACATTCACTAAAAACCATTAAACCAGAAACACTTGATTGCAATTCCCATCGGTTCCAAACCATTAAACCAGGAACACCACCAACAATTTCCATCGGTCGCTCATGAATTTCAAATTCCCAATATCAAATCATCCAAAACTCAAATCGTGGAAACAACCGCAATGGGTTATATCAGGAACAAATGAAAACGAACACAAATGCAAACACATCCAACACCGTCCGGGACAAATCACTTTCCGAGGAGACTTCAAATCCACACGTAGCACAAGAATCATGATTGCACAAAAATGCTCGACTCCACAATAATACCTCATCCTCATAACAACACGAAGACCATTAATACAAAAAAACCCTTTCGAGTATTTTCTATCGGCCAATCTTGAATTCAATGTCCAACAAACACGATGAAATTACAAACCAGAATACCTCAGCAACATGGGAGCAACACCAAACCTGCCTCAGAAACAAAATCTCCTTGAAACATGTGACATCGCTACGTGCCCTGCCTGCGTGGTTGACAGCGCGAGGTACATTGGAGTCATGGAGTGCTACAAAGATAGGCCCCCCTTCTTCTTTCATTATTTTTCCTCAAACACAAACAAACCTCCGTTCGTTCAGTTTCCTACAATACCTTTTATTTTCTTCCTGCATACCCTACCCATGCATGTCTGGCTGCGGCCCCCCTTCTCCGAACACCAGACGTGAAGGGATCAACCCTCTACTTGATAAACGCATCTTGTGACATTTGGGTACTGGAAACAACCCCAAAATCGCAACCTGCATTGTCAAATCCCGAACTCTGCAAATCGAACATCGAAAACAGACGAAACATTCCATTCTTCGTAACATTGCTGTAGTTAATTGTCATGACACACCAATTCCCCCCCCAATGACAATTGACAACAGCATCGAAGACATAGCATTTTATATAAATAGAGGGGTTACCCCTGGCCGATGGTACATGGAGAGGCGCGCCAAACACACAGGGGACAACAACAATGTAGATAGAGCCTTCTACCTAAAAAAAATGCCACACGCAGAAGGAAAAAACAAAAACAACAAGCACAACCATAGTAGCGGCCTTCGCGACATGGCCGCAAGGATTCAAACCAATAACCCTATTCCATCATCATGATCCTTTCTGAACAGTTTCAACGCAGCCTTCATGCCGTCAAATATTCTTGCAGGTGCAATTTCAATCGCAAAATCAAATCCGAAAGAACGCCGAAACAAGCCAAAACCAAAAACCAACCAAAAAAACAATTCCGGATCCACAAACCCGCATACATCTGTCACTAAACCGCCGTTGCCCGTGGTTTCCATCCCCGCTGGGCGATGCATCCTTCTCTGGAAATTATCTCAAACCGTCAACAGCACAGAACCATTCTCAGACAAATACCAAACAAGCGGCAGCGCTGCATCAGAAAAACATCGGAATGGGGACGGACAATTCTGAGGAAAACAGCTTCAAAGAGTAGGCACAAAAACTCAAACGAAACAATGTTACAATTTCTTGGACGACAGAAACGAGTATTCGGAAAGCACATAGGCCCTAACAATCACTCCTGCCAACTCCTTGCTCCAGTATAGTCGTTGAGCACCAAACTAAACAGTGCGCACACGCAAATCGGTGCCGCCGTTGCTGTCCACGAAACGGATAGAAAACTAAACAAACATATAGACAGCCCCCCGCTGTCACATCCCGAAACATACCCCTTACATTTCCAGAGTTCATGCAAGAACACTCCGCGAATATCAAAATGCCAACTAACAAACATGGAGACAGCCCCCCTGCAAAGGTAGCTGTTCATATGGGGAAACAAAAACAAATCGATTGCTGTTCATGCCCTCTAGAATCATGGTCACACATGACATCCCCCCCCCCATGATTCTGGATGTACATAAAAACAGCAACAAAGAAGAAAAAACCAGTGCAAAAGTAAAACGCGCTGCCAGAAAGAAAGGCAAAAAAAACTAAACTAAACACGAAACCCACATTGTTAGGTCAGACTCGATGTCGTCGCGCGATGCAAGGCGCGTCACGAGCCCAAACGGAGTGCCCCGCTCGGAGGGGCGACCCCCAGCAGGTTGTTCTTGATCTCCCACATGCACCCCTCCCAAACATCCTGTTCTCCACCGCCCTCCATCTCGTCGCCCCCCAGCTCGCCTTCCCCCAGCTCACCGGTCCGTATCATCCCAGGCCAAATCATCGGCTTGCCGTTCAATACGCGCCGTCGGAGATGGATGTGGTCCATCGGCCTCGGAGGTCGGCACCGATTTGCGTGTCGGCAACGGCGCGGCGGTAGTAACAGCGGCGGGCAGCGGAGCGGCGGTAGTCCTCGTCGCAGTCATCCGCGGGTCCGGCAGCGCGGCGACATCCGGCGAGGATGCAGGCGGCACGGGTGCCCCGGGACTTGGCGGCAGCGGCGGTGGTGCGGCGGCGGCGGCGGCGGCGGCGGCGGCGGCGGCTACAGGCCAAGGCGCAGCGGTGGCAGCGGGCTGCGAAGCGGCGATGGCCCCGGGTCCCAACTCCCTGGGGAGGGTGTTCCCTTGTTGCTTGGCAGTCAAACTCAAAACGGGTTGGGGAAAGTAGCCAGCGCGGTGGTGGAAACCGTCAACATCCATTTGTTCGGCACGACCCAACACAGCTACATCACACTTAGACGCAACACCTTCCCTCGCATCAAACATCCCCGCACTCGTCCCCGAGTCTCCCTGCAACTGCTCACCACCTTTGGGTGTTGACATCCTAGTGTGCCATACCGGGGCTTGAAAGGTCACAGCAGGCTTCACCACAGGAACCACAGGAACATCAGGCACAGACATACCAGCAACGGGAACACCAGACACCTCCCCATCACTAACAACTCTAATCTCATTTCCAGACACAGAATCAGACTCGCCTAGAGAATTCACACTACGTGTGAGGAAGAGACGAAGAGGGGCGCCACTTGCTGGAGGAGTGTCGCCCGGAGGTGGAGAGGGGGTCGCCGTCGAGGAGGCAGAGGTCGTTGGATTAGCGCCGATGTACTGCTGCTGCTGCTGCTGCTGCTGCTGCTGCTGCTGCTGCTGCTGCTGCTGCTGAGTCGCCGGCTGAGTAGCGGTGCTAAAGGCCTCGTTGAAGACTCGCTGCTCATCAGCGTCGGGCCCTGCAGAACGGGGACAGAACGGGCGGCCCCGACCCCAGCTTGCCCCTTGGTCGAGTTGGTGCAGCTGCTCTCGATATGATCCGCCCGACAAGCGCCCCGATTCTTGCCCCCCGGCCTGAGGAAAACCTGGTCCCCTCATACCGTCCCTCTCGCGAATGAACGCCATGAAGTCGTTGTAGTGGAACAAGAAGTCCTTGCGAAGTTTATGGCAGTCTGGGGTGTTGTGGGAGGAGTTCGCTCCGTGAACCTGGCAGAAGAAGGCACCTCTCTGCTCATGAGATGGTCCGCCATCCGCTCCCGCAGCAGCTGCTCTCCTCATGCCGCCGTCCCGGCCTGCGCCGGCAGCGACGGGCGCATGCCTCGTGTCCTCGATCCCCTCCCCACACCTCCGTTTGATCCTCTGCTCGTGCTCGACCAGCCTCAGCGTCTCTTCCAGAGTACCTCTCGAAAGCATGGGGTGGAACAGAATACGGTCTTTGACATCGTCGTACATTGGGAGCAAGCCACGTGCAAAGTGTCTCGACATTAACGTCTCCTCTCGATTGTCCCCACAAGACTGTAATTGCATCCACACAGTATTCGCCCTTCCCCAGTAGTCGACCAGAGTCTCTCCATGCTTCTGTCTAAGGCAGTTCCAAGTGCCGTCCAGGATTTCTCTCTCATGCGTCCTGTTTGTAGTGTAGTAGGACTGAAACACTCTCCACCCTGCTTGTGGACTCTCTGAAGCTAGTATCTGGTCTAGTATAGGTTGAACGTTGATTTTCGTGATCAAGCACATCCAGACTCTCGTGGCCTTTCGAACACTTTCATCGCCATACCTCTGCCGCAACCAAGTCTTATCGACGTGCAACGACCCCACAGGAATCTCTTCTCCTCTCATGATCTCTTCAAGACCCTCTGCATCCATCCACCCTGAGAAACAACTCGTAAAAATTCGGAACGCGACAGTCACACTTCGATCCTTCAAGAAAGCATCATTCCACTCAGGTACTTCGACTCTCTCTCTCAGCTTCAACTCTATGGGCTGGGAACTAGACGTGCCTGAGCGGACGTCATGTCCCGGAGTCTGGGAGGCGAAGTTGGCAACCCGGCGGAGGAGGTCGACAAGGGCGATAGTTGGATCTTGTTCCCCTCCATCCGCGGCTGCTTTCGTTCCTCCCTGCTGGTCCACATCGGGGAGGTTCAACGAACCTCGTCCTTCCCCCCCGTTGTCTTCCCCGTGGGGAGAGGAACTAGTCCCTGGTCCCCGCGGAGGTCTTCGTCCATCTCCTCCAGCCGTCTTATTCGCGCAGACACAGCAGCCACTTTCTTGATCTATTACGCTAGCGTGTTGGGTGGCTTGGTGCGCCCGGCGCAGTTGTAGACGGCAAAAATAAAAGAACCGCGCGGCGAGTTTGCCGGCAACGATAAAATACAGATAAACTGCCCACGGGTGTGGTAACCCGCCGCATCTATGATGTTCCGGAGCGTGATAGCTCTGATGTGTTGACGCTGGTGCTGTGATAGCTGTTGTGATGGCGTGATAGCCTAGAGGCGTGAAAGCCTGGCAGCGTGATAGATGGTGGATAGGTAGTATGGGCACGGGCGTGATAGCCCAGGGCGTGATAGCCGGGAAAAAGGAAGATGAATAAATCAAGGGCACGTGGCCAACACCGTTGCTGACACGCATACCCAGAAAACAATAATATGTGGCAAAGATGGTACCACCATTCCCCCAATTTATTACAACTGCGGAACCCCCAAAATCCCCCGCTCCATCTTCTAGGAACATTCCTCGGTTGCAATAATCTGTCAATGCTGTGAGTACATCCAACAGGGGTCGATAGCTTGTGTGGCATCGAGAGGACAGGGTTCAGTACTGCCATAGATGCAGTTATCTCTCGTGTTGGTCTTCTTTCGTGCCTGTTGCTGGATCACCTCTCCCAAACCATGAAGCATAAAAGCATCCGGCCATACAATACTGGAGTAGACGACAACCTGTCCCAAGGAGGTTATTTGACTCAAGATGGTTTTCCTCCCCCGGAGGTCCATCTCTAACCAAACCAATCCTCTTCGGGACAGCCTCGTGCATGTGCATGTGATACTGCTAACCATGAGAGAGTCGGCACAGGTTGTTCGAGTCAGCACGCGCTGAAACCTGATGCGCAAGCAGTGAATAGGTGGAGGTGCTTGGGCAACAGGGCTGCAGGGCGATTCCCACGACGTAGGGTCGCTTTCCACGATCGATATATCCTCCGCGATACGCGGTAGGTGCGGTAACCATGGGTATTGCGTTAGGATCGAGTGCAGTTAACGTTGTACCAACAACGACCACAACGACGATGTTTGTTTGAGCTGAGTCTGCTCGACTTGCCTCATGCACGCTCAGGCTACTCTCCTGGCCGAGAAGCACGGCCTCAAGGTGTGCATCATCGACCCCAACTTGGAGAAGCGCTGGATACCGAACTACGGCGTTTGGGTGGAAGAGTGGGAGGCTCTCGACAAAGATTTGCAGGTACCCTACATTACGTGGTATGCCACTGTGCTGTATTTTGCTGCGCTCCTGTCAAGGTTTGAGTGTACCTGGGGCTGGTTTGCAGGTACATTCCGTATGCCAGGGTGCTGTCTTTTGCCGAGCTCTTGAGCGTACCTGTTGTTGAATCATTCACTTGTCGGAGAACCAAGCAGTGCGGTGGTGTCTCTTTTTCGTTCCGATCCATGTACAAGTATTCAATTTTGTTGGTGAGCGCCGCAGCAGTCGGACATTCCGCAACACTGCGTGTATCCTGCCCATTTGCTCTTTCTTGTCGGGGCTTGAACCTCAAACAACTGACAGGGCCATTCCCCATGTTGATGAGTTTTGTCGTGCCCACAAATAGCTTCCAGTACATGGCACACGAGACTTGACGCGATCATTCAGGCGCTGTGGGACAGCAGTGCAGTCGAAGGTGGACCGGCTTTGATTCATGTATGACGGCGATTGTGCACTGTCTGCGTATGACAGGCATCATTCGGAGCAGGCCTCTTCCCCAAGTGCAATCAGGGCCCTCAACATTTATACGGAACTGCTGCTTCTTGTGTTGTATCCGACAACAACTTCCGGACGTTTGTCTCACACTCCCCATCACACAATCGCTACAACGGCGCCTTTTCGCACCCGAAAAACCTGGTATTGTGAGAATCGAAATTCATACAGCTGTTCCGTGCCCTGTGGTAGCTGCTCCGTTTAACTGCGCTGCGCCTCTCCCTCCATACAGTGACCTTACAACCAGCCCATCTCTCCCTTCCCCTCCCCTCCCCCGCTTGATGATGTGAGAGCCTGGTCCGGTGAGAATCCAGCGTGCTCCGTCCCAGCTCTGTAGGGATGCGAGGTCAATGGTCTAATGACTACGGCATGCATGGATATGAGTACACCCCCTCCCCTCCCGCCGCTTCGTCCCTCCTTGCTTGAGATCGGGCTTGGGGACTGCCTGGACCGGACGTGGGAGGTGACCGATTCCTTCTTCGGCGGTAGCCACGGCACACCGGCGGATGAGCGCTGCCGCATCGACCGACCCTACGCGCGCGTGTCCCGGGACAAGATGCAGGCGAACCTCAAGTCTCGCCTCTCCGCTGCAGGGGTGACCAAGATCAAGGGAAAAGTGGATGCCAAGACGGTGAGAGAAGAAAAACAACACGAGAGAAAATAGAGAGAAGACGATATCTACACTCACAACGGTTCCTTGGACAAAAAGCGCGCAGGCAGAGAGCGCGAGCACCGAACAATAAACTAGCAATTCCATCCACCGCCCACAGCACTCCAAGCCTTCTTTGACGAAACACGTACGCAGTTGGAGCATTCCGCGGACGGGACATCGGTGTGCCTCGACGACGGGCAGCAGATCGACTGCCGCCTTTTGGTGGACTGCAGCGGCCACTACTCGGAGCTTGTAGAGAGGGTCGGCGAGCACAACCCGGGGGTGCAGATCGCCTACGGCGCCGAGGTGGAGGTGAAGGGTGAGAATTACGAAGAGGTTTTTCTAAGTAGGCAAAACATGCTGGATGAAGCATACTGGGGTAAGGGTTACGGTCTGCGTACCCCCTGCCTGATCTTTTTTCGTAAGAAACTTACCGTAGGTAGTCCGCGTTGGGCCATGACGTTGTTGCGAACATCGGAAATCGGCGTTGTTGGCGTGATGACGAAGACCTTGCACGTATAACGAGGCGTCACCGGGGCCAACCTCTTACATCGGGAACCAGAACGCCGATATCTCCTTGGATCAAAATTTCGAACCGCCCCCCCCCGCCGCCGTCCTTGCTCTCCAACGGCGTTTTTGCCCGGAACACCATGAAATATAACTGCACTCCCCGTACCGCACGAGCGCCGCCTCGTGTTTCTGCGATGTCATCGTTTCTGCATTGTTTCTGCATACATATCCAGGTTGCGTAAGATAACACACCCCCTGGACCGATTTTTCACAGCCCGAATACTCTACGACAAAGATGATGCCATAGTCAAAGAACATGCTTTCGCAAAGCTCTCCACGAGACGGCTCCAGTGCCGCCATTTTTGGCACCGTCTCCGTTTTTGCTACGGAGTAACCGAGCTTTGAAAATAGGCCAAGGGTGTGTGAGATCTTACATCATGCAACCTTCGGGAACATGCACTCCCTCCTTTCTGCTCTTGACCAGAAGGAGAGGCCGCCCGCCAAGATGGAAACCACTACTACAGCAGTGGTCCCGGAATAATGCTGGTGCGAAGAAGCCGATTTCACGGGCATAATAGCGGGCAACCGTCATTATTCAGAGTATGAAACGACTTCAAAATTCCATCTGTGCCAGACGATTTCACAGGCATTATTCGGGCAACCGGCATTTTTTGGGACCGCTACTGTAAAGTGCATGTTGTCAAAAGTGCCGCACCCCCTTAACCCCCGCCGAAACCCCCGTTCCATTCCGTTTCCAATACCCGTCTGGCCAGACGGACACGCCCCATACGACGAGAACGCCATGTTGTTCATGGACTACCGCACTGACTACGCGGACAAGGCGGAGCTCTCTCCCGAGGAGGTGAAGGGCTTGGACGACACGCCGACCTTCCTGTACGCGATGCCCATGGGAGCGGCGCCCAACGGCCAACGGAGGATATTCTTCGAAGAGGTGACATGCGCATATACAGAAAACAAATGCAGCAGCGGTATGCCGGTGTGTGTGTTTTGTCGAGAGCACGGTGCACACGTGAATTTGCCCTCAAAGTGAGGGAGGCCTATTAGTGCTATATGCGTCTGTGGTCGTTTTCCGGTTTTCCAGCAACACGCACGAATGTGAACGGGTGAGTCAGAGAGCAAGCATCGAGTAAGCACGGCATGAGTTTTCTAAAGCGGGTCCCATGCCCCCCAGCGACGCCTGTCTGATCTACTCGAGCAAATGGCCCCCAGACTTTGTTTTAGTCCCTGCGAGACACGTTTCGTTTACCCTGATCGAATCCACTATGAGTAGGTTTAAGTGGTTGGACACTCATAATTCAGGCTTGCATGAGGCCCCCAAGACTTACACAAACGCAAAGTTCTCTGATGGGTCGTGCTTGAAAGGGGAACAACCACACCAGGAAACGATCGGATATCCACAAGTTTTGCTGATACGAATCCCGACAGTAAACCACGAGATGATGGGCATTACTTGACCTTCAAGACTGCCAGGCTACACGTCATTTTAGTTTACCACCAAATTGTGGGCATCGATATCGTCACGCCCCCCCTCCCCCCCCCCTTTGCCTGTCCTCTGTCCGCAGACGTCGCTGGTAGCGCGTCCCCCGATCTCGTTCGACCTGTGCAAGGAGCGCCTGTACCGTCGTCTGAAGCACCACGGCATCGAGGTCACCAAGGTGATGGACGAGGAGCTGTGCTACATCCCCATGGGCGGCGCCATGCCGAGCCTCACCCAGGTCGGTCGGTCTTCGCGCTTGTCGAGCGGACGGGTTCGGTATGGTTTGGTTCGTGGTGTTGTCGTTCGTGTCCACCCCCCTGTGGTTGCGCTTTGACTTGGGCGGCTCACCTCTCGTACGTGTTTCTTGTTGCGTGCTCGATTGCCTCCGCGTTTTTTCTAGAGATGTTCTTTTTAAAGGGGAGCTGGTGCTCCTTCGTCGGACAGCTGCTTGCAGATGTGTTATAGAGCCGGGCGCCTGGTTGCCGAGGGAGCACCCATTTGTACGAGGCAGAAGGAGCACGTGCTGGTGAAAGTGGCAGAAGCGTAAACTATTGATCGTAGTGAGCACCGTTTCAACACAATCGTCTCGGCCGTTGAGTCAACCGTTCGAGTGCGACAAGAGTTTGTTTGCGATCATGTCTGTCTTTTGGGCTCCGCAGTGTTTCATCCAACACCTCTGCTGCCCGTTTTGTGGGTTTGGCCTGAAGTTTTTAACACCTTCCCTGCGATCCCATCTACTCGTGATTCTCCCCCGTCATGGTTGTGTTTTTGCCACACCCCGCAGCGAGTGGTTGCGTTTGGCGGAGCGTCTGGACTAGTACACGCAGCCACAGGGTACATGCACGTGAGTGGCTGAACCGTAGAGTATTGAACACAAGCAGTTTTTGCAGGCTGGAGGGGTGCGGGAGTATACGCACCAAATGACACGAGTAGTCGATGGAGTTTTTTTTTTCGGGGAGGGGGTTCCGCCGGCTAGTAGCGCGGCAATGTACGGTGTAAGGGAATGGCCCTGCGTAGCGCCTGTAACACCAAGGTTTTGTCGCACGAGGTGGGCAAGGGATGGCCGACGAGGGGGCCACACGAACGAATCTTAGTCCCCTGTTGAGATATGGTGTTGGGATATTTCTGCTGTGGTACGGGTTTTTGTCCAATCCTCTTGTATTTTCCAGCTGGTGAGAGTTACGGGTGCCCCCGTGCGTTGTCGACCACGGAAGGCGTCCGGGTCAGTTGGACCGACATGGATGCCAGACGGTGCTGAGCAGAAACCGGCAAGGTTTTTATTGTGAGGACACACCAACAACATCACCATGAACAACACCAACAACCACAACTATAACCACAACCGCAACCGCAACCGCAACCGCAACCGCAACCGCAACACGACGACAGCTTGACAGATACGGGTGCTAGAAGTTTCTGAGCAGAGACCGGCACGGTTTTTATATTTACAGCACAACCCCACACCGCAACAACCGAAAACCTTGAAGGTGCGCATGCTGGCGGCGTCGGGGGCAGTCTCGAGAGCCATCGCGGCGGAGCTCAAGAAGGATGGGCCCGGCACCTCAGAGGCAGCCGCGAGAAGAGCCTACCAAGCCCTGTGGCCATCCAAGGCCAAGCTCCAGAGGGACTTCCACGTCTTCGGAGGCGAGTTCCTGATGGCGCAGCCGGCGTCCACGCTGCGGGGGTTCTTCAACGGGTTCTTCAAGCTTCCGCTACCGCTGTGGGCGGTAAGAATGGGGTCTGTGGGCTGTTGTGCGATGTGTTCACGTCGGTGGTGTTGTTGCCGATGTTGTGTCAAGAGTTGCGTGTAGCTGTGCCTATTTCGTACAATGTACGGTCGATGCTGGGGGCTTGGTGCCTGTTGTTGGCGTTGTTGTTTGCATGCTTCATGTAGCCTTGTGACTGTTTCGATCATGGATTCAACTTTTGGGTTTGACGTTGTAGATTATTGCCCGTAGAACAGAAGAGAAGAAACCGCATCGAACTGCAAAATGTCGGAAACACAGCTTGTTCTAGGAACCGATGGGGGCACCGCAGATCTCCGGCCGTTTCGATCCCGGTGGCGTGGGTCAACGACGATACTATACGCCCTATAAGCGTGTTCGATACTGTGTACCAGAAGTTCGTGCTTCTATAAAATAGAAAGAAGCCGACACACCTACCCACATTCAACCACTCATCCGTGCTCTCGTTCGGTGGTGCACTCTTGCACTCTTTGTGTTGATCCATTATTCGGGTTTCAGTGTTCTGGTGGTGTGATCTGACAGAGCCGTGCCTCCACGCAATTCACCTGAGCTTTTTTGGTTTGTTTCCGCCCCTTCCCCTCGTTTTTCATTTCACGACTCCGGCAGGGCTTCCTATCTGGATACCCGAACCTCCCGCACAACGAGCTGCACCAGGACTGGCAGAGCCGCTTCAAATTCGGACTCCAGTTCTTCTTCAAGGTAACGCCATTCGCAACCCAAAGTTGGACCCTCCTCACGTAACTTGAACACGTCCGTCGAGTCCAGCTTGATTGGGTGGGTATGGAATTGTTCGTGTGATGGGTGGCACGCAGTTCTTTTGTATGTCTGACAGATATTTTCTCCGTCTGTCCTGAAATCGCAAAGCGACGTTTATCAGTGTTGATATTGGTGTTGAGGTTCATGAAATATCTCGCCTTTCTCGGACCAAAGTCTGTTTGGGCGTCGTGTTCTGTTTTGTGCCCCCACAGCAATCACACACGTCGTCTATTTTCCTCACGTCGCAGCAAATTGATCCCTCCGGGCATCTCACAGGCCAGCTTTCCGTTTTCTCGGCGCACGACCGACCAGCATTCCAGTTCACTGGAACGTACAGTACATTCTCTGTTCCGCCAATCAACGTCGTTCTTTGTTCTGGCACGCGGTTCTCTCTGCGCACGGCCGGCCAGAACCAGTCAAGTGTAGAGTACGCTCGACTTTCTGCTGTGACCCGTTCGACAGCATGCAGCCTGTCGGCCTCTGTCCTGTGCTCCCGCTGATGCCACGGTCGCTTCTTCGTCTTGCCCCTCGCACGCGATTCGTTCGTATCAATTTCTCTCACAACAGCCATCCCCACGCGTAAGCGAGATGTACGCTCACTCCCTGAGATGTGATCAGTTGTTATATCTGCAGTCATCCCACGCGTACAAAAATTGCGCTAGATCACAGCTCCTACAACAGAATGATCACCGCTGTGATCAGGGACGCAACGTTAACATTGGTTTGTGCTGAAAGGGGGCGTAGAGCAGTAGCAACGTGCGCGTCCTTCCGTTTTCCCGCCCAATCCCCTTTACGTTCTCGGTGCCGTCGTTATGTCGCATTTCTCCCCCTCGGCACTTAACTGCTGGTGCCGGTGCACAACGACAGTTGCCTTCTTCCGGATAACTAATCCCTTCCCCCGCCCCTTCTTCGTTGTGAACCCACGCTCCCATATTCCGCCACCGCGCTGTCTACAGCTTGCGCCAGCGGTGCAGTTTCAGCTAGCGCTTGCGGGAGCGTTGAGCGGCTGGCAGTACGGCCTGATCAAGGCCGTCACCCCCCTGGCGGAGGAAGAAGAGGCCAAGGACCTGCTGTTTGATGCCGAGGTGGACGCCATCCGAGCCGCAGCCAAGGCCAAGGGTGACGCCGCCAGCGGCGCTAGCGCGGAAGGGAGCCCCGTTGCTGACGGCAAGAAGAAGGAGGAGAAGGAGCGGGCGTTAGCAGCATGATAATAATGGTCGTAGAGGAGTGTAGCGGTGTTTTGTGCGTGCCATGGTTTCGGGAGGATGTTTGCGGGCGCACTAGGTGTTTAGAACTGGCGTCCCGATTGGTACGAGTTTGCGTGCGTTGTTGGTCGTCTGCAAACTTTTGCCACTGACAACCGACCGAACAAGCTCACGCGAAGCGATGTTCTTCGCGCCTCTCGAGAGAGCTCCCCCTGGGGAGCATGAACCCGCACCGTTTAACATACACCCCTGACACCCAGCTATGGCATGGACCCATGTGTTTCCTTCGATGGAGTCTTTAGTTTGGAGCACCCAAGGCGTGCGCCCGAGTTCGTGATTAGAGAATTCGACCCTTCGTGATCGCAATCATCGACGGTATACTGTCTTGTCATAACCTTTTGACGGAAAACTGTGTGTCGTTAGAAGGAGCATTGAGGGTGACGTTCCCATCGTTTGTAGACATGCCGTCCCTTCTCTCCCTTCTTGTTTTACGCTTGTACAACATTTGGCTCTGGGGCAAGTCGTGAGAAGTGTGCACGGCCGCGAAGGACAAGCGACGGCGCGTATCTTTCTCTTCGGTGGTGGCTGCTTGTGGATACAGCTCCTGGTATATGTAGGCGTGTGGGCGGTTGGAAAAATGGACCCCTCTGACTCCTCCCACGGGGGCGCGGGTAATTGGTACCGCAGTTGGGCTTGTGTCGATGTGGACGGAATGGCGAATTTTCAAACGACATGCCGTCGTAGGTAGCTCTGCCGATTTCTTTACCAAGGGGCGGCCGGGGCATGCTGCACTGAGGAGGGTGGGGTCTGACAGCAATATCTACATTTTTTTATTGCATAGAGGAGGAAAGCAGCCTGCGACGGCAATACAGTTCACGTCGCTTGGTACCTCTGGTAACAAATTTAGCAAATAGTGGTGGCTCTTGTGTGTTATTTTCTCGAATTGGCCGAATTTCGCGGAGAGGAACGGCTGTGCCTTTGGCCGCCGTTCCGTCTATCGGACAAGGGTGGTTGGAGTGGAGATCTTATGAGGAGGTGGAGTGATAGAAAGATGGAACAAGACGTTTACCGAGTAGTTTTCACCCGAAGAGGTAAAAAAGGTGGCTTCACGGCTCAGACTGCGGCAGCGGGGTAGTTGAAGCTGAGTCGACATGGAAGACACTCATTCCTGTGTAGTAGACGAGCAGGATAGCGTAGAAACGACGCACTTGCTGTATGTGTGATCGCGGCGGGAATAAAAAAGGAGCTGGCTCCAGACGAGGTAGGGCTACCCCTGGGCCATTGTGCCTTTTTAGTGGCAGAATCGACGTAACCTCTTCCTTACAATAATAGCGTTTCGGGCTGGGAAACATGCAATGGCCGAGTGTACGATCCCCGCAGTAGCAGTCGCTTGTCCACCAATCTTCGCTCCAAACTCGGCGAAGGGGCTCTGCAAGAGCAGCACTGACTGCGGAAGCAACTCGAGGCGAACCATGATAGCGACGGCTTTCCGCTCATTTTGCATCTCCCAATTGTGAAAGGAGATTTCTGGATGGCCAAATATCCCTGGTCGACCAGTGGCGTCAGTCACGGCGGCGTCACTTTTTTCGGAAAAATCCAGATATTTCAATCAGTGACCGTGGATGATGGAGAATTTGCAATCACGAATCTCATTGGGGACATGGCACACCGCAGAAGGAACGCGGGGAGAGCAATAAAAGAGAAAGACTCCCGCGTGGCCTAAATCCTGTGTGACGCAAGCTGTTGCTTCCAAACATCACATACCGAAGGCGTATCTCACGGGAGAAGTCTAGGTTGGGCTACATGTAGATGATAATACGCACACAGACACTATAGAAAAGCAGGAAGCGCTTGGGGGGTAGTATGTCGTCTACCGAGTAAGCTGGTGACGTCATAAGGTCCCCTGTTTGAGACGCTTCTGTTTCCGCCGCATATGCCTTAGCTTCAGTACGACGAGGAAGGCATCACCGCCCCATGTGGTCGCTCGAGCGTTCGCCGTTGTAGAAGATACTTTTAATAATACCGTAGTGGTCTCCAACAGGGCGTCGTGACGACATGTGCTAACGTGCCAATTCCCTACTTCACCCCCCGAGTCCAACCAACTGCGCACAAGTGTCCACCGTTGCTCTGCGTCGGTGCCTCGACGCTCTTGGTTTCAGGAAAACAGCCATCCTTGCGGAGGACGGTCGCACTGCCTTCGTATTCAAAAAATCACCGGAAGCGCTGTTACCGCCGAACTCAAACAATTAGAAACCATTTCCGAACAAACGCGCAGCCGGCGGCCGGCGGTGCTTACTTGCGAGCTTTCGACTCGCCGAGCCTGCGAGAGCTAACCGCCACGACAACTACAGGCGCGGGCTGCCGACATCACGAAAACACCCGCAACAAGGTGTAGTTTCAAAGAACGGTAGATCTCTGTACCGTTCGCGGCTTGCCGTCACCTTCAAACACTTCTTCTGGACGACACGTTTATTTTTCAGGAGGGGTGTACAACTCTGGGCGTCATGTCTAGTGTTCAGGGGAGGAGTGTAAAAATCTTGATGAATCTAATTTTCGGTAGCAAAGCGGCACGTCAAACACAAGCCCGCTTTGTCAACAACACACACAATAGGCACTAGATGACGAAGTTTGCGCGTCGAGCCGCGTACAACACAATACATGCTACGGCGACACCTGAGGAGAGAAGCAGGATAGCGCTCCTGATCCTCTTGCGGCCGGATCTAACCCTTGTATTCGCGAAAGAATCGTCAGGGCGTGCCACATCAGCACCAACCTCCCTATTCTCGTTCGCGTCTTTGAGGGAGAATACCTCTTGCGTAGCGGCCTTCAAGGCGGCCTCGTGCTCCGCGGTGAAGTGGAGGCGGGTAACCTCCGCTCCACTGTAGGTTGTGTTGTCCCCGGACAGTGGAGACTCGATGTCAGGCAGATCTTCTCCCAGTAAGCGCCTGCTTCATAGCATTATTGCCGGAATAATAGCGTTGATTAAGGAGTACTCACGACACAGCGGCATCATCGACCTACGCACGTACCAGAACAGGCCAAGGTGAAAACTGCGGCCCAACGACAGGGGGTAGTCTTCCGCCGCAGCTGCTCAGGCGAGGGGGATACGAAAACGAGTTATTGTGAAGAATGGGGCGTGAGAGCAATACCGCCATGCTCGACCCAACCCTCACCTTGTTTCCCTCTCACGCGCCAGGGTCCTTTCTATCACCTCGTACTTGGCCCAAGTACGCGACAGCTGAGCGTGGCATCGAGCGCTTTGTGAGTTTTCCTTTGTCGAAAACGCCAACGTTGATACGGTTGAGATGTACTCGATTTGCGCCTTAATTTTCCCCAGAGACAGAGGAAAGATTGCGCACGTCAGAGTTGTGAAGTGGCCAGAACAAAAATGCCGTGTGCATGTGCGTCAAAAGCCAAGAGTATCTCAAGGGGGTAATAATGTCGAAGACCGACAACTCCCATTGTACCTCTAGCTAAAGGCACCAAATGCCCAGAATTTGACGACAGGATACATTGTAAGAAGAATATATCCTACCTTGTGCTTCGTTGCTACATTGAGCCGAGGTCGAGGATGATTCTGCACGAGGGGGAATGGAGCACTCTGCACGATAGGTGGCAGTATCCAACCTCTTATTCCTATCATCTCCCGTGAACACAAACAATATAGTCAACCAGATCTGAATATTCAGTACGTTATCGGTTAAGATATCGTCAAATCGAAAAATAGCATCGTTGTCTCGCTCTCTGGCTGTGGAAAGGTGAGTGTTCGAACTTCAAGCTGTCACTGCGAAACAGACTCATTACATTGCACTCTACGTACACTATTGTAGCTTTCCGCAGTTCTGTCGCGCTAATGCAAGTATAGTATGTTTGCCTTGTCTTGGAGCTGTGTTGTACGAGAATCTGTTCCAAACCAAAAACGTCTTATCAATCAGACCAGTACGCCCCATGGCATGCGCATTCATTGTCATGCTCGTTTTTCCTTTTCATATTCATCTCTAAAAATTCATAGACTGGTTTGGTGTGTTGTTTCGGGTACACCCTCACCTCTTCGAGGAGGCTCAACCCCACGGACAAGGGCACATCTTCTGCCGTAATGCAGGCGTACACTCGATGTTTATGATCAACGATAACGTGTACAGCCAGCGCTGAACCGCGTGCAGTATAGCAACCTCCGGGAGAGACAGAGGAACTCGGCTGCGTCAGAACCTGTAGCAGGACGGCGCCCACGCGTGAGATGGAATGAATGCGTGAGAGGGTGAGAGCGAGTCGTGATCGACATCGAAGTTTCTTCTCGCAAAAGCGTACAGTATAAGAGGCCATATGAGAGGGAAAACTAACTACATGTACGACGGCATGTATGGCGATATTTGAAAGACTTGTAGACTAAAAGGTGAAGGCGAATGCGTAGGAGTAGAGATTGACGCACGCACCTCCTTTACCAGAGCTATCCTCTCGGTATCTCCTCCGAAAGGCACAAAGGTTGCGAGGCCCACCGCCACTCCGTTCAAAAACACACCAATGAAGGTTATCCGTGGCGCTTGTCTGCCGGCCTTCACAGCTGATAGTGCACGTTCTCCCACATCCAGCTTGCTGTGGCCACGATATTCCTCGTGCTGAGCACCTGATGCCGAGTGTGCTCCGCCACCTTGTTTCTTGTCGCCAAAATGGTGTCCGTCCTCACGATCCTTGTGAGAACGTGTTGAAGAACGGCCGAGGCTTTCTCTCGTGCCGCCAGCCGTAAATGGTACGCGAGGCAAAACGGACAGACAGCTCGTTGCCATTGCCTTTTCTGCTGCTGCTGCTGCTGCTGCTGCTGCTGCGGTTGTTCCATTTTCTGACCGGAAACCCGGACTAAGATGGGGTGTCGAAGTGGCACTTGTGCTACCGGCTCCCCCTTTTGGTGAGCGTCGTCGTCCTTTGGTAATGGAACTATATCGATGAGAGCGTTTTACATGTAGGATGCCTGTAGACGCCGGCAGCTTACTTCGTAGACGGGACAGTAGCGAGCTCGATCTACCGCCTGTGGCAGCAGTATCAGTGGTAGCAAGAAGTGGAGGTTTGTCGCGAGGTGCCGCCCCTTTGTCGAGGACTTCGTTCCCAACAGGGGCTTCCTTTGCCTCTCCCTCTCTTCTAGGACTTCGGAGAACCCATCTTCTTGCCCTGGATGACATCCTGTTAGTGTTATTGCTGTCTGTCACCCCTTATGACCAGAATGAATCAGGCATCTTCATTCGGGGGGGGGGAGAGATCTGGGATCTGGGACGTAAGGAGAACTGACGAACTGACCGAGTGTTCGTCACCGAAGTGCGGCGGGTTTTCTGACGCTTGGAAGGAATCAAGTGTAACCGTCGCGCTTACACTACGTAGTTCTTGGTGAAGAACTTGGGTGTCGGTTCGTCTACAGGCAACAGGCACACACAGCAGAACATCGAACAGGAGAAGAACAAAACCTCATTCGTCCTGAACCCTGCTCTCGAAAGATGGGTACTCCACTTGGACAAAAACACTCACCACCATGTACGTCGCATCTGACGGTGATCTCCAAGCATCTCTACTGCTTGCTGATGAGCGGTATGAAGAAATGCAGACAAAGAGGGAGTCACAAAGACTTGCAAACCGGAAGTCCACACGCGAAGCGATGGCGATCAGTCACTTGGCCGGGGAGAAAGCGTAAGACAACAGCGTGACAACGAAGCCAAACTCATAAAAATAGAAATATAGAATACTATGTAGTCTTTAGTCTATAAGTACGACAAACGGTCGCTACTCCAGAATATATGTTGTTCAACACACACAGCCGTTGACTACTACTGTAATACTATATACCAGTCTATTAGGCATCCTATACGTATTTTCTACCATCGCTCCCATTTTTTATTATCTGCAGATTTTGGTCTTGCTCCCCTGACAGTACAAGAAGATCTCCGACATGGGGCTAGACTATGCAGAAGAACTCTTCTGCGGTGCATGCCTCCGTTTCTGACGTGAGAAGGAAGTGTGGAGCAGGACCTTTACTGAAGCGTCTCATCACTTATTTTTTGTATCCTTGTGGCTGGCAACACGTGTTCGAAGTCTGCATGTACCACGCGCCTCGAATACTAAACTACCATGTAGGCTCCGCTGTGCGTCGAAGCAAGACAAAGAAGCGGGGATCCTCAAGCGTGCTCGCGAAAGGGACAGCTCGGCGGAGCAACTGGAGAGGGAAGAAATGGCGTACGAAGATGAAGTGAGTAGAGACCATTACCATGAACCTACTGTATGTAGAAGTTTTCCAACCGGAGATGTACGGCAGAGTGAAGGTCATTCGCAAAGTACCTTGGTTTTTGAAAAATCCAAACCCTCGATTGTAAAAGTAACACCGCCCCCTTTTATGCATCTTTGTTGTTGAATGAGAATCAGAGATCACGCGTGTGTGTGGCGCTACTGTTCAAGAAACTCTGCGCCATGGACTCGGCTCAGGATGCACACGCCCGCCAGTTCGTCGACCCCAGTTTTCATTTCGTGCCAAGAAAAAAAATGATGCAGATTCAGGTGAGGTTTATCTTTCAATGATAGATAGTCATAGTCAACCACGCTCTCGTACAAACGTGTGAGGCGTGTTCTTGTAAGGCTTGTTTGCTCGTGAAAAAAATGAACCTGTCACTTAGTTTCCCGGAGGCAACTCCCTTCTCCCCCCTGAGGACCAACAGGGGACGAAGGTCCGGAATTAGCGCCGACTGCCTCGGCGTCAGCCACCCTGGCGCGTTCTGTAGAGCATGGGTCCAAAAGTGGGGCCGGTTACACCCGTCGTGATACAAAGTTGTGGCTATCGCGCGTTACTGCCGTACTGTAGACGTTAAACACATGACGTTTGCGACCTTGATTTTTTCGCGCCCATCATTCTTCGCCGCCCGCAGAGCGGCTGCATCGACACGATGTGCCAGGTTCTTGATAAGAACAACAGGACGAACACATGGCAGAGGAAGGACGCCTGCGTCGTGGAGCAGTGCATGAGCGCGCTCGCCCTCCACGTGCACCGTCGTCCTGAGGTGGGTACAAGTACCGTTTGGCGAGCGGTGATTGTTGCAGAGAGGCAGTCGACCGTTCCTTCCACCCCGCCCAACATCGCCGTTTTCACAAGTACTGGCGCGGTAAGCTACAATGTGCGACCATTCTTGTCATTCCACTATTTCCATTTTGAAATACTTGTACAGGTTTCCACTAAGGCAACCCCCCTGCTAGTATGCAAGAGTTCGCCATAGCGTACTACATGTATAGGTGTGCCTTTGTCCCAGAACAAAGTTGCCCAACCGGATGACGTGTTTGTTGTTCGCTCTCGTTCCACCTGGTGACGAACAAACTAATGTATCAGAGGTGTCGACAGCTGCAGGCAACCAAGGGGGGGGTGCAGGCCATCGTGACGGGGATGAGAGAGTGCTCGGAAAGTGTGCTCGTGCAAGAGAGGGGTCTCAAGCTCGTTGTCGACTCCTGCCTGGCGCTTTCAAGCTGTGCCGAGGTGCTGTTGCAATGTTTGGGGGGCCAGTGGCGGTGTTCTTTGATTCTTCTTGCAGCTATTGAAAGTGCTTAATGCTATTTTAACGAAACTTGCGTTTGAGAGTATTACCCCCCCCGTTCTTCAGGCAACTTCGACTTTGGAATAATCGTTGCCATGGTAGACAGCGGTTGTAAGAGGTTGGGGGAAACATCGTCAAGGTAGGCCAAACCGTGTGTCGCTGGGTGATGAGGTCGATGTCGACTGGGAATGAGGTTCGGCGAAAAATGATCTCAAGAGGGAGAGGGGGGCTCAACGCTTGCGGCAGGCCGCACAGAATACTCTAATCCAGGCCAATACCTGATTTAACATTGCAATAAGAGACTGGCTGAATACACCTGAGAACTGAGACTTAGCTTCCATAGAACAAGGCGAAACACGCTAGATAGAAGACGCCGGGGAGAAGATTCCTTGAAGCGTACTACGTATCCTTAACTTTCTGACACGTTTGAACTTGGTTGAGGCTCCTCGACGTGGAAAGAGTAGCGACAGCAACAGTAGCAACACCAACATTGGCAGCAACCGTAGCAACAGCAACACCACTACCACTACCAACAACAATCGCACCAACATGCGCGAAATTCATCCCAGGCATTCGTCGAAGCCAGTGCCCTTGAAACGATCGTCAATACCTTGGGGCGGTTCCGACATGACTGGCACGTGCAGTCGTGCGGCTGCGAGGCGCTCTGCGCCGTCGTCGCGGCCCTTCCCTCCAACAACCAAGACTTCCTGGAACGCGTGTTGAATGCCGGTGCGCATCTTGCGGCGGGACGAGCTTTGCGACGGTAACTGGGTTGATGGTGTAATGGGTTTGTTGGATTGTTGTGTTCACCAACCCTGCGGCACGGTGTCCCAGTGTCAGCAAGTCAACAAACCTTGTAGGCACTATTGTAACCTCTCTATGTAGAAGACAACAACATTCTTGGGAACAAACTATCCAGCGTCTTGGAGGCCAGCGCTTTCCTTGCCGAGGGTTTAGCCGAAAAGTAGAACGCCAGGTCGTTCGGAATGCGGCACGCCGGTGGAGTAATTCCCTGTCACGAGATAGCAGCAGCGCTGAGTTCTTTCCAGAAAACCTCGTTTAACATCGCCGAGATATATTTTCGTTTGTGTACTGTCTCCACGCTTTCAGATCACCTGGGACAAAACCTCCGTCTGCTTGTTGTCAGAGTCTAAGAAAAGAACAGCAGTGGTCTCGTTGAAGAGCAGACAAACGGTTTGGTTTGGGCATTGTTTAGATCCATGGTACTGCAGGACAAGTGTGTACCGAGTGTAAATACTGTTGGGTGGTGTTCGACACCAACGTACCCGGAGAGGTCCCTTGAGCGGACTCGTACCCAAGAGATCCAAGTACTAGGGGTAGCATTCGGACTGAAGGTTCACCACATCGATATCGAAACACCTCCGTTCAACAGGCATCCTAGCTCGGAAGAGGTGCTGGTGGCTGGCATGCGAACGCTGGAAACGATCGCCCTCCGGTGCTGCACCGGTGGCACGAAGGATGGGCGATCTCGCGTGCAGAATGCCTTGATCCTGTCAGACCAACATTGCCACACTCGTGATGGTGACGGAGCGGGCGATTCCAGGGATAGTATCTCCGCGATAACGGCTGCCAACTCGGTTGGTTTTCCGGGTGTCGCATCTCTCAACGAAGAATCGAACACTCCCACCGCATCGTCCGTGGACGACCACCCGCTTGAGGACGACCGCAATGACGTTGACGCTGCTGCACGGAGCTCGGACGCTATGAGTTCGAGTTGTTCCAGAAGAGACGACCGGGCCAATGAAAGCTTCAGCCTGGGAGAGGGAGGGGGGGGGGGCAGAGGAACGGGGACTATCGCGTTTGCGTTGAGTGTGGCAGACGCGTATAGTCGAGAAGATTCCCGCACTATCGTTCAACGTGCAGGAGCTGCGCGGGTGGCGGCGAGTGCGTTCAATCTCGTGAGGGCGTTGCTCACAGACTGGAGGCGGGGCTGGGGGCAGAGGAGGAAGTGCGACGGGAGACCAGGAAAAGAGGAGGGGGAGAAGGAGGAAGCTCAGCAAGAGGATGAAGCGGAGAAGGATGCGGAGGAGGAGGAGTCGCTCGCTTGTTGTGTCCAAGAATTTTGCAACGATCAGGTCAAGTTTCAATCTTCCGTGGATGCATGCCGGGGTGGGTAATGCTACACATTTCTTGCGGTGACGATATATGTGGAGGTTGGTCGTGTACCGCACGTTCGTTTCTTCGAGGCCGATGCACGGGGCTTTTGGAGCAACTAGGTCCATCGCCTGAGGACCGACTTAACAAAAGGTGCCAAAGAGTAGTGGCGTTGCTCTCTGCTGCGGGACACCCGCTGAAAACAATTCTTTTGAATAGTTCTGGCAATGCGATCAGGACTTGCTGCACCAAGGGTTGGTTTACATGAGGTGCGGGATATTGCTTGCATTCTTGAGCATTTTCAGAATCGAACCTCCGAACAAAACTCGTAACTTACTTGAGGTTCGTACCTCGATTGCTGTGTGGAGTAAGCGACACCGAACTTGTTGGTTTCGGAGCGTAAGGTTCTTAACCGGGCATCGTTGTAAGAAATCAAGTTGTTACACTATGCTTTGAAATAGGGCCTCAAGTTCGTGGTTTGCTCAATACTTGTAGGCGGACGGTCTTGTGCGCGCTGGATGAACTATGATACTAAATATTGTACCATGTTCATCACAGAGAACACACGCGTTGTTTCGCAATGGCAGGGGGTGGAGATCCTTATTTCTGCCATGAGCCATCACATTCATGATGCCGCTCTACTCCTGGCTGGTTGGCAGGCAAGACGACGAAGTAATCGGGTTTCCTGAGCGCGTTCTTCTCTATCTCAAACATCGTGATCTTAAATTTGCGTGGTGCCAAGTGAGCATTTTCGTGGATAAAGTTTGAGGTCACCGTTGCTTCCGTACGCTTATAGTGCTAATTCAAGTTTGGTACCGGTGGCGACGAAGACATACCCCGTACTGAATTGTCTGGGGCTTAGTATATGGCCGCCCGACGCAGGTGAAATGTTTCAGCACCAGAGGCCGGCTGAAGCGGGGACAATACGGCCGTAGTTTCGCCGAACACAGCAGTAGCTTTTCTCTACAAGGCTCTCGAGCACTATTAATAGTCGCCTATCGGGTGTCGTGCTCCTCCTGTCGCTAGTCACGTCTTCTTGTATGATCCAGAGCATGGAGACTTGTCGTCGGGCGTCAGCTCCCCTCACCCCCATCTTCATAACAGAACCTAACGAGAGGCCTACAACCGACGTCTGTCAACGACCAGGCCATGCATTCCGTCATTCGCATCGCACGGCGGGAACAATCGCCGAAGGATCCACCGGCGGGGCACGTGACCAAAGATGGCCCGGAGAGATTGTCCGACAACCGCGTTTCAGAAGCGCTCCACCGGGGGAATAAACTTGATCAGCAGGCGTCACTCTTGGCTCAGGTGATGGACGTTCACCAGGCCGTGGCACCCTTGCTGTGGATCTGTCTCGTTTGTTTGATCGATCTGCATGCGCTGGAGGCCAGGGTGTCGGACATTTTCATCATCAACGCTGGCTGCCAGGTCCTGCACAGGTACGTGCGGTAAAGTGACCATGACCTTCGTTCATGTACTCCAACACAAGTATCGTGGTTTGCTCATGGCGTTTGTTCACGTACTCGCGCGATCGGTTGACCTCCCGTCCCCCGGCCGGTGCTACCTACTTGACTTCGTTTCGGAAAACAAATCTGTGACCGCACAAGGTGCATCCGCATCAACGCACGGCATACCGCCGTCGTGGAGCAGGTCTGCCGGGTGGTCGCGGTCATGAGCGAGCCTAGCTTTACCTCACGGACGCGATTCATGGTGGAGAATATTCAAGACGCCATCCACGAGGTATGCACGACGTTCGACACAAGTACAATGAGCGCTCAAGAACGCTCACCGCCTCCAGAGCTACAGTACCCTAATTCTGAAACATAAATAGCATATTGTAGGTGTCGAGAGGTTTGTAGTGTCCCGACAGGTGTCTTTCTGCACTTCATCCTAGCCTGCACCTCTTGTTCGTATGGACTCCAGGCGTGACGGATACGTGTCGGCTTATGTCCACGAAAGTCACCATCTCTGTCTCTACCTGTATGACGACTGATGAAACACGACATAAAACCATTGTACCATGCTCATTTGTAGTCAGCACAAACTGGTGGGAGATCGCACCAACTACGTGTTGGGGCGAGTTCTTAAGCTTCTTCCCTTGCCGCCCCCCCCACCCCAATGACGCCTTGGCTTCCAACGTCACACGTCGTCATCGTGCATCAGGTGGTATTTCTACACAGACGGCACCCAGGGGTTTCCAAGTTGGGAAACAGGGCGTTAGACGCTTTGTGGGGCGGGGACGATTTCGGGGCGAAGCAGAAGGCGTCGGCGGCTGAGAGGTTCCAGCACGGGAGCGATAGCGAGGGTGGTGGATGATGGGCGAATGAACGTTGTTCGTTGGGTGATTGGGCGACACCCGGTTTGGTAGTGCAGGACGGCCCATGGGGTGATTTCTCGCCCCTCGTGGGTTCAGCACAAAAAGTGCGTGGTCGGGGTCTTCCGGCTGGATCAGACAATCATTCATTACGGCCCAGGGAGACTTTTAGAGACCGTAACGGTCTCTTAGAGGAACCATACCCGGTGTACGGGTATACATATTCTGTGAGCACAGTCTGACGTCAGGCCCGCCTACCACACTTGAAGCTCACCTGTGCAATTTGCAGAGTATATATCACGTGGCACAAATGCGAACACGAACACAAGCCTGGTGCGCATGCATGTGTTGTGAAAAAAAATATTGTAAACAACCAGACACATCTGTGTAGCATCGAGAGGGAACATGAGGTCTATCCCTACCACTGCAGATCCTCGGAGCAGATCATTGTCCGTGTAGCATTGAGAGGGACTTGAGAGGGAACATGAGCTCTACCCCCACCACTGCAGACCTTCCGAGCGGATCATCGGTCGATGCGGGTAACGGCAGCTCATCCACGTCAGCCACCAGAGCGCGCGGGCGAAGTAGAGATACTGTAGTTGGTGCGCGGGAGGCAGCGATGCAGTGACACATGCGCACCCGTCCATAACAAGAACGGGGAGCTGCAGAAAGCGAAAGCGGCTGTCATGAAGGCCGTCGGTGAATCATGGTGTCGGAAGGCTTTGTGAGGATAGGGGCCCGTGAGAATCGGTACAAACAAAGTTTTCGCTAGGAGTGTATGTCGAGGCATCGAAAGCGACAAAAGACATAAGTAGACTCGAAATAAGTCCAGTACCCAGCCGGTTTTCCTCCACTCACTGAAAAGACTCCACCACATTCCGTTCGACTGTGGGTATATCTCGAATGGGTAGTCTTTCTGTGTGTGTATCTATTATTCCTTAATACTTTTCTTTTTAGCCGACTCCGCGTGCCACCGAAGTAAGAAAACGACCCCCTGCAAAGGCGGCGACCGCAGCAACGTCAACTCGCACCTCAAGAATGCGCACCGACTGCAGGGGGATGAGTGGCGTCGTGACGGAGGGAGAGAAGAAAGAAACCGCAAGAGAACATTGCGGCAACCTTCGCTTATCGGACAGTCTGTGAGAGTTCTGGACGACAAGCTCACCTATATTCTCTTTGTACCCGCTATCATGTATTGTACTCCAAGGTTCAATACGCTCCGTAAGTTATGGATGCAACGCATGTTGATGAGGATATCATTCCGAGTTTTGCTGCTAGTAGGCATATCCATGAGGGAATGCTAAGTAGAGCAAAACACGAAGGTCCTGACTTTTACAAGCAGGAATTCCTTGACCCTTATCTGACTGGGTTTTCCCTGGATCTTCCGAGCTTCCGAGTTTTTTTTCTCAACTGTCGAGACCGTTGACACCATCAAGGCTGTGGAACACGCATGCCGTCTCCCATTCTCTACACACCTACTGGTATCTAAGTAAAATCTGAGTAAAAAGGAAACATGGACTGGGTACTGAACGAGATAAATGAAGATGGGAAGAAGATGGGAAGAACTTTTCGAGTCTGGACAAGGTGATGGTGCTAAGCAGGCTGTAGTAGCTAGCTGCGAGCACCCGGTAGAGGACAAGCTAGGAATGTTACAGCACTCAATATTGAAGCAGTACTTCTTTCAAGGATAGCATGACTAAGCGAGTCATGTCAAGAATGAAGGATTTTGGCGTGATTTAGTACGTAGACCGCAGGAGTAGATATAGAACAACGATGAGGTTGTTGAAGCACATGTAACATTGCATCCATCATGGTGGTGTGTTGGAATACAGCGCACTACTGCTGGATGTGTGTAGTAGGATAGATGCAGCTGTATGATGGCTGTATGCAATGTTACGTAGATGCGGTGTGATAAGTGACGTTTGGTAGTAGCATGTAGCGACGAGTTCTAGCGAGGAGCTCACGAATGAACTGATGGTTGATCAGAGGATAGTAAAGACTCCACCACATCCCGTTCGACTGTGGGTCTATCTCGAATGGGTAGTCTTTCTGTGTGTGTACTTATTTTTCCTTAATAGTATTTGTAGCGAGATCAAGAGGTGTAGACTGTTTTGATGCTCCGAGTGGGCAAGTACAAAATTAAAGCAGTAAGATTTGTTTCTTCCGAGATCCTTAACTTGTAAACTAACTCTTGGGCTTGTAGAAGTTCGTCCTCTTCCAATGTCTTCATGAATTCAATACCTAACTAAGTAGTCATCTAGCAAACGCTAAAGCGGCCGCTGCCGCGGGCGGCAGAGCCCCTCCAGTTCTCCCTCCGTGTGCCATGGCGCAATCGGCACTTGTCCGTGTTGTCCTCTAGAATGTTTCGATGAATTCTAGGCAGTTCGTCCCATCGGCGTGAGCGTATTCACGCTTACCTTCTTACTTGGGGTCTGGATAAAGCCGGACCGACCCAGTTAGAAAACGCGGCCCTTTGGCGAAGCGTTTATCATCAAACGCACAACCGAAGTCATAAGCGGGGCTTACTTTTTCAGCGACTAGGCGCTTCGTCACATTGTCCACCTGAGAGCCCTTGTCCCTCGGAGGGAGCAGCGAAAGGTAGGTACGCAATTATACTACCATGGGCGAACAAGAAAACGCCGAAACGGCCGCTGCCGCAGCCGAGCCCCTCCAGTTCTCCCTCCGAATGCCATGAAAAAATTCGCACTCTTCTTCCGTGTTGTTCTCTGAATTTTATCGATGACTTCGAGGCAGTTCGCGCCGTCGGAGTATAAGTACTCGTGCTTTCCTCCTTGCTTGGGATCTGGATATCCGATGTCTTTTCGCTTTCCTTAAGAAGGAAAGCGCGAGTACTCATACTCGAGTACTCATACTCCGACGGCGCGCACTGCCTACAGTTCGTCACCACGTGCTAGGGCACAATCACGGAAAAGTGCGGGCTTTGCTTTGTCATGGCATTCGGAGGGAGAACTGGAGGCTCTGCCTACTGCAGCGGCCGCCTCGGCGCTTGCTTGTTCACCCATGGTAAAGTAAATAATGCGTTCTGCTACCTACGAAGGACCGAGCGCCAACTCTCGCTGTTGTTTGATTACCGCGGACTTGACAACAAGATGTTGAAAACCCCGGCCCGACTTTCAAAGCTCGGTTACTCCACAGTCAGCAAGAAGAGAGGAAGCGGTACCGAAAATGACAACGTTGGAACCGTTTTGTCGAGAGGTTTCCGAAAACGCACTACTTGACTGCTGTATTGCATTATCTTCGTCGTGGAGTAATCGAACTTTGAAAACCGATCTAGGGGGTGTCATATCTTTGATTCGCCTACAGTACGGCATATCCTTTTGAACCACACCCACCCACAGGTATGTACAGCAGTAGGTGCGCTGCTCATAGCCCCAATACCGGTCTTTGACACAGCACGCGAAACATTTCATTAAATTAAGCTTGAGTTATGTCCGTGCTGTGCACCCTACTGCTGTAGACTAGAGGTACGTATGCATAATTGTAGCACAGTTCGGGAAGGGAATGTCTAACGGTCGGGCGACATGTTCTGGGGATACTGTAAACTGTACTTGCTGCTGTAGATTTCGACGAACAAGAGGGTTTGTCTGCTGAACCAGTATCTATTTGCCTGACTCACGTCACCACGAGGAGAGGACCACAGTGGGATGTCGCACCCTCCCTCATAGGCCCGGCGAAGTTTTATTGGTGCACTCTCAGGTCGCAGTGGTGGCGGAGACTTACTGTCCGGTGTGCCTCTCGGTGAGCTGGTGAGCTTGCCGCTTGCGGCACTGCTCGTAAGGAGTTCATACCCCCCCCCCCCTGGAAAGCGCATTTTTACCAGAGCAGTGCGGGTCCGTACCTCTTTTTTTCTTTTTCTTCCGACCCCTATGAAACTGGCGGTCTCCGATTGCTGTGGCTCGCTCTCGTTCAGCACACCCCTTGCCCCCCTACGAGCAACGTAGGACACTTGTACGGCGTAGCCATGGGTGGTGTTCAGCCCCTCAACAAGGTCAATGTGGTCAAGAAGCGCACCAAGAAGTTTGCGCGGCATCAGACTGACCGGTTTATGCGGATCAAAAACTCGAGCTGGAGGAAGCCCAAGGGTATCGATGGACGCGTCCGCAGGCGCTTCAAGGGATGCCTGCCTATGCCCAACGTCGGATACGGTAAGGTTCTGCAGAGGCTTGCTTGGCCAAGTCTTGTAAAGTGCTTCAAGTTGATAGCAAGGCAAGAAATAGGGAGCGATACTGTGCGTGTGTGATGGACAGCTCACCCATGGCTGTAGCCACAGGCACACAGCAGTGTTGCATATTGCATGGTGTGCGTTCGGTGGACGAGGACAGCTCGTTTGTCGTAGCTGTATTCTCCTACTTGCACGTGGTGGTCACAAGTCGGCATACGCGCAGGAGATCCTGACAGACAGATGGGATCAATCAGAGGGAGAACGAAGTTCCTTACGGACGTTTGCGCTAGTTTTGCCTAAACAGCAAAGGAAGATAGCGGTGTGGCCGCCCGTCGCTGTATTTACGCCGCATTTTTTGCTCTCTCCGCTGCGCGCGCTGCGCGCTGCACGTGCACACGGCAGTAGGTTATACTTTGGCAGCTCGCGCATGGAGTTTGTTCACCATGCCATGCTCCTTCATATTTTACTCTCTGCAGCTACACATGTGCATGACATACCCTCATAATATACCGCTGAGGCAGGTACAAGCTCCCAAGAACACCCTACACCAACACCCAGATTCATCCAACTCCAACCGCTAGCCCACCAGCTGAGAACGTGTACAACCGCAGTACCGTATTGGCTGATGGTCTTTTGATTGTGCCTGTAGTTCTCTGTGTATGCAAATCGATGAGAGCCGTTGTAGCGGAGTCCTGATCCCTGTTCCAGACGATAGCACGGCAGGCAAGGACAGGCACATACAGGCAACGGAGCCCGTAGTCCAACTTACCGGCATTGTCCTTGACCCATTTCTGTCGGCATACAGACAGTGCGCAATAGCAAGGTGGTAAATGTGCCCACGAAGGCCGATTAACAAGGTCTTCGAAAGAGGTTTTACAAACTTGTTTTTGTGTGGTGACAATGTTGGAGACGTGCCGGTTTCCCCGTTTCCCCCCTCTCCTAAGAAATAAATCGGTCGAAACATGCTTCTAGTAGGGGTGTGGTATCAATCGTCACAAATGGCGTGCCCTGATATGCATACAAGCAGTACCGAACTCAGATTCACGATTCTACCCACGAGCGCATTTGTCCTTTCCCTCCCGCCGTTTTCCTCCTCAACGAACGAACGACTGCGTGCAAGGGATTTTCCTGTATGTCTGTGGCATTTTCGTTGCTCTCATTTGATTCGCTACATATTAAGATTAAGATGTGATCTACATCTAGATCTTGAAAATGGGCTACAAATTTGATGAGCGAGATGAGCGAGGTTTTCTCGGAACCCGATCACAGACTTTTCACACAGAGCCAGAAGGAAACAAATAAGTAAAAGCACTCAAGTTAGATGACACGCGAGAGACTGTTCGTCACGATTGGAAACCGCAGGCTACAAATCCTACAACTTCCTGCAACCTATCTGCCACGTAGGGGATGGGGGGAATACTTGACGCCGTAGACTGGTTTTCCCGCAAGCTCGGTGCACTCCGCTAGTCTAGATGTTGCAGACCCCGCCGCGGCAAACAATGGGTCACTGGCGATGTAGACGAAAGTTGGTATCACCCTCGGCTCGTCTCTTCTTCATGGGGGGGGCCCTCAAGTATTTCCCAAAAACTGGGTGCCTCAGTCGACGACAGCATGTCAAAACAATCCGTGAGGCCGCGCTCCAACATTTTTGAGCCTTCGGTCCTGGCACCTCAGCTGGTGCCGAAGGTTGGGAGTGATGAACTTTCCCGGCTTACTTCAGCGTGTGCCTGCTCGGTTGCTGATTCGGTGATGCCGTGCACGAGGGAAATTACGATGGCGTTCGGCCAGCGACGCGTGTAGGGAGCGGCAGCTTGCGCTTGCAGCTCAGGTGCATTCGCTGTCTGGCTGTCATAAGGCGCTCGCTCATAATTGGTACAGAACTTGCGCCAGTCGTGCAGCGAAAGGCCGGCCGCAGACAAGTTCAGTGGCACACAGAGCCGAGATAAGTCTACCCTCAGTTCTTTTGCTCACCTTTGGTCCAAAAATTCTGTTTTGCCGGTCACAGCCCGTTGTTTTTAGTACTCGTCATGCGCATGCGTGGACCGCGCGAATAGAGCACTCGGAAGATGTTTTTCGTGGCAAAGCCTTTGCGCAAAAATTACCGTCTTCCGCCATTCTGTTCAACAAGGCCAGCGAGCCTTTCGTGCATTGGTGGTGATTTCGTGACAAGCCAAAGCATGACCCGATATTTGAGTGTTCTTTGAGAGGTGTGCTCCTTCGCTGCATTTACCTCCGCGAGGCAAGTCTGAATGTAGTCATGTTAATGCCTGGCCAGCAGTTATGGCACTTTGGGTAACAGAGTACACCGAATTCCATACCGTCACTGGTGTAAACCGTTTCACCACACGAGTACATAGGTGTGCGGGGATGTAAGAGCCAAACCCGAAAGGCAATAAGCGGAGGATGGATGACACGTGGAAGAAAAATAACAGCCCCACGTACGTCTCTTTTCCCTCGCGACTATTGTTGGTGCTTTGGGAAGAACAAAAAATCGTGCTCGGACTTTCACACCACAGCCATGGATAGCTGTCAGATGTTTTGGCCATGGCAACGTGATTGGCCACATGTGCGCACTTCAGTTCGAAAGAACGTGAAACGGAGAAATAATCAGCCCAACGGAATCGGCTTGTAGACAAGCGGTCGGTTTTTCGACTCGAATTTTGCTCTCGAGGCATTAGTACAGCTTTTCATCGTTGGCGTCTTTGTTGTGTTGTTTATGACCCCGCGCGGGGTGTTTGTTTCGAGTTTTCTTCCACATGATGATGGCTGCATCACGTTCACTTAAGTGTTTTCCCTTGTTTTGTTTTTCCCACAGGATCCGACAAGCGCACCCGGAACATCCTCCCCAACGGGTTTTACAAGTTCCTCGTCCACAACGTGAAGGAGCTCGAGCTGCTCCTCATGCACAACAGGTGACGCGCTGCCTCTCTAGTTGCGGGGCTTGGGGAGGAGTGTTCACCCCATGTCGGTTTCAAACATGTTCCTTTCCACAAGCGACGTTTGTTGTTTGGATATGTGGTTGTAGCGGGCGTGTTGGGGTTGTTTTTTTTGTTCAAAGTTACTCGAGATGTAGGCGCCAACTACTGTGACATGTTCAGTGGGGGAGGATGGTATACATTTCGCCACAGAAAAAAAATCGTCTAATCTTTTCGCCAGCAATATCTTGTGTGCGGGGCAGAAATCTGCCTCCAACCTGGAACAAATGTGTTCCGTCATGTCGACTTGTGACACCCTTCCCTCCACTGGCTTCTTTTCGTGTTGGGGTATTGTTTGCTTTTGCCGCCTCCAGGAAGTACGCGGCGGAGATCGCCCACAACGTCTCCTCGCGCAAGCGCAAGGAGATTGTGGAGCGCGCTGGACAGCTCCACATCCGCGTCACCAACGCCGGCGCCAAGCTCAGCGCGGAGGAGGACGCTTAAGCCTGCCTTTGTGACTTCGAGCTGGTGCTGTTACGCCCATGGCTTCCGTAGAGCTTAGTTCTTAGTGCGAGACTGGTGTCGCTGCTGTTGTTTCGTATGAAGGTGGGTCGACTCGAGTCGAGCGCAGATTTTCATCGTCTGTGCGGATGATGGATTGATGCATCAAGAGCTTTTTTCTCTGGTGGCTTCAAGGGGGGACGCGGGAAGAGGGGGGCACGGATGATTATTTCTTTGTTCTTTCGTGGACCCGTCTCTTTCCTGTGCCGGTGCTTCAGGGGGCATGGGGGGACAAGGACTAATATCGAGAGGTGTTTTTCCCAGTTTTATTTTTTCGGTCCAGCTTGCCGGAACGCCGACGCACGTCTGTCGGTCCGTTTTTTCTCCAGGATGCGCTTGTCCCAAGCCCATCCGATCGGTGTCTGAACCTGGGTGTACCATCGTTGTCTTTTCTCCATTCCCCACAATGAGAAACGAGCACCTGGTATATCGCACGCCCTGGCATTTTCTCGACAACCGCTGCTCGTCGGCAAATGTCAGCCGATGAACGCTACGGAAGCAGGAAGCAGCGCAGCAGCAGTAGAGTGACGGACGGACATGCTGCCTTCGCTTAGCCTAGCTTATCCCTCACGTTGAACCCCTCTACAGTAGCATCTGATGCGACCGACACAAGTTCCGACCGACGTGGTTTATGTCGTCAAATGGAGGTCGACAGCGTGATCGGTGACAAACTTGGACATGCTTTCTTTCTCAACCGTATGGTGGAGTCGGTATCGCCTGCAGCGAGCACCTCAGCCCCAGTGGATGCTTACCGCAGGCAGGCAGCACGAAGTTAGGCAGTGCTACGAAGGAGCACCGAGAATCCTCCGCTGTTCGTTGATCGACGCCATGCGCAGGCTCGCAACACAAAAAAGCTACTCCGCAGCTTTCTAAAGAAGCTAGCGCAAAAAATGTTGAACCACCGTACCACCATGTTTTGAGCACTGACTTGACTGACGTTGGACATGAAAACAAGGGGCTGAACACTTGGTGTGACAAACGAGGCCTGCGGTGTACAACCAAAGACGGATGCAGGTAGATGCGCCCGGATGCAAGCCTAAGCTTCGCACTCGAGGCCATGTCACAAGTACACAACTTTTCTACCCGTGACGGTTTCCAAAACTCCAAGGAGCCAACTTACAAGTGGGTCTTATCCCCCGCCTTCCCTAATCAAAGGGTTTGGGTTGACTAAACACCGCAGACAAGGCGGCTTATTCGTCAACTTCATCCAAACACGAAGGCTCCGAATACGCCTGGGTCAACACAAACCAGTACTGCTGCTAAAAGCCAAACTGATTCACAGCATTGTCGGTCCGGACACAGGAAACACCCTCACAAAAAATGAAGGCGCAGATAGTTGAAAAAGGATGACAACTACAATTGTAAGAGAAAGAGGGTTCAGCCGCTGGCACCACACTAAATCCTCAAGTAGCTTCGAAGCGGGCCGGCATTGCATTTTCTAAACTGTTGGCGAATGGGGTGCCTTTTGCACCACTATTTTCGTTTCCAAACGTTTTTTCTCCGCTTCCGGTGATCACACTCCAACTCCATACTGACGGCCAACCACCGTGCAAACTACATGTAGTTTTCTTCGTAACGCCGCGAGGATCATAGTCTAACCATGGCACACCTGGCCAAAAGATCTCATCAAGCCCTTCTATGACATTATGTACCCTGCGTGGTTCGAGCTAACATGTACCCTACCTAGACATGTTGCCGCAATTCACACGAACCACCATGTGCCACCACCTGTACCACACTAGTCTAAATGCTGTGCGGTCGGGCACGGGAAGAAGGTTCGATGCGAGTGCAACCATCCTCCTCAGCCGCGCCCTTGCCAGTAGCACCCCCCCATGCAACGCACCCCCCCCACCTCCCGCGCCTGGGCGTCGTCGGAGAAGTGCTGCGTTTCGGCGCGTCTACCTCTATAGCCTCGACCCAAGACGCCGAGCTCGCTAGCAACCTCCCGGGAGCGACAGACCGCCCCCGCCAACGCGGGGCGGGGTCTACCGGAGGGACCGCGACCATCCTCCCCTGCGCGGGGCGAGCAGATTCTTCTTTCTTGTCGTCAGCTCTTGGCGGCCCTTCCTCGTTGATTGCTCCTCCCCGCTTGTCAGATCGGAGTCCGTGACTGCCCCTGCTTTCTCGGGCAGCGGCGGCGGCGGCGGCGGCGGTGTCCTGCTCTCTCGCGGAGGATGGAGCAGCTGAGAAGCTCTCTTCCTCTCTAGTCTCCTGCGGAAAGGCGTAACCCTTCGCGCTTCCGCGGTTAAACCCACGGTTCATTTCGCTGCCTGGTGCGGTAGCGCCGCTCTTCGACGCTGCCTCTATCCCAGAAACCGAGAAATCGGCGGGCGGCGCCCACCCGGAGTCGGCAGCAGCGCCGCCTTCTTTCTTCCCCGCTCTCGCCGTCGAGTCTATCGCAGTGGTGGCGGTGGAACAGGGGCCTTCCGCGCTGTCCGAAAATGGAGAGCAGGCTAGCGTTTCCGTCGTGGAGGGGCGGTCGGTGTTGGTCGCGCTCGCCCTATCCGCCGCTTCCATTCGTTCCCGACTGTCGCACCTCTCCAAAACGACGTGGCCGCTCCTACCCAAATTGCTTCTCGCGCGCTCTTTCTGTCGGTGCCCGGCGGGTGCAGCTTCTCTCCGGCCGTGCGACGGCGTTGTCCGTGATGCTCCTGCGGTACCCTCCTCTATATCCGCGGTATCCTTTGCAGGCGGTGGCGCTACTGTAGTAGCCGCTTCGGCGAGGGCATCCGCAGCCGTGGCGACCGCAACCGCCGCCGTCGCAACCGCCGCCGCCGACTCCGCCGCGGCGCTGCCGTACGACGCGGTCTCGACAACGCTGCTTTCGCGGCCCTTCTCCAGCACCGGTAGAGCAGTAGTAGTACAGGTGGAGCTGTTAGCAGCGCGGCTCCGTTCAGGTGGCGGCGCCGTTGCCCCCTGCCGCCCTACGCCCCTCCGGGTCTCCTCCCGGCTTTCCTTCCTCGCCGATCTCTCGTCGCGGGAGATCTCTTCCCCCCCGTGGAACAGTAGTGAGGACTTCGCACCGGTTTTGTGCTGCTGCATGTCTGCAGACGAGGCGATGAGGGCGGCGGCGGTTCCGGCGGCGTCGCTAGCGGCGGCCGCGACGGCGGCAACGGCGGCCGTCTCTCGCCGGAGGGCCTTGTTGTCCGCGGAGAGGCGGCTGTAGCCCCGGGTGAGAGAGCGGTAGCTCTCCGCGGAGGCGTGCTGGGTGTGCAGCTGGTCCTCGTACAGCCCCTTGTACGCCTGCATCAGGCTGAATCAAAGAGTGGGCGCGAGTGGGCAGAGCGGAAGAAAAATATGAGTTCTGGGTCCTCGTACAGCGCCTGCATCAGGTTGGATCTAAGGGGAGATGGGGGCGATAGAATGGAACGAGTTATGGTCTACAACGTAAAAAAACACTAGAAGCAGCATCATCGCCTCACTCGAAAAAGAGTCACTTGCGAAGAAACATAAGCAGGTCGGGTCGTGTGGTGGAACACGCCGCTTCTACGTTCACCTTTCAGCCTGCTGTCGGCGTCGGCGTTCAGCCATCCTAACGCTGCGAAGGTGCGCGTCGGACAGGGCTGTTCTGGATGCCGAACCTTTCGCCTAGGGGCAAGAGTCAAACACATGGGGAGACACACACACACCAACGAAGGGGAAAAGGTAAATATGGGATCCGAAGGAAGAGCGAGACGCCAGAAACGGGGGGCGGGTACCAAAAATATCAAACATGACGTGGGTGATATACGGAAGGAGCAAGAGGCCTTCGAACCAACGTGTGCATGCCTGCAAGACGAGGTCAAGCAGGAGGCGGAGATCAAGCAACAGCTACCATCACAATGAGTGCAGCAGATAAAAACTCTCAGACGAGAATAGCTTCTAACAAAAAAGGGTCCCCAAGTTTTTTTAGTCATTCTGGAGACAAAATTTAGCTGCGGCCACTGGCTAAACTCGTGCATTGGGTTGTTCAAACCACACAAATCGGGACTCACGGCGCGGTCTTGTTTGATACGGTCCAGCTCTTGCCTCAGCGCCTTCGCTTCTCTGACCGCGTCGTCAGCCTTTCGTCGGTGTTCTCGCCCCAGCCCTTCTTCTTGCTGCACCGTTTCAGAGAGGGAATGCAAAGGATCCGGGTGCACCGTCCGTAACGTTGGAATATGAAAGAGGCATTCGGAAGAGGAGTGTTGTGTTATGTTCTTCTTGATGCAATACGACCAACACACCAGACGGGGCAGGCGACGACATATGACGAACGACATAAACATCACAAAACTCATCAGCAGTCGACCACATTCATGATGGTCTGGTCGCGATAGGCGCCGAGCGATAGGTCAACAGCGTTTTCCATGAGGGGAGGCTGAATTGACCAACTCATTTGCATCAAGGGTTGAACTGAAGGGTAGGCACAAGCGTCGTGTATACGCAAGCGGTATTACCTTGAGCTGCGTCGCGAGCCGGCCGCAATCCTTCCTAGCCAGTACCAGCTCCCGATTCAAGTTTTCCACTCTTTCCCTCAACCATTCCACCTGCATTTGACGGACGTTTCCGTAAAAGGGACAGGGCGAAACATGGAGATTCACAACGGGTTGGTCTTGGGCATGCAACTGGAATAAGACAAGGAGGAAGAGTGTTGCTCAAGGAGTGGGGATGCGCACCAGTGCTGCTACAGTTGTTTCGCTTTGATTTAGCTCTAGCCAATACCGTACGACTGCAAAGGAAGCGCGGGTCGAAGCTACCGCGTGCGATGCTGTGCAGCCTTATGGCGGTGGCACATGCAGCAGAGAGAGAGCGTCAAACCAAAAGGATGCGGGGTCTGTAGAAGTGTCTGGATTCTATCATACACCGACAGGAGTTCGCCAACACACATATGCATACGAGATAGGAGAGGAGGCCGCGACCGCTGCTGGACAGATATTAAGACTGTAGACAATGAGCCAAGACCCAAGCCACAGCCTTACCACATCCGGTACGTCTACATCCCGGGAGAACATGCGTACAAGTAAGAACATCCAGGTTCGACGTGAGTGATTGGGCGCGGATTTCAAACATGGAGCGCGGGCGGCAACAAGGACCTCCTGTACTGACAAACGAAAGAAATACACCTCTCCGTACAGTAGTAGCTTGATCGTACTTGAAACTCACGACGACCTCGCTCCGTAGTTCCGCGAAACAAGCATGGACACGACTGCACGCAACAGGTGTCCCCTTGGCTAGTATCCATGTATGTAAAGTAGAATTCGAAAGCGAATGCCCCTGCGGATGCTGCGACAGAAATTCAAACTCAAAAGTCTCACCGGCCCAACAAGCTTGGCGCGCACCTGCTGTTGTGAAACACGGTATTCGAGGTCTTTCGCCCCTTCTCCTCACCTCTCTCAGCAACTCCTCACGTCCGGCCTGCATCTTCGCATCACCGCCGTGGCTGGCCTGGCGGCTTCGTGTAGTCGAGGCGTCGTGAGGTTGCATGATGCGTATCCTCGTCGTCGTCGATGCTGCCCGTGGATCTCTGCTGCTGCTGGGTCTGCGAACACTGCCTTCGCACTCGGCCCAGGCGTGTGCTGCTACCATGCCCGTCTCTTCCCGACCGACGAGGCTAACGAGCTCGAATCTTTCGTGCCCTAGCGCTAAGCCAAGGTCCAGCAGCTGCCCCACTTCGGTGGTCGCTGCCGGGTGTGAGGGAGGAGGGGGTGCGGACGTCTCGTGACGACGGCGGCGGATGATCGGATCACGTCTCCTGCTGGAGTTGTTGTCGGGAGCAGCGAAGTGCTCGCCGACAGACGAAAACATGACACTTCACGATGGCCGAGGGCAACAACAACAGCGGTCCCTGTTTATCTGCAGGGACACTGGGTAATCGGTTGAGAGAGAGCAGGTAGATATACACTTGGTGTGGTGGACAGTAGTGAACACCGCTGCAGTGAGTTGCAGAAGCGGTAGCAAGGGGGGCGAAGTGCGAAGTGACGTACCGCCGCTTCGTCGTACCCATTCTCCGGAACCCCCAAGGAGAGAGCCGCGATCTGCGCATTGCACCACTGCAAAGCACACTTGATCATCGTCTGCCGTGTGTGTGGGTGAAGCACAGAAGCAGGTGGTTCTGCTAGTCGGCAGCATGGCTGTTCTTGCTGATCCCGTTAGGTGAGGGGTCGTGGGCTTAGTTATTGTTGGTGCTTTGGACACAGGTTAGTCCGCATTTTTTTCGTGTTTCAGCTGGAGAGTGACTATCTCTCTGCACATGACGGATGCCGCAGCGTACCGCTGGCTCTCGTTGCTTCTGCCTACGAAAACAAGGTAGCTCGCATATGCAATACAGCTCTCTCCTCAAGAGAGATGAAAATTGACAATTACTACGACTGTCGGCATGCGCTTTTGTCCTGGTTGTTGAGATCAGCCACCCGCGTGGACTACACGTACTTGCAATGCTTCCAAGGCGTGCGTGTCAAACGCATGCATACAGCTGTGCTCTGCACACGGGCAGGGACCCGAGAAGCGGCAACCAAAGCGAAGGCGTCTCGTGGTACCAGCGCAACCACTACGGCTGTGCCCTCTGTATTTCCCTATCCGAAGACTTGCTACACCTTCGAGGTACAACCCTCCATTTTACTATTTCTACACTTCGCCTACAACATGAACGAATCCAGCTCTATCCACAGGTAAGATTCCGGGATGATGGAAATAGCGTTTCACCGCCATATTTTGGTTCTAGCGCCTTCCGCCAAAGCCGTTACTGCCGAAAAACGCATTACAGCAGTACTTTCGTAGCTCGAACTCTGACTGCAACCCTCTGCCCAACTTAGATATCTGTTGCGTAGGCGCTGCCTGGGTCTGGCTATACGCTATATCGTACGCCCCCGGATCATTGAAACCCTGTTTTTGCCTATTTTCTTGGTTAGACCATTTGAGCGAAACCGCAGCTTTTCCTTTTTCAGGGCATCCGCTCCCCGGCGCGTGGTGATGATCGTGCCTGATGAAAACCTGCGCGTGTCCTCTACGAGATCGATCGCATCTCAGCTGAACCTGAACCGTATAGCCCTCACCTCGCTGAACACTCTAGGCGGATCACGGGGCAGAAGGTGGCATCGAGAGGTGTCAACTACCCCCTGCTCGGCCTCGCGTTGATAGGGCTGGCCGTTGCCAAGCTCGCGACGGTGTACTGGGAGATGGAGCAGCGGGTGCCTAAGACGTCCTTCGGGACGGAAGGGTGAGATTGCGGCGAGTTTAGGTTGGGGCTGCGGTGATTTTCTCAGGCAGACTCACCACTGCTGTTGCTCTTGAACCCTCTATGACCGCCATGCTGTCTGAGAAGTCGTCTCGCCTACGGCCGCAGCCGCCGCGCCCCGCACGAGCGAGCCTGCTGCAAGCGCCTGCTTGCAGCTGTGCACCACCTCGAACCGCGTGAAGGTTTGCACCCCTCTTGCGTATTTCTCGCCAGCGTTTGTCGTCCGTCACAACTTTTGCTTACCTCACCTTTCCCGATGCCTCCGCGAAATAACGCTTCCCTGCCAGGTGCACTCGTTATCGGGACATGATGTCCCCCGAGGACATAATCCCGGTCTTCGAAGGCGTGTTCGTAGCCTCCAGCGACGAGCGCAGGCAGTTCGTGATGCAGTCTATCGGGGCTGAGGCTGCACCCTGGGGCGACCTGTTCGCCATCTGGGACGTCGACACTCCTGGGCAGGTATATGCATGGTGTCCCACACGCACTGGTGCCGTTTCGTTGTTATTCCCCCAACCTCAATATTTTAGTGTTTTCCCCTCCAGCATGATTATTAACCTTTTTTCACCGATACAATCGAGTGTCTGTGCAGGTAGTTCCCGTCCAATCATCTTCTGAGCTGTTGACACCTATAACGTATCTTAAGCTGTCCCCGATTCAGGAGGAAAAGGTAACACATCTGTGTTTTCAGGTCGTTCACAGTGGAGACTGATTATTTAGGGGAGCCGTTTTCCAGTGGCTGTCGACCTGTTGAGAGCAACAGTCTAACGCTTCGCTTGAAAACAACCACCGAAAAACGCACGTTAGAAGGCACTACTGCTGTGTGGGTGTGTTTGCGACACGTTTGGCGCAAGAAAACACCTTGTTTTCTTTTCGAGTTTTTGTGGCTGGTAACAATGCTCACTTTCAGCTTCCCCGTACCCCAAATCAACCAGAATATCGTGCCGCTGCGACAAAAGCAAGGGAAATATCCATCCCACAACCTATACAAGAATATGGAAGACGAAGTTTAGTCAGATGCATGTTACACCCAATATCGTGGCGCTGACCAAGCCCCACCCCGGCCCCTCCCGTTTGTCCTCTCCTCGGTGTGATCGCGCAATGCCCACCACGACGCCCGTCTGGCCCACAGGACCCCAAATCAGCGGTGCTGGAAATCGAAGGGTTTCCAGAGGGGAATGCGTTTCACCCCCACGGCATGCACTACCGTGCCGAAACCGGGGAGCTGTTCGTGGTGAACCACGCCTACTCCCAGGGAGGGGAGCGGATAGACGTGTTCAAGGTGTCGGAGACCTTCCCGCAGGACGCCCTGCCGCCTGTGCACCCTTCCCTGCTGGAGTTAACGCCGCCGCAGGAGGAGGACGAGGAGGGTAAGTCCGATGTTGTTGACATCGGCGTGGCGACCGCGGTGCTGGGTGACGATGAGGACGACGAAGGTGTTCAAGCTGAAGGAGGCGACGGGTTGGGGGGAGAAGCGACGGTTGGCGAGCACGAGGGCGGGGGTGGGGCTTCGTTGTCGGGGGATGACGGCGGCGACGGTGGAGTGTCAGACGACGTCTCCTCGGAGAACGAGGTCGAGAGTGATAGGGCCGATGCTGCCGTCGAGGAGGAGGAGGAGGAGGAGGAAGAGGAGGTTGTCGAGAGCCCGAAGGAGATGGCCAAGCGGCTCAAGAGGGAGGCGAAGGAGGCGGCGGGCAGAGCCAAGGCGGAGGAGAAGCAACGCCTCGCAGACGAGAGAGCGGCCGCCAAGGTGTGTTAATTGCGGGTTGGTTGTCAGCAACCTTACACATAAGGGGGGGGTGTCTTCTTGTTGATGTTAACGGGCGGATACATGGTACCCGTCACGAGGAGAGAATTCCAACTTTTGGAGGCGAGATCTCAAAAATACGAAAGTGTGTCGTTGGTCACCGAAGCGGGGCGTGGCACCAACACGAGTTTGTGGTGGCTGTTTAGCGGCTCCGCGAACCATGTTGCGGTTTTGGCCTGGAAAAGTGTTGTCTCCGATCCCAGATAGTTGTTGCTTACTATGCCACCTAGCTATATTGCGTCTCACGCATCGCCATCCCGAGAGACCTGCTTCTTTCCCTCCGCCTCAAGCGTAAGACTGGTTATTTTGCCGCTAAGGATGCACGCAACCACAAGTAAAGCAAGCAGCAAAGTTCAGCGTCGATCATGCCCCAGCGGGTCGTCGATTCCTGTGTCCCCTATCGCGTCCTATGGAGACACCGTTTGCCACGCGCACTCGAGGATATAATGTGTGCCTAGCGTTTATAGCCGGGTTCTTTGAGCCGTCCGGACCTTCGGCTGAAGTACAGGGCGCCCTAAGTCGTGGTCCACAGTGTTTTTTTAACTCCAGAGATAAAGGGTAGATCAGTTGAAGGCGTAGACCACGCAAACCAAGGTTTATGAACAACATTCGAATGGCCATGGCGTTTTTATAGGGGTGTGCGGGAAAACACTACTCGTAGCACGGGCCAAGAGGAGTTGCGTTCTGCCAAAACCACCTCGAGTTAGTGGTCTCCTTGCCTGCCTCCAAGTGAAAAGAAGGCGTACCGCTCTAAAACATTATGCGTTTCCCCCAGGCACACATCTCTTCATAGAGGCTGGAAAACAAGTCGCAAAACCCTCCCGGCACACCCCACACGAAACAAATCGCACAGATTTCTCCGAAAACAAACCGCCTGCCTGCTCACACAATCCGAATCCGCGTTGTTCGTCCGGTGCCGTAGGCAGTCGCTGCGGCGAAGGCGGCGAGGGCGAAGGGCCTAGCCAAAGGGCAGACCCCGATCACGCTGACCTATTCCTTCTCGGTGGAGCACGAGCTGATCACGACCAACTACGGGGTGCTGAACGACCTCGTACTCGTGGACGATGACGAGCTGTACGTGACGCAGTTCATGGCGATGCGGCACCCGCTGCACGGCCCCACACAGCCGGACGGGGTCCTGGAGCACCTCAGACTCTACGGCTCCATGCTGCTCCTGATGCTGCAGATCAGCCCGGCACCCATCATCCGTTGCACCGGTACGCAACAAAAGGGTTGCCCCCCCGTCCATGTTTCCCCCGTTCTGTTTCCCGGTGTACGGGCCGTAAAAGGGGGCCCAGGCGATAGGGTGCGTGGGTACGGTGGTTGTTGCGCTGCCGCCCCCCTCCTTATTTTTCTTCCGTGACGTCGTCGTACGTGCTCCATGATGTAAGCTTTCAATGCAACTTCGTGCGGCCCCACTTCAGTGGGGAGCCCACGCCAACTCTCGGATCTCGCGTGGAAGCCACACCGCACAATTCAGGCGGCGGTGGCACATTCTCTCTCTTTTCGGGTGTACGGAGGCGTTTATTCCCGGTTTCTTGGTCATGCTTTGCTCTCGTGTTGATGGACAGGGATCCGTGGGGCCGACATCGACTGCGAGCGCCTGGCTAAGGGGAGGGGGGCGATGTACAACGGCATCGCGGTGCGTCACAAGCGTCATATCAGAATTGGCAGTCACGAATATGGGCAACGGTTGGTACATACCACGCACGTGCACGGACGGTGTCGTGCTCGCTGCTACTGCGGTTGGCGGTATGGGCTGCGGTATTTCGTACCGCTGATGATGCCGGGATGGAATGGCTTCGTGTGACGATTGACGGAAATTACGGACTGTCATTCCAAGGACATCCCCCCCTGGGGTAGGCCTACCGCCTTCCTTCTTGCATGGTGTAATCGGTTCGTACCCCCCCCCCTCCCCCACCGTTTTTCTCTTGTGTGTTGCACCCCCGCCTGAGAGAGCAGTTAAACCCGAACGGAGAACGTCTTCTAGTGTCAGACACGGCGGCGATGCAGATGCTCATTTTCAACCGCTCCGTGGAGACGGGAGCGCTCAGACTACGACAGCGGCTAGACCTCCCTGGGTCTCCGGATAACCTCGAGATCGATCTATACCGAGGTGGGTGTCAATGTACCTTTCGCCTCTACCGCTGTGTGTAGGTGTCCCGCCCAACAATAAGCCCTCTCTCGCGCGGGTTGGGAGTTTTGGAAGTCTTGGGCTTTGGACTGTTCCTTGTTGGCTCTTGTACGGCGCAAACATTGGCTCGTTCGAGGTAACATCGGCTTGTGCTCGAGAATCACCAAGCGGCTCAGGGGGGCAGCCATCCTTGTAGCGATGTTCGAGCGCTGCAGTCCTGGGCTCCCCCCGCTGTCACAGGCTTTCCCTGTTTCTGTCTTGTGTGCGAGTGTGGGGTCACATTTATTTCGCTAAGACCTAACGACGTTATTTTTCCTTGCTTGTGGTTGGGCCCAAGGGGGTGGGGTCGGACGGCGCTTGCAGCGTACGTCACTTGGCGATGCATTCAGTGCTACCTTCGTTTGTGCTAGACCCTACCCCCCTGGTCGGCTTGATTGCTGTCACCCCGTCCCGTAGTACTGGCGGCATACATGTTTTCCTGCTTCCTGCTGCTGGGTGTACCGCGCCATGATGTATTTGCTACGGTTGTTGTGCCACTTTCCAGCGGCCGAGGGAGTCGAGGCGTACACGGTGGGGCTGATCCGTGCCACCGACTTCGCCAAGTATTCGGCGGCGATGGGTGGGGCTACGGACCCCACTGATGGGGACGACATAAAGATGGCGGGAGGGTTTGCTTCCATCGTATTCGACCAGGAATCTGGTGAGCCGGAAGGAAAGGTGTCCATGTATGTGTGCATTTTCCTTGCGTTCAGGAAGGGGGTTTGGGGGAGGAGGTGTCAAGAGGAGAAGCCACCGTTTCACCAGGCCTGCCGCACGCGAATGTGAAGTGCCTGGTAAGCTGCTCCGGTAGGCCCAACAACGGTGACGCTAATGAAGCAAGACCTAGCACCGTGCAGAGGTGTGGAATAATCAATGTTGCACGGTGTGGTATGCAAGGATAATTTCACCGGCTCTAGCCACATGCGCGTTTACTCCACCCCCTTTTACCGAATCGGCACCTTCCCGGAAAAAATCACAAACCAGGCAAGTACGAGAGCAGTTTGGAGATGTGGCACGACGGGAGCCTGCTCTCGATTTCCTCTGCGGCCTCGACCGCCTCGGGGGCCCGCGTGATGGGCTCTGCCGTTGAGGAGGGGTACCTGTTGTGCCGCCCACCCCCTTGCCCGTTGGGCAGCCAGGAGGCAGCGACGGATGGGACGACATGTCCGTGGGGACCACCCCCCCCGCCGGCGGTAGAAGAAGAAGAGGAGGCCGAAGACCCAGAGTAGTCTATTAAAGTGTGTTTTTTTCACCTCCTCCCTTTCTCTGTCAAGCGGGTGTGTCGTTTACAGTGGTTCATGGTCCTGGCAGCGGATGTATTTGCTGGGCAGCGAGCTGGTTTTTGTCTTGGACCAATGGCGATGGCCCTCGTGAAGCATGCAAGAGGTTGGCGGTGACGTTCCTCTGGCCAGCCCCCCCCCCCTCCCCCAAGACGTTTTACGTTGAAAAACGCCTTCGTTGTATTGTAACTCCAGGGGAGGACGGCAAATACACCCAACATGGAGCATTGTAGATTTGGTCCGAAAGTTTTTGGCCTATTGATGATGTACTGCTTGGCCTGCAAGTTTGAAGGGCCTGCGGTGCAGAGATTGCGGCCCTTGTAGCTTCGTAGCTGTCGTGTAGCGTTCGTTTCTTGGAGGAAAGCCGAACGCTTTTTGTTTGGGGGGATGGAACAGATCATAGTTTAATGTGCTTGTTGGCATGCCATCTCTTGGCTATGGTTGAAAGAAATGAGAAAGCCGAACGCGTTGTTTTGGGAGGGAGAGGGGGAGCAGATAATGATATATTGTGCTTGTCGTCATGCCATCTCTTGGCTGTGGTTGAAAGAAATAAGAAAGCCGAACGCGTTTGTTTTTGTGGGGGGAGGGGGAGCAGATAATGGTATTATGTGCTCGTTGTCATACCATTTCTTGGCTGTGATTGATTGAAGTGAATCTCGGTGTGAGTGTTCCAGACGCACGCACGATCCATTAACGGCAGTGCCTAGAGTCAGCACTGGTTGGTTTTGTGTAACGTTTTTTCCCTCCTGATTTTGCGTGGGCATGAGAGTGCTGGAGGCAATGAACCGAACCGAGAGGGAGCTTGCGGTTCAACCTGAGTCAAAGAAAGATGCGGTTGGTTTTATGTGTAGGTGTATGATGTAGATAGCTAAGGTGCGCTGCTTTGCTGCGCTTTTTTAGTTCGTATCTTGCCAGAGGCCGAGAGAAACGGCGGTGACTCTCGACTGCAAGGAGACTTCAAAAATGCTGATTGGTGGTGTGATGGATAGCCCCGAGTAAAGAGCTGTACAACCGAAGAACTCCTAACACATGTAGAGAGACGCACGATTGATTGATGTGCCATGCTGGATGAACCACGATCGATATCCCATTAATATATTTTCGGGGTCAATTCGCTGTCGCCCCTGGTGTCACGGCGAAGAGGAAAGGCACTGCTGTCTTTTCATTGAAAAAAAATGCGTTGACTTGCTGAATGCGGGTGCTTCGGTGGTTTTGCTGATCTACGACAATTAACCAGTCGTCGCGTCGATGGCTGGTGACGTTGCACGGCAATAAGGGCAGCGCGGGCATCTTGAGCTTCACGAAGGCTCTGGGCGCGTTTTTTCTTCCTCTTCGATGGCATGGCTGTCCGCGGCAGAGGTTCCCGCACAACGTGAAACTTGGCGTATGGCGTGCTGCTATGCATAGACCGGAGAAATGGGCACCGTCAACACCGCTCATGGGTGTCAGTTGCTGTTGTGATGCAGACAACGGCAAGCAGCTCGCAGCCTCGTTTTAACATCATCAAGCCCGTCATGTCACGGTCGGGGTAATCGTGCCCATCCATCACGCAAGCCTTTACACTACACCGCAAGCACACAAAGGATACACTTTCAGACGTCCAAAGTACACGGGGATGGCACACGCACAATACGACGGGCGTCCCGAGCACGTCCCCACCACACGCAAGCTGTGAACCGTGCTCCCGAAAGTCATTTCATCTTCGGATTGCGAAGAGAAAATAGATCGTCAACGTCTGCTTCCAGATTCCAAGTTGGGGCCATAGCCAAACATTCCGTCAGCCATGTATCGACAGTTTTAGCAGCAGCATCGAGAGGCACACCGAACTCTCACCGGCGTATTCCGAAATTTTTGCACGCGGGTAATTCACACGACCTAATAATTTCCACGACCTGAACCTCAAACACACAACAAGTCGTCATCCAATCAAAGCTCCAACACACGCTGTTTCGATTTGTCATCGAGAAAAACACTTTATTGTCCCAAAATGAACGCGTCAACACAGACAATCGCTCACCAACCACTGGGCACCCGTTTCCTCTACTATAATAACACCAACATCCATCAAACAACCATTCGTTCACTTCGTTTACGGCTCTGGCCCCGCTTGCCGCAAAGGTGACCCGGGGGGGGGGGGGACATCTTGGCCCGATCCCTGGGTTCCACGGGTCCACAGCATGCACACCTCTCACACTCATATGGTACATGTTGTACATGCAGTCGGTAATATTCTGGTTCTTATCTCTGCACGTTGATCCTAGCCCCGCGGCCGTCCTGCAGATGACCAAAAACACCCTCGACAGGGACACTGGAAAGTATCAACACCACAGCATGTGAAACGATTTGTCCTAAACCTTGTCTACATTGCGTTCAGAATGGCGGAATGGGACCACTACCTTCAAAGGGTTCATTTCGGGGAGAACCTTTCCCTGATCCCAACCTAGCCTTCGTGACAAAGCGACAAAATACAACCCCGCTCGTAGACCTTACTTCAAGAGGTGGCCGTTCGCGCGCTGCAAAAATAAACAACCCCCGTCTATCGGCATGTCGAACTTGGTCCCATAGGTGCTTCGCTCACACAGAGCTCGCTGGCTCCCCACCGAAAAGAGAGAGAGGGCTCGACTACCGCGGAGGATAACTCGGCATGCTTGAGCCGGGGTGGGGGAACGGCGGAAACATCGGCTGCTGCGCCTGCTGCCCGCCGGGGGGACCCCCCGCTGGCGGCGGTGGACCGTTCATGACTTGTTGAGGCATAGGCGGAGGGCCGCTAAGGACTTGATGAGGCACAGGCGGAGGGCCGTTAACAACTTGCTGAGGCAAAGGCGGCGGGACGTTCATGACTTGCTGAGGCACAAGCGGGGGACCGTTAACGACTTGCTGAGGCATTGTCGGCGGCCCCTGCGGAGCGTACGCTGGTCGCCCACTCCCGCCGCTCACGTACGCGGTTCCTCCTCCTCCTCTCTGCTGGGGTGGCGGTGCCACCATGTGAGGAGGCGCGTGCTGAACGGCGTACTGCTGCTGCTGCTGCTGGAACTGCGGTGGCGGCACTTGTTGAAATCGGGGCTGCTGCTGCTGCTGCTGCTGCTGCTGCTGCTGGATATATTGAGAAGGGTTCGGCATACGCTGCTGCTGAGGCGAGAACCCCCGGGTAGGCAAAGGACCTGGCGCGGGTGGACCACCAAAGCCCTGCCTGTGAAACCCACCGGGGGGTTGAGGAGCATACGCCGTCTGCTGCAGAGGTGGCGGCATCCCTCCGCTGCCCGAGAAACCACCACCACCGCCGCGAGGCTGCCGGGCGGCGCCCTCAGGAGCGCACCCCCTCCCACGGCCGCCGCCCTGTCCGCCGGCCCCCCTTCCTCCACTCGGACCATAGGGCCCCGCAGCCGCCCTTCCTCCACTAGGACCGTAGTGTCCCGCGACATCCTCGTTTTGGCTACCGTTCTTACGCCCCCGCCTCCCACCACCACCACCACCACGGGGCCCCTCGCCACGCCCCCCGCCCCCCCTGCCGGCTCCTCGTCCTCCGCCTCCGCGGCCTCTGTTGGCGGCAGCGTTGGTCGCGTCTTTCTTGGCCTTCTTCTGGCGGCGCATCTCTTTTTCTTCGGCGATGATGGCGTCGATCTCGTCCGGGAGAACGCCCTGCATGGCCAGATCGTCGCGCTTCTTGGTCTCCTTGGCTCTCGCGATCGCCAATTTTTCCTTTTCGAGGAAGGTAGGCATAAGGGAAACAAAATGACACGGAATTAGGGTGGTTTTAGTAATAAATAAAACGTTCGGGCAGGACACAAAAATACTATACTGCAATGGAAGTAGGTGAAGTGTGTCCTGATTTGTTGATTGCCCCAAGAGCAAGACACTCGCTGCTCCAATGATAGTTCTGTGTAACTGCACGGGGCAGGCCTTCACAGAAGAAAGAACGGAAGATTTGGGGTTAGGCTGGCGCATGGATAGAACTGCGAAGAGAGGTCATACGCTTTTACGTGTTCGCGCCGCCGCTCAATTCCTCCCCCCCGGTGTTTGCCATCGGGGTTTGGGTTTTCGTCGCTTGGCAACGACGTTGTAAAACAAGCCCCCCACTCGGTGTTTGCCATCGGGATTGGGTTTTCGTCGCTTGGCAACGACGTTGTAAAACAAGCCAATTCACTTCGTGAACTCGGCAACCAGGTTACCGTTTTTTTTTTTTTACCTCGTTTTTTTTTTTTTGGCGGTAACCATAATGGTGGTCGAGTAGATCATGTTGTGCGGGGTCGAGAACCCTCACTCCGCGCAACGGGGGATGATCGCACCACGTTGTGTTGAAATGGTCAAGCTTCCTCGAGGCAGTTACACAGTGCTTACAACTGTCTCTGGAAGTGAAAGCACCAGAAAATAAATTAAGTCATACGCAGCTGTCATCCGTACGCAAGGAAGTAAGCACAAGATGCCGACCACCCTTAGCAGGATGCAGCTCACCCTTCATGCGACTCGCCAAATACCTCACGGCGCTTCGCGCTTGGTGATGTGAGAGCCTGGTCCGGTGAGAACCCGGCATGCTCAGTCCCGGCTTTGTAGGGATGCGAGGTCAATGGTCAAACGACTACGGCATGCACGACTATGAGTACACCCCCCCCACCACAACGCCATGACTCTTGAACAGCTTCCAAGAGTCGAGCAACTACAAGCCGTATTGCATAGGGGTCGGTATTTTTCCCTCGCAATCGCCGTGCTGGACATGGGGGAGGGGGGGGGGGGTTCCTGTGTCAAAGTGACGAGAGTACGGCAAAAGAAAGACAGCTGCTGGCTGGTCAACCGTCGGAGATCGTTCGCACACGAGTCGTTTGTCTTTAGGACCCCGGAGTTGCACGCGTGCACGGGAAGCAAAGAGAGCCAAGCACACGCAACAAGAACATAACAGCAGACCATTTTGACACGGCACACTTGCACGTTGCACGAAACCGTTACTACCTGTTCATCGTCGGAAAATTCCTCCTCCTCAGCCTCTTCGTCGTGGCAGTTGGAAGCGTCCGTCCCTTTGTCATTCAAGATCTTTTCTTTCTGCAACATCTGGGCGTTCTTGAGTGCGTACACGGTGGGCCCCGTTCTGTACGGGGGGGGGGGGGGGAGGCGTCGCAGGAAAGTAGAAGGTAAAGCTGCGGTCAAGCCTCTGTTACACATGAAAAAGAGCGAGAAAACCGTGCACATACACGGTCCGATAGTGATGCTCAAAATGAGCTGTGGGGGGAAACGGAGGGCGACAAACGGAGCTTGAGGGACAAGACAACGGTGAGAGATGGGCAGATAGATACAGGGAGAAGAAACGACGGTAGGCAGAGATGCAGGCGATCGAGTATGGCCTGCGATGCCCCGTTGAATATGGTGCAGTAGACATCATGGGTGCAACAATTGGTGCAGGGTAGTCTGCAACGCCCAATCGGCCTCCGGTCCAGAAGGGATAATAATATCCCCGGCGTCCTGGTTATAAAACAAACAAAGGACGTCTGACTAAACGTGCTATAGGTTCTAGACATTAGACAGAAAACAACGAGCGTCACAGTCGTCAACGAGACAAACAAAAACTATCTGCCCGTCCCGCGTGTGTGACCTCGGCTGACATGCGTCAGAAATGTACACCCAAAGGTGTGTAGCTTGGCGCCAGAATAAACGGGACCAGCATACAACACACACACACACACGACAGACGACGACGAAACAAAACTGAAGCCATACTCCTCTCCCCTCTTTGGCAAAGTAATGGGAGGGAAAGATTGGCCATCGGTGATCGGTCCTGTGGGAACAATGCCCCGTCCTACGCCCCCCGTACCTTCCAACGGGAGAACGGGTGCAGGTCGCGCGTCAACATGGCCTCCTGCGCGTCAACGACCACCTTCCTGATGTCCTCCAGCTTCTGGTCGTTGTTGGGGTTGGGCTTCTTCTTGGCACGGGACCGTCGCATCGCATCCTCGCGAATCTGGGCCCCGGTCATGGGCGCGGCTGCCGCTGCCACTGCCGCGTCCGCCTCAGCCGCTGCTGCCACGGCCGCCTTGAGAGCGGCTTCCTCAGCGGCTATGGCGATCGCCGGGTCGCGGAGCGCGGCGGCCTCTGCCTCCTCTTCTACTCTCTTCTCGATGACCGCCATGTGCGCGTCCGCTCGCTCCTGGAGGTGAGCAAGCAGGACGAGGTGCAAGTAGGGGCTTATGGTAGCCCGGGGGTAGCCCCGGCCTCGTCTCAAGTCCATTTTATTGTTGGTCAATAGGAGAGAGCAGTAGATTAGGGCGAGCAGGGGCTTGGCCAGGGGAGGGGGGAGAACGTTTGTTCGCGCGGAGCATGGCCAGGACACAAGGATCGGAGGAGTGTGTGCTATAGGAGGAGAGTCTGTGTGTCACCGGTCCTAGGAGAGAAGAGGCTGTGTGTGTCACCACTTCACCCAATGGTCAAACTGTGTATCACAAGACCAGTCCACCCAATGGTTAAAAGAAAACGTCAACAGAAGGCTCTTGAGTTTGGTTGGTGTGGGTGTTAGCCATTGTAAGATGCCGCAAGATGACACAACTTAAGATGGCCACAACTTCGTTCCAGCCACCCTTCTCGTTGTCGTTGCCGTTGCCTGCAGTATCGTTCTCTTCTCTAGGTAGCTTGCTTGTCACCAAGCGGAGTCCAAGCTATCCGCTGTACAACTCAAAGGTTGGTGGATCTCTCAATTTGTCTCAAGTTTAGGGTCTCTTTCTCTTTTCTCCTAGTGACGTCTTATGTCGTCTGGCCCAGATCGGACGAACTTTTTTCCACCAACGACGAAGGACACGGCGCCTCCGAAGCTACTACTAATACAACCTTCCTCTCCAACACACCATAGGTTGAACAAAATATTAGCGTTCCACGCTCACACGCACACCCATCTTCGGAAACAATCGCAACCTGACAACGGACAGAGCACCACGGCGGTAATACTTTCAACACCTTGACGAAAAACACAACAGCAAACCACCCAACATTACCCCGTCCACTCATCATGCCCCACCTTCTCCATCTGCAAGAGTTTCTTGAGGGCAACCTGGTAACGAACGACGACCTGGTGCTGCACGGCCGCCCCTTGCACGCGCACGGTGTAGTGAGGGAGCGCGCAAGGTCCGAATATCTCGTGGATGCGGCCCAGGGGCTCCGTGGCTCCCGTCGCCTCCCCCGAGGGTTCGCCCTGCCAGGTGCCAGTGTTGACAAGCGTCAGAGGGGGGGGAGTGTAAGGGGTAGGGAGACCGGAAGAAGCCGCCTGTAGCGGTATTGTACAAGTCTGCGGTTGTTCAGGCCTGGGAAACCTTGACGTATTTATCTCGCGCATCGTGCTGTGTCCGTAGCCCTGACGTCAGCCATAATCTTGTATGCGGTGTTGCTCCTCACGGACGATCCATACACTAACACTACCACAATCTCTCTCTCTCTCTCTCTCTCTCTCTCTCTCTCTCTCTCCCTGCCCTTCTCCCTCCACCCCCACCTCATCTCTCTCCCTCGCCTGCTCTCCTTTGGCCACCTCTCACATTCTCTTTTGGCTCGACGACGCGCGACGCAAGCACACACCCCTCGTCGAGAACCAGCCCCGGCTTCCCCTGAACCACTATCGTCCCGTCTGCTTCCACCAGCGACAGGATCTTGCCAACCTCTTGCACTTCGGCCCCATCCAAGGACACCTCTCCCAGGGGTAAGATGGGCTCCAACTCCTGATACACGGGTTTAAAAGAAAAGCGCAGACGCGTATTTTTGGTGGTGATGATCGTGATCGTGAGAATGTGGAGCATGCGTGCTTTCGGACGATTGGGGGCGTGTTTTGGGCGACAACGAACAGGAAAGAATGACGGACAGAAACAGAATCGACGAAGGCGTTTAGGGACATTCGCACAGTGGCGTATTAGTATTTACATCGCCGAGATGGCAACCCGAAGCGAGAACAGTACAGCAGTAGGGGCACAAATGAACGCAAATGTGCTAAATAGCCCGTACCAATAAACGACAACAGAGCAAAGCAGAGAAACACAGGAAAGGGAAAAGGAGCGGGTGGTACAAGACAACGAAGAAAGACGGACAAATGCCAAAGCTGTCACATCGCATCCTTGATCATACAATAGGCAAGTATCAGAAACTCCTCAGTCTTGGTTTGTTACGTACAACACGGAAAAAAAAAACTGCGGTTGCGCATTGTAGGTCATGGGGACATGAGGACACGTCACCTACACAGCACAAGAAACCTTTCGATGGCACCAAACAAGCCACGAACAACACACCGCGATACCTCGTTTTTCGTCATGGGCAACGCGGCACCCATGAACTCTTCATCCTCCCCGTCGGATACGTCTCCGATAGGCCGGATCGACAGGGGACCCGTGAGGGGCAGATGGGGATCCTTGCTGAGAACCCGGGTATGGAAGAACGAAACCAGAAGGGGAAGGTCCGACGAAGAGGACGAGGTTGGTGATCGAGATCATGGGCCGGAGGTTGGTGTGGGTGTCGTCAAGTCGTTCGTTTCTTGCTGAGGACTGGACATGGGATCGTAGGTCCAAAACACGAAACCAAGCTTCAAACGAGAAAGGCGAGCGATCGTTGGCAAAAGCTAGAACCCCAAAGACAACAAATCTTCCACTGTGTAACACCGAAAGGAGTTCGATCGAATAAATCATGCCTATCAAACAGGTCAACGGTTCACAGACGCTTGTACGGGCCAGCTACGTGACCAACAACCCATCAATTCGCACTCGATCTGGCAGCCTTGACTTGAGGCCACATGTGCGAACTATTTAACACGTCACCACTCTTGTTTTTCGCGCAGTGGACAAAGGAGCGCTCGGTTCGAAGCAAGGGGATGCTGCGTTTCAGTCCGCATATGTGTCCCCTGCTGCCAAAATCCCAATGGCAAAAAAACCACCGACCGAGGAGAAAAATGATCAAAAGGTGAAAGACAACCAGAAAAAGAGAGGGCGATACAGCTGCTGTACTCTGGCAGCCCGGGAATCGGGTGCGAAGCACCGAGAGCGGAGACAGGCGTATGCCGTACCGCTGTACATCCGAGGTTGGATCGAATCGCGATCGAAGTCGTCGAGAACTTCACTAACGTGCTGTGTTCCAACAGATCTAAATCCCCACAACACTGTAACACACCATCTCTGCCGGTGGCCACGATACGGCAGTGGCATTGACGGGCCAAAACGCTGTCGCTGCTGCAAGCACAAAAGGATGAGGCGGCGTGTTCTCACTTTCTCCTCGGAGCCTCAATAACTTCGCTATCTTCGGAAGAAACCTCACTGCTCCCGTCCCCAGCCTCTTCCTCGGGCTCCATCTCCATCCACTCGGGCCGGCCCTCCGCTCCCCCTCCTCCTCCTTCCTCCTCCGCTTCAAGAATGGCCGCCTTTCTCTTGCCTTTGTTGGCGGCGCTCGACTCTTCCTTCTCTACCTCCATGCCCTCCGCCTGTTGTTGTGCCCGCTCCCCGCCCACCGTGCCGGCGGGGGCCCTTTGTTCCTCTTCGTCCTCCGAGCTCTCCTCGTCGCTCTCGATCTTGACTTTCGCCGTCGCGCCCTCCTGCGGACCGCCGTCTTGTCCTTGTTGTTCAGTGTTCTTGGAGGCTTCCCCGTTGGCCACCGGGCGTACGAGGTCTGACGGGGCCATGACGCCGGCCGCTAGCGCCGCCACCTGTGTCCGACATTGTTCATGGGAAGAATGACGACAGCGAAAGACCAAGACCACAGGTGGTCCCACCGTCAGTGAGTATCAGCCAGCAATGAAAGAACAATACAATCAGTACTGCTGTATTTCTAAGCCAGTGAGTTGGAGGCAGCCGGCGAGGGCGGCCACGCTTACCGTTTGCGACGCCATAGTGCAGCAGGAGGAAAGTGCGTGTTCCATCAAATCAATAATGTCGTAAGTCGTAAACAGCCCTTGGGCCGGCACCGACCGGGATGCCTACTTGGGCAGTCTCCACAAAACGAAAGGAATCATGGTCCGGACGACGCGATCTGTCGGAAGGTTCTCTGTAGATAAAAGGGCCTCTACCTTCGGCAGAGCACCGCAGAAAGGGTGGTATGGGGGCTCAAGGGGAGGAACCTTTGTGCGTGACCACGGATTGGATCCCCTGTAACGGCAGAAATAAGACTGTGGTCATATCTCGAATGGGTAGTCTTTCTGTGTTTGTATTTAGTTTCCTAAGAAATAAATGCTGTGTGTGAGCGCTGAGTCAAAGTGATGAAAAACAAAAAAAGTATGGGTCCTTGTCTTTCTACTATTTCAAGTACATCTGAAGAGGAGTAGGAGTACAAGGTTGGCACCTCAAGTGTCGTCAGCACACCCACGGAAAACAGGAGTGACCATTAAGATGCTCTCTTTCAGCTGAGCGGTACGTACTTGAACACCCCGCCCTGCGGATCGCTCGTGTGTGTCGGTGGTCCTCAGTGTTTGTCGTCGTACATACGGAGTACGTTGAATTCTCCTCGCAACCAATCGGCTGAACAATTAACAGATGCACGCCATCACTGGGTGAAATAAAACAAATGCTGCTTCGGTGCACGCATTTACTTTCTAAGAATACTGGTAATAGGGATTAAGGAATAATAAAAACACACACAGAACGACTACCCATTCGAGATATACCCACAGTCGAACGGGATGTGGTGGTAACGGCATCCGCCGGGTGCGGCGAAACGGCACTCGTCCTCTCGGCCCGCACACCACCGCACGTGGATTTCATCGTCCATGTTGTGGGTTTCGCTCTAGGCCTCAGGACGAGACGGCCAAAACCAGTTCAAAGGCCCAAACCGCTTCGAACGGGGGGATGCTACGAAGCAATTGTAGACTTGTAGCCTTCGCGTGTACCTGGCCACGGGCCCAACCGCTGCAGGGTTGCTTGCGGGGGAATACATGATCATCATGTGTCTCTCGGGCAGAGGAGATATTTCGATATTTTGGGTGGACTGCGGGTACCAAGAGCATTTTTTCAGTCGAGGTGGGCCCCGAAAACTCTCACTCCGTGGCGGAGCTGTGGCACGTGTGTTCACCCACCTCGGTGTCTTTGATGCGCGCGCCGGCGAGGTCCGCAAGTTCGATCGCTTCGACCACGGCAGGGTCACCGGTGGGTGTCGGCGCCTCCTCCGTTGGTTGTACCATCTTGAAATCCTTGCGCAGCGGGTCCACAACAGGCTGGGTATTGTTTTCCTCTTTCGAGTAAACGACGCACGACGCTACCCGGCAAAGAAAGCACGGGGGTCCCTGAATACGTACACGCTGGAAGGCTGGAGGTTTGCGGAGCCACAGCACAGCTAACGCGTGTGGTGTGTGGCGAGGACGCGGCGGGATATGGGAGCACGCAGTATCATTCTTGAAGGTTGGGTACTAAAATACCGATATGCGGATGCCCCTATGATGTAGAAAAATTGGTTTGTAGGAACCCGCCGCGTTTCACCTGCCTCGACAACTTCACTTGACAATCACTTGTGGAGGGTGTTTGGTATACTACTACTTCTTCTCAGGAGGTGCGTTGGTCCGTGTGTGTGTCATGCGCAATCGCAGTTGGAAGTGGAAAACCTGGACCTCTGCCTTGTGCTCGTCGAGATTGGTTATGCACAGCATTACATGTAGTTGTGTGTGTTCGTTTTAGCATTTCAAAGTTTCAAAGTTTCAAAATGGGATTGTAAGGGGTTGGTGTACATTTACAGACAGCAGTAGTCTATCCATAAGTTCACATGTTTACGTTTCAAAACTTGCAGATGTATGTTTGTCGGACAACAGCAGCACACTACATAGTCTATGTGGATAGTTTGTCGATCGATAATATGGAGAGATCAAATTCATGTTGTGTCCACAGGTGTCACACATGTAGACTACAATGCCCCGCCCCCCGACCGTCTCTTTTCCCCCCTCCCTCTCTCGCCCCCTCGCTCTTTCGCTTATACTATGCCCCGTTGTGAAACGCAGGCCCCCAAAGTTCCGTTGCACTACCGCACCCATCTTATCTTGAAAACACGCACAGACTATTATTGCAGTAGCTTCAGAGGACTGGCGGCGAGGCCAGAAGTATACCGGGTTGACCCAGGCATGGCGGCGGACTCCACCAGCAGCAAGATCTGGCAAGAGCTGCGCAAGCTCAGAGACGACACCCCCCCGCCGGTTGACAACAATACCAACAGCAACAATGGAGACCAGGAGAGTTCTGCCTGCTACAAAGACTTCGCAGCGTTTGCGGCTTGCAACGAGGTTCGGGTCGCAATCGGACGCTCCTCCGCACTCCCCCGAGACCAATTCCTCGCGATCTTCACGCAGCTCGTGGCCGGGCCCCGACTAGACGAACTCCTTGACCTTTTCAAGCTCAGTCGGAGTCCTCCCCACCCAGCCCTGCAGTACGCCTGCCTTGTCGCCCTACACGGCGTCGCCGAGCTCAGCGACAGGCGCAAGGACCTGCTCACACGGCCCGACGTGGTCAAAGAGCTTTGCGCGGTGATGGCGTCTCCTCGACAACGGTTGGTCACGCCCACGTCAGCGGGTGCAGGCGGGGTAGAGATTGTCAACACGGCGGCCGGTGCGGTCACTACAATTACCGGGCTCTTCACTTCTAACGGGTACGCGGTGTGGTATAATAGTTTTCGGTTTCGCTCGATGAACGCCATCGAAATCGGTACAACAATCAGCATCAAAGTCTGATAAACAGCTGTTCTTGCTTGTAGTACGCAATAATATTCAGAGACTACGGTAGCTCCCCAAGAACACTCATCGCCGAAACTCATTTAACCCGAAATCGCCTTTCGCGCCCAACTTCTCCAACCTTCACCTCGCAATGCTATTCAATCATACGCCTCCACCGGTTTCAAACTATCACCGCCCCAAACAGACCGCTGGAGCCCCCCTATGCGAAGCTCTGGGTGGAACTAGGAGCCGTCTCAGCTCTAGCCTCTTGCCTGGAGAACCACGCGGTGTTCGACCGCTCAAACCCCGTTTCTAGCGACCTCCCATTGTGCTTCTTCCTGATCGCCACGTCGTTGCTCGCGGGAGCGGCGGACTCCGTCTCCGAGGAGGACAAGCTCAGACTCGGGAAGGCTTGGCTCACGGTCTTTTTGGAGGCCACGAGGTGGATCGCTGACGAGGCGGCGGACCTGCTCGCAGACTTTTACACCCGTCCCAACTGGCTGAAAAATATCGTAGGACGTATGCCCGAAAAGCTGAGGGCGAGCGCAGTGGCGGCTGCGCGGGAGTGCGAGCGGGAGGGGACCGGGAGCGGAAGTAGTTCCTGGAAGGGTGGCAAGACCGACCGCCTTGCTCTGGCTCTGCTGTGCGGCAACGCGTACAACTGGGACGCGAAGGGCGAGCTGGTGGGGAGAAGATGTGCGGGGCCTCGGTGCGATCGGGTGCAAAAGTGCGACCATGGTGGCGGCAACCCTCATCTTGCTGCTAGTGGGGATGAGGGCGGAGATGGCACCGCCAGTGTGGCATTCAAGCGGTGTTCGCAGTGCCACGCCGTAGGTTACTGCTCCCGGGAATGCCAGAAGGCGGGCTGGAAGAAACACCGGAAGGCTTGCTTGGCGGTGAACTCTTGAAGACCTCTTGGCCCCACGAAATGGTGTTTTTCTGTTCCCTCCAAGCGATAGAATTGTTCCGAATGATATGACCCAGCCATGGCTTCAAGCGAATGTCGTCCTTTTTCACATATGTTGGCACCCAACCTCTGTTCACACTACCGCCTTGGTTGCTTGACGTCCATGTGCGTGGTGACGGCAGCGATCTTTACAACGGAGGCGTTTCGTGTGTCGAGCTCTTGGGGAAGAGCTTCCATCGACCGCATCACAGCCACCGGCCCTTGCAGTCCCCCGGTTTGGGTCCTTTTCGGACTGAGAACGAACGAAAGCCATGTGTTCGGAAGGTGTGGTTCCCCTCCTCATTTTGTTTTCACTTTATGTTGCCGTTTTTTAGACAACATATTACTTGTGCGCCTGCAGCATGTCCTCTACAGGGCCCGCATGGCTAGCGCGACAAATTCCAACTCCTCTACGTTGTACAATAAGTAATTCAAATGCCACCTACAACCACACAGGCCAACCACAAGTCATCAAAGTTTGATGTGCACCCCGCATCGCACATCCAAACTATTTTCACCATTTACAGCCCCGGGTAGTATTCAAGAAGATCATGACCGCTGTCGGGCTTGCCCAACACTGATGACGGAAAGTAGCAAAGTAGCATCCACGAAAGAGGAACAGCGGCACTTGAAAACAAGCAAGAGGATGATGCGACTCGACCAGCGCAGCGTTTGCTTTGATGATCAGCAAAACAGGACAGGATCAAGCCCATTCGATTCCTGCCGCGTTCGCCTTTTCCTTCCACTTCTGCCACTTGGGAGGGTTGCTGTCGATGAACTCGAGGATGGTGTTGACGACGTTGTAAGTGATGTCGTCGACGCCGTCTTCTGGTTTCAACTGCACGGTCACATCGGCCTGTTGCCAAAACGGACGACAAGCGTGTGAAACAGCAGGGTACGGTGGGGGGGGGGGCGAAGAGCATTTACATTACATAGAATGGTTGGTTCAATTGAGACTTTGCGGATCACAGGTGGCGTGTGTTTGCGGTAGGTGCTGTGCTATGGCTGTACGAGCTCAACGGCCTGGGTCTTTCGCCGATATCTTGCAGGTTTAAAAAAAAAGATGAAGTGGGCGCCACGAAATCTTCATGCATACCCTCCGAGCACCGCAACATGCATGCGCTACACTACGATTTCGATAGCCCGCTTCAGTACGAGAGGGGCATGCCCATTGCTCTGTAAATGTCTACATGATACATTGTAGAAACAAAACTGCATATGCTGAGATCACCGTAAACCAGCTTAGTGGGGGTGTGATGTTTCTCTCGGCATTTAATAGCAGACGGTTGCAATCTGTACATTTCTGCTCTGCATGGGTGGAAATGCCATGAACCTAACAAAGGGAACTCGTATTGAGACCACGGGTCGAACAAAACTCGCTCACGTGTGCAGGGACCAACATGAGAGTTACAGTCATGCAGGTGGATACGTCATCTATCGTATGCCAGTTCATACACAAGCGTCCATGCACGCCAACCAGTCTCGCCACAGGGCACTGCCATTTCTACCGCTGCCTCTCGTGACACTGCCATTGAATTGTTTACCAAAACCTTACAACATTCACGTGGCGTGTGGCACGTAACTGCGCCTCTCCGTGACTGCCAAACCCGTACCTGCGCATACTGGGGCTTCCTTTTCTCCAGCAGCTCCTCGAGCTTTCCCTGAGGGTCGTCTCCCGCCAGGAGCGGCCTCTTGGCCACTTCTTCCGGATCTTTCGACAACCGTTCGAATATATCCTTGGGCTGGGGAAACGTGCAGGGCGATCCAAATGCATCATAGGGGAGTGTTCGAATTGCAACAGGGTGTGTAGCATTGAGACAACTGAACTTGGCTCTCGACTTTTTATTTCGAGAGGAAGATCATTCAATAATAGCATCAGAGAAGAGGTTCACCCAAGCAGGGCAACAGTGGTAAAGCTATGGTTCATAGTGAGCGCTAGAAACGACGGCGGTGCAAAGAATGCACTCACAGCATGTCTATGGAAACAACTGGAGTGTGATCGTTCGGAGAGGCCTCCAAGTTCTGGGTCCGTAGTTTAATGGCTTCCCGTTGGACGAACAATCTCAGGATTTCCGCGAACTGGAGAATTTTCGCGTCTTCAAGTGCACACAAGTCAAAACCCCTCAAGGCTTACGGTTTTCGTATCCTTCAACGTTGAATTACTTCGCCCTTCTTCGCATACACGTTGTCTTCGATCCAACCCTAGGAGTGGGTGCACCGAAAATCTTTGAAACAAACCACACGCACATACGGGCGTATACATCTCCCTTCTCTCTCACTCTTACCTCCATGTCGAGCCAAACCACCATGCCGGTCTGCATCTTTCCCCAGTTTTTGTTCTCCGACACGATGCCCCCGCCCGTGGCGACGCACATCTTGACGTACGAGTGCACCTGTCGATTATTCCAGCAACGACGGTACCAAGCAGATTCAAGAGACTTCACGGCTTCATGTTTGGGGATGGAACACTTAACATTCGAAACGGGTGGGTATGGGTCACAGTTCTCAGGCATACCAGCACGCCCACTCTTGTCGCTCAGACAAAAATCCCGCAGGTACATACATATCCAAGGGCTGTCCCTCTCCTATGTTTTCCCTCGCACAAGCACCTCGGAAGGGATAGCAACCGCTCGGCATGCGACGCCACATAGAAGTTGAGCTCGTTCCGCTCGCTCTCCATTCAATTGCTGTTTCGTACCGATCATCCGTCGCAAAAAGCAAGCAACGAATTTCGCGCGCCACAGGACTGCGCTCCGCCTCATGCACGACCTGAAAGTTGACACCCCGTGAGCAGCGCACGCAACAAACAAGTTCGACCAGCCTCGCCTCAGCCCACGCCCTCCCCACCACCGTATCACCTGGTCTAAGACCTGGCTCTCCACGCTCCGGAAGCCCTCCTCCCCATCCTTGGCAAACACCTCGCCTACGCTCGCCCCCAGGAGCTCCTCGATGATGGTGTCGGTGTCCAAGAAGATGTACCTGCCCATCACGTCCGCCAGGGCGCGCGCGACCGTGGACTTCCCCGTGCCCATCATGCCCACGAAAAACACGTTCGTGCCCTGCCAAAAAAAAATTGAAGAGCAAGAACGCGGGACTCGAGGGGGTGTTGGAAGTCCTGCATAAGGATGATCAAAGAGTATCTACGGCCGGAACAAACACTACAAGAGGTAGCGTGGTCGAAGAGATGTTGCCGAAGCTTGAACACCTCTTATGCATAGGCCATATGTAGCCGAAACGAAACCAGGGGACTAACCCCTTTCATGCTGCGTGCTCCAAGTTCTTCTCCACAGAGAGACTTGCTGTATCTCGGCGTTGTTGTTTCGTCAAGCAAAGGGTAGAACAGCATTAGACTGCCTTTGTAGTAAGCGTGTGCCCTAACGTGGAACTACTGCGGTCTGCTGCAGCAGTATTTAGTGTACATAAAGAGTCCATGCGTGAGTTGTCTGGTTGCCAAAGTCGAAACGCCCTAAAAGATGCACAACACACAAACGTTATTATGAAATCGCCATGACGAATACCAACACTTATTATGTTGGCAGCAGCTTCGATTGTCCTCCAACAGCCGAACTGCTGCTACATATGCTCCGCTGACGTTGATGGACACCTTGTGTGAAGAGCATCTATCTCCTCAGTCTGTTGCCGTAATTTATTTTTTTTGTCATGTTCAAGTCTTACCCGGAGCCTCGACCCAAGTTCCGCAGCCTGTAGCCTCAGCACATGAGGTTCCACTTCCATGCTCAGCCCAGCACTTCTCCGCATCCCTCTCTCGCGGAGTCCGGCCGTATCGCCGGCCACCCGACATCTGGTGCGGGGGGTCGAGTGCTGATGCACCCAATTCAGCGGCGTTGCAGCCGAAGGGGCGACATGAAGGGACGGAGCAATGAAGCCCACAGCCGTATTTGCCACGAAACACAGGGCAAAAAGGGGGAGGAAGGTCACGGAAGACATCCTTGACAGAGCGGAATCCATGGCGAGGGAGAAAGCCTGCTGCTTCGCCGGTAACAGGCACTGCTCGCGCACGCACATAGATAGGAGGATAGCGCGGGGGGATCCGCACATCATGGAGAACCGTACGATGACCCCCCTCATGTATAGAGCGGGGGGCTAGATGTGATGTACTCGTGGTGCAACACAACACCGCCCATCTCGTTGCTGTCCGCCTTTCCTGTGCTGCTTACGTCAGAAGGGGAAAGCATGCCGGTGGCTTCTGCTATTCGAAAGGGTGAGTTAGTGGTCATGCTTGCTTTTCGGTCAACTGGCGGCTAGGATAATTCAGCAGTAGTATTACCAAGGCGACATAACGCGGTGTATTTTTTCACGCCGCCCCCTCCGCCCTGGGTCCTAAACGACACCAGTGTACGTCCAATCCGAAAGGGTGTCTGCAATGTACAGCGCTCGGTGGGTGTTTTACACACTAAGTCTATGGGGACATAGACAGCCGTAGTGCTCCATTACGGTGGGGAATTGTAGGACGATCCTATATTGGCAGCTTCAGCGCTCGTTGCTGGTGGGGCATAATATGACGATGTTTCATGTCACACCTTCGACCCGAACAACGACGCAATGACGCAATCCCCGAAACACAGCACGCGGTACAATTGTCCCCCCTGAGGCATACCCGTAGTTCAGCAACAAACACCCGGCTCCAGCACACCCCAGATTGAACATGGGAATACGGTTTTCAACACCGGGGCAATTAGGTTGTGCCTATTGGGCGTACGCGGCGACAGGGGCGCTTCCGTCGGGTATCAACGCAATCCAATAACCGACCCTGCTTCTCCTGCTTGTGCTGCTGCCGATGAACGATCGCTAAACGACCCGACTGCGTCAGTGTTCGTGCTGTCCCTCCCGGTTGTCTGCGAGTTTTGAGCGCATCTCTTGCCCACATGTGCTGCACCGATGATATTGCTTCGACATGTAGCACTCCCCATACAAGAACACATGCATATGAGAGTGCAGAGAACATGACGCGCAATATTTATGAACGCTTTTTCCTTACCCAAACCGCGGTGTCTTTCTCTTGTTCCTCCACCGCTCTTCTGGAAACGGCCTTTCGCTCGCAGCCCTACCCTCGTCTCACTGCCGTGTTGTTTCGATAAGCATTTTGGGCACGTGTCACAATTATTAACGCTTGGTTGTCGCTTGCAAGCACTGCTGTTGTTGTTGGTACATGTATACGGTGGCGTGGACTGGTCGACTCAGTCGTGTTTCCCCTGTTTTGAAATTCTGGCGTTCGGACCAGGTTTGGAAGGTCGCGACATGCCGTTGCGGTTACGATAGCGCCCTGCGGGGATAGAGTTGGTCTCCGTGATAAACCTTTGGTGGTTGCCTAGATCTACCTAGATCGCGACCCTAGCAAAGTTGTTGCGCATCCACTAATAAACGCAAGGGTTACGCCACCCAATTCGCCAGACTTCAATCAGTTGCAGTACACCCTTTGTGGCTCAAGATGGAAGGAGGGCATTTGCTCACAGCCCGCAGAGTTGGGCCGAGCTGGGTCCTTGAAGCCAACCACCCGTTGCCGCAACGCCGCCACCGGCGGTCCCTTCAGGCCCTGGCGTGCTCTCTTATCATCCCACGAAACCCTTCGAGTAGCAGCCAATCATCCAGCGTTTGAATCTCTGCTTCTACACGAGGTGATCTGTTTTGCGTGCGCACAAAATCCCTGCCGCCACTTGACCCGCTTCTTTTTCTGCGCGTTTACCTTGTTGGTTTGGACGACAAAATCAGTGGCGATTGTAGGTCATACACAACTATTGGGCGCGCGACATCGCGCGACAACAACATCGGCGTTGCCTAGGCGACAATGTTGTGGTGGTAGTGGAACGCGTTCGACATCTACGAAGGCCCCAGCACAACCTCCACCCACCGGCGCTCCCAAGCCAACTAAGCCGACAAGAGCCTCCATTTTTTCGATGTACAACTCCCTGCTGGAGTCCCGACCTCTGGCGACCAAAGCGGTTACCTCCGGAGCCATCGGTGAGGTTTCACGAGCGCCGAGTGTTTGCGTGTGCCGTGTGAGCGGGCAGCAGGAAGACTGCTGCATGGCTCTGCTTGCTGTTAAATGAGGCCAGTGTATTTGTACCATTCGGCCATTCGAACGTTTCAGTTTGGCCCTGCACAGCCAAGTAACATGTCCACACTTTTGGGTAGTATGAATCAGCTCTGAATGCCTACAAGGACGGGAGTGAGGTATGTTCTTCGTCGCAACCTGTAACGTTTCCCAGCCCTACCTGGTCCCACCCGACCCTCTCTCCTCCTTTCTGCTAACATTTTCTTGCGCTTTTCTCCCATCCTTGGCACGTTTGGTGGCCCACCCACCCCCTCCAGCGTTTGCCGGAGACGTGTCCTGCCAGCTGCTAGCGTTGGAGGTGGCGAAAAGAGAAGAGGAGAAATCATCGGCGCAAGACGTCGACGAGCTCGAGCACCACGAGCCGTTTGGCGATGGAGGAGCAAGGAGTGTCGCGAGCGAGATCGACTGGGGCCGCACGTTGCGATTCACGTTCGTAGGGGCGGCCGTTGTGGCCCCCGCGCTACACGCGTGGTACGGGTTCTTGATCCAAAGACTACCGGGCACGGCACCGGCTACGGTCGTCAAGAGGGTGGCTCTCGACCAGCTGCTGTTCGCGCCGGGGTTTCTGGCCGTGTTTTTGTCGACGGTGATGCTCTTGGACGGTAACGCGGCTAAGGTGAGGGAGGTTGGGAGTTCGCGACTCGATTGGTTGATTTTGGCTAGCTTTGTTTTTTTGTCGGGTTAGTTGGTTCGCGTTTGATGGCCTGGTGTGTCGTTGGCTGAGAACCGGAGGCGTGGCTGGTGGCGTAGACTAGTTGTTAGGTTTTTTGCCGTTCACTCTAAGGCGCAGGCTCAGATTGTGGCTTGATCACCTGCTGCGTGTTTGGGTGCCGATTTCGTCTCGATGTGTGTGTGGATGTGGTCTATTTCCCGAGACACAAGCGTGAACCGGCGATTGTGCACGCCATCCCAGAAACACCGCATGGTCTCGCTTTGATCAACCAACCTTCTGGCTCTTGGGTCTATTCGTGTCTGCCCGCTAGACGCAGCCCTCGCTCGTGTTGCAGGAGCTTTCATGGATGCGGCAGCACGGCTTGTGGAAACATGCCTGTTCTGTGAAAAGCCCCGACTTGCATGGTAATAAGAACATGCATTCATCCTACACCTTCTGCCGTCTGCTGCTCCGCAGATCGACCGCAAGCTCCGAGCTGACTACACCACAACTTTGGTGAGCAACTGGGGGTACTGGATACCCGCCCAGGTCATCAACTTCCGCTTCGTCGCGCCTGTGTACCAGGTATGTGCAGTGTATTTTTTTTTTTTTACTTTCGTGGAAGTGCGTGCCTCGCGTTTTGCAGAACTGGGCTTGCGCTCCGGTGGAACACATGCCGGTTGGAACAACATAATTTCCTTGAAGCATGGGTTTTGGTGGGCCGATTAGTGAGACTTGGAAATTTGAGGGTGAAACCCGCTCAGAATTTGTGCAGCATTGGGCTCGTACGCTATACCGTTCGAGGGTGGTCGACACCCTGAGAACTTAGCTTTGCCGGGACCACCGTGGAATTGTTATTGTTTTCGTAAGCAATCCAACAGCATTTGGTAATCAAGTTTGGCGAAAGAAAGGGGTCGGTGCAAATGTCGGAATTTGATCGCCCTATGTAGCTGGCTTTCCTGTTTGGTTGATTGGTGCCGGGTTTATTGTTTATTGTTCACAACCATATGCACCCGTTTCTATCTGTGCCGTCCGATGCGCGTGGGTGATGACCTCCGCAAGTATATTGTTCCCGATATCAATATCCTTTGGGTTTGTTGACCCACTCCTCGCCAAAGTAGTTTCCTCGGAAAAGAACCGCGGTTATTGCTGCGCGGTGTTTGTGTCACCTTTCCGACCCGTGAACCATGTTGGAGCTCCTCAGTTTATTGTCTTGGTTGATCGACATTCTCTTTGCGACACTGCATTGTATGTGTTGTCAATTTTCTGCCAAGCTTTCTCGACCCTTTGTTTACAGCAGCGTTATCTTGCTTCCCCCGAAAAAATCACACGGTCTGTAACCCTACCTATCTGCACCTTCTTAAGCGTTTGCACGTGCCGTTCCCTGATATGTCGATGTGGCTTCTTGACCAAATTGGGCCGACTCCAACAGGTCTTGTACGCGAACTTCGTTGGGTTCTTCTGGAACATTTACCTGTCCTACCAATCCAACAAGGCAGTGCTCAAGGACATGGAGCATCCCGCAGGGGTAGGCGTCACTTCTTCGCACAAGTGAAGAGTAGCGTTGCAGCTCTCGGCCCGCTGCTGCATTTCGTATGCGTGTCGTCACCGTGCTGTCGTGTGAACATGACTATGCCGTTGTCGTTCGTGTGGCATACCATACTGCAGTGTGTCACATCCACCAGGCATGTAATCGTGAAATTTTGGGGTGGTTTTGTCCACCGGACTATCGATGGTGATCCAATGACGTGTTCGGAACCCTTTTTGTTTATCCAATGCTTGTTTTTGCCCGTTTTGTTGTGGCGCGTTCATTTCTCCAGCCCGTTTACAGTAGTAGCCGCCGATTTAAGATGCGCAATCTGTGCCTTAATCAAGACATGGTGCGCTCATCGGCATCAATTTTGCTTTTCTTTGTGCTGAGTTGGCCAGTCTTGGGCGGGTCGGCTTGCGTGTTGGTGACAAATTATGTTTTGGGTACGTCTTTATTTTTTTAATGCATGCTTGGGTACATGTTTATTTTTTAGATGCATGCTTGAGTTAATATGTAGATTTGAGACCGAGTTTCCAGTCGTGAAAGTGATGGGTGCAGACAGGGGTGACCTTTGTTGCATACGGGACATTATCAGTTGGCGGTTAGAGTTATGCTGCAACTCGGAGGTTCGATCAGTTTTTTTTCGTTTTTTGCGCAAGAACACTCACAACTAGTGCCCACACCGCTGCCGACAACGCCAAGTGTAGTGGTATGCACGCGTGATGAAGTCTGGTTGACCCGTGAAGAAGAACTCACTTGTTGTTACTCTTGTAGAACAGCAGCAGCAGTAGCTGTTGCCTTGGGTATCGGTAGGAATGACACCAAGGGGCACAGGATCCTCTGCACAAGCAGGGGCTACTAGATCATGTCCCCTACTTTTTATCCTTCCGCGGAGAGTTACATCTCTCCGCGCCTTCTAGAAGGAACCAAGCTCTTCTATGTTCCGTCTACACATCTGAATCCTATAACACCGAAGCAATGGAAGCTTGAACTGCAGTGTAGGATGACACACCGCGAGTGCCATGGACTGCTGCTGCCCTCTAGATAGAACGAACCGGTCTGCCGTTGTGGCAGGGGGGTGTTCCGCTCTTTGGCTGGCACGCATAGTCCAAAACGGTCGAATGTATGTCTGTTGTGACGTTTACGTTTGGTTCTGGTGGGTGTCCGTTGTGCCCATTCCAATGTTTTTTGTCAGCCATTAGGGTACGCAGTACAGCGCAGCTGGAGTGCACGTATTCGTCTATGATGTCTTGTTTCGACGAACGGTTACGGCGCGAAAAGATCCGTCGCGGTGTGTGTGGACGAGTGCTCGAGCTATTAAGGCTCTACGTGCATGGGGAAACAAAATTTTCTGTGGCCAATGACGTGAGGTTCTCATGGTGCGGAGGGCCATTACTTTGTCGCTCAAGAAGGTATCTTGTTGGGCATGTGGCGAACGTTTCAGTTGTTGCCTTTGACCGGACCTTGGTCATGTTTAGGCCCAGGCTTGCGCTTGCGTTTGCTCTTAAGGAGGGAACAAACGCGTGCCGTATACGGGCCGTACGAAGACCATCCAATGGTACGAAGACCATCCAATGATGCGAATCGCTCGTGAGTGGTACCCGCTTCTAGGAACATCTCTTTCGCTATGGATCGATTTGATGAAGGCCGGCGAATTTCGCTCGGCGGTACATAAGCCAAACCTTTCAGGCTCTTGACCGCAACTCGGCAAATTACACGTGGCCAGAGGTGCAGGTTGTGGGCAACCGGGTACAACCTGTTGAAGGTTTTGGGGTGGGAGGATGAGAGCACGGGATCGACCTGAGAGCGTCTCCTTTTAATGTCGTGCTGCCAGCCCACCCTGTTGGTGTTTTATCCATGCTCTGTTCCGCGATGGCGGGGTTAGCTGGGCACGGTGGCGTGCAACCTTACGTCGTGGTCAGGTCGTAGCTGGTGCTCCCATAACGTGGTACATTACCTTTGGCCACCCGTGTGAGCCAACTAATTTCTGGACAGCAGGCAGCTGCTGTTGTAGGGTCATGGAGGTCAACCGAGGGACGGCGAAACGTTTATTTGTCCTTCTCCTTGGCCTTTGTGTCCCCCTTTTCCGCTTCATCAGTCTCGTCCCCGGCGTCCTTCCCCTCCTGCTCAACCCCGACGCTGGGTGCTCCGCCCCCTCCCTTGGCATTTGCACCCACCCCGGGGGGGAGCGACCCAGGCCCACTTCGACGCGATTTCGCCACCCGCCAATAGTAGTTGCACAAGTACACCAACATCAGCGCGCTAGGGGAAAGCAGCGCCGCGAAGGGCGCCCCCATGATGCCCTGGAACACGGCCCACCGCGCCACTACCTCCGTCCCCGCTCCCCCGTAGCAGAGCGTCCCCGCCAGCAGCGCGGAGATCACGGAGCCCCTCGACAGCGACGACAGCGCCGCCGGCATCGCGACCAACCCCGCTTTCCACGCGACGGCCGAGCCCACGGCCCCCATCGCCGGACCCCCCGCGGCGGTCAACGCCATCAGCCACAGCTTTGGCACCGACCTCGCCGACCGACGCACTTGTATTCTCGTCCCCGGTACTGCTGAAACCGGAGCGGGCGGGCCTCTCCGCCTGGGCGAAAGAGAGGGGAATTCCAGCTTTCGCCGCGGGGCCTTTGGCGGCGGTTTGTTCCTGGGAGTGGTGGGTGGCGTGGGCTTGTTGTTGGGGTGACGACGAGGAGGCGGTGCGTAGACGGGGGGGAAGTTAGACATGGCCAGGATGGCCAAGGAGAACTTGATCGCCGCGAACGAAGCGTGCGCGGCGCAGGTCGCGACAAGCGCTCGGGAGAGAGGCTGCCCGATAACCCCGGCGGCGGCCACGGGCCCCAAGCTGGTCGTCATCCAGGCCGTCCCGTACAGGATCATGGCCTGGGCCACCGGTCTCGTGCTCTTCAGGTTCACGATGCTCCCCAGGTTCTCGCTGAATATCCAGAAAGCTTTGTCCACCTGCGCCACGAGGTTAGCGCTCTCCGACGCTTTGGCTCCCGCCTTTGCCGCAGATCCCGCCGCTGATGCCGCTGAGGGGGAGCACAGCCACACCGTTACGGCCAACAGGCCGGCAGCGGTCACCGCTGACCCGAACCTGGACGGCCGGCGCCGCCGCCACGTCGAGAATAACGCCTCGCGACTATTACTGCTGTGCCTTTCTCTTCTTCGTGCTGCCGCCGTAGACCCGGTGGCTCCTAACGCTTGGCTGCTGCTGCTGCTGCTGCTGCTGCTGCTGCTGCTGCTCCTGCAGTACACGCGCGGTGTGAACGCGATGGGTTTTTCATGGCAGCCAGCAGGGCGAAGAAAAGAGGGAAGGAGGAGGGTGCGTAGGGTGTGGTAGGACGGGAGGGGGGCTGTAGGGGTGTGTATCCGGGCTTTGTGTTTTTGTAGTTGCTAATATGGTTGAGAAGCACGGACAACGCAAGGACGCAAGAAGGGGAAAGAGCAAGCCCGGTTTGCGCTGTGCGACGTGCCGCACGAGCCGGGATATTGCAGCTGGATTGTGGTGTTTGAGAGGAATAGGTTCGTGATACACACTTGGGTGAGAGCTCTTGAATTTGTCATGTCGTAGATGCGTGGTCGTTTCTCACGATGCATATCCACGAGTCGGTTGATATGCAACCGCCGTAGAAAGGAGACAGAATTCTGTACAACCAACGTGCGAGAGCAAAGGGCCGCGGTCGCTCCTAGGCATCGAACACGACAGCAGCATCGCCATCGGAGACCGTTACCGTGGAAGGCACATCAATGTCCGGTCACGCACATAACGAACGTCGCGACACTGCTGTGGTGGTAGACTCGTAGCATGCTTCGGTGGGAGTACGCACACTTCCATTACGCGAGCAGGACAACACATCACCCGAACGGGGATGGTCTTCAGCCCTGTGAGTGTCCATTCAAGGTATTTTTTTCTCTTTTTCAACACAATCCCACCGTTTGACGACAGATTCCCGCCTCTCGACGTCCCCCATTGCGAGTGGATGTCAACCCGCACCCAGACATACCGTACCCACACCAAAACACACCCACACTGTTGTATAAACACCGTCCCGAGCACCTTCTCATCGTACGAATGGTGCACAACTTGAGGGGACCACGTGCTCCTAGGATAACCAACAACGAACCCCCCACTCGTCGCCGCCATCGTGAGGTCAACCCAAAACACACACCGTAGGCATGTAGAGCTACATGCTACAGCACAGGACGGCGACTGGCTAGCCATCACTCTGGAAGACGAAGTAAAAGCATGGCAAACCGTTTGGGGTCCCACTCGGGAAAAGAGCTTTTCCCCCCACGATCGTTGGCTTCCTAACGCCCGTAACACTCGCCGCCTCGCGCCCATAAGATCGACCAGTAAAAAAAGACTACGCCCAACCATCCCTTGCTTGCCCCGCGCCCCCTTTGTTGCGGGGAAAAAAACAAAAAGGATGACCAACTCTTCAAGTCCGGTTTTTGGAGCAAGGCCTCACATCGAAGGGTCGGCTTTACTTCCACCCATGCAAGGAGGCGAAGGCGCTACCTTGTGTCCCTCCGCCTCCCACTGCGCGGGCGTTTTCCCCTGAATCGAAAGAGCTAAGTGGCGGTTCATGGATCGAGAGGGGAACGAGGGCAAAGCAAGGGCAGCGGGGCACAGCACCACCGAGATGGTTACAACTTGAGTGTTAAACTGGTCCCTTCTTGGCGGCCTGCAAACGTTCGAAGCGATTCTACGACGCAGCGAAAGACCAGCTTGATGCACCTTAATCGACAAAGCGTTCCGCGCAGTCTTTCAAAACGCTCTAGAAGCAATCCCAAACAAACCCTTGTGGTAACGAGGGCTACGTGAGCCATCGCTAGCACACGCATAGGGCATTCGCACCTGCATACCCAGCACCCAAACAACGGTGTGTTACAGCATCCGGACTCTAAAATGCTGTCATTATTGTTTTTCGTGTTTGTGCCTCACCGTGCATCTTGCCCTTCATCTCCTCTGCGAAGAGCGCGTTGACCATGCGGTGGCGAGCCAGGAGTGGCTTCCCCTCGAACTCGTCGCTCACAACGATAACCTGAGTCGTGAGCGATGGATCCGTTTGGTCAGGGAGAGGGGCTCTTCTGACGGCGGCCTGAAAGTGACAATCAGTGCGACTTGTCCGATCCGCGCGCCATACCACTGGCTGCTACAGGATTGTGAATCGCTCTTAGCCATCCACCATCCACTCATTGCCTATATGTAGATCCAACCCAACTGCCTCACACCCAAAGCCAGCTGAGCTTTCAGTCAGCGCATTCCACGAATCAGTCCAGTTTCGACGGGAGCACGGGCTAGACGCTATCTAGTTGTCGGGTTCCTGCCTAGGTCGTGGTAAGCAGTTTACCAGACGCCGTATGGTCCGAATGAACGAAGGCTCTACGATCTACGATGCAAAACTACAGCAGTTGTAAGGGGTCCCTGTTTAGTGCCTGTTTAGTGCCGGTGCCCGGTATAGTGCCGGTGTCCGGCATAGTAGTGCCGGTAAATTTTTCTGGGCACATACCGGCACTAAACAGGGATCTCTACTGTAAGCGTACACATCAAGTCTACTCCGCTTTGTTGTGGAGTACACAACAGTTACAGCAGTGTAGGTGTGTAGGTCTGCTGTGGTTGCGATGTTGTGATTCAGAACGAGCCCTTTCCTCTTCGGGATTTCACATAGCATACAACGGATAGATGCTGCTAGCTGCGCCCAGAAGAGCCATAATTGCTCAGCATCAGCCCACCAGCGCGGCGGTCATACCAAACGTAGTAAAGAACCACAGTAGTGAACCACCTACTGCACAGAGATGAAGGGAGTGTGTGCTTCCCCTGCCTTCGACACAAGCTGTAGTCTACAATCCGACTCACCCAAAACCTTGGTTGCGATCCCTTCATCATGTACGTTTCAATGTGCAACATACAGCAGACTCACCTTGAAATGACTCTCTTTCGCCGGCCCAGAGTGCATGTGGCTCTCGTTTATCACCTCCAGGTGCACCGGCGAGAGGGCCTCCGATAGCCTCGCCTCGATCGTCTCCTGCATCTCACCGCTCGCCGCCGCCATCGCGAAGCCCGCGGAGCGGAACCTTCGGCGAACGGAGGCAGAGTTGCACTTTCCTGCAACTGCAAGTGTCGAACGCGTGTGCTGGGACAGGGAAGAAGCGACCGGTACGTGGAACGCACCGGTCCTGCCCGCGATGAGACACGCGCCGAGGAGTAGCTGCCGCGTGGTAGACATCATGATGATGTGCTTGTGGGTAGCCTGTGTGGCAGGGCGTCACGGCGCGTTGTGTGTCTGTCTGCGTAACTGGCCCAACCTCTCATCTCTGCGCGGAGATACACGGAGCCCCCAGCATTGGTTGCTGTCAGTTGCACGCAGTGCAGCCGCTACAGCTGCGGCCGACTCCATCGTGGGATCGTGGGTAAGAAAGGGGCCTTGAGTCACAGTAGATCAACTTGGTCTTTGAGCCAGCAACTACTATACCTCGCTCTCGCAGTTCCCATCGTACTGCTGTATGGTATCTACGATTGAATCTACGACGACAGCAGTTTGGTCGCGTGCAGAATGTAGAAGTGCTGGGAAGCAGTGAAGCCGTGGGCGTTGCGTAAAGAAGCAAGCGTCCGTGATTTTCTACGCAAGGCAATTTCATCTAAGTCCCACTGTACCATGCATCCCCGCCTTCATTTGAAGCGTGTTGAGAGAAAACCCATGACCGTCAGCGTATGAATGTGTTGGCACAAATGTGTAACGTAACGTTTTCGGTCTGCACCTCCAATTCAACTCTCCAACTCTCAAGCCACGCACCCCTCCTTATTAGTGTACCATCATCCATTCCAATCCAGGCGTTCAGAGCCTGCCATTAATCGTGCTGCAAAGTTAAGCGCGAGTACTCTAACTTAAGCCCGCTTGGTCGCGTCATCCAATCACAGCACCAGCGGTGGTTACGGGACTCCGTTGATACAGCAGCTGCTGACGTAGAATGCAGAGGGTATCCCGTGCGCATTCTGTGATTATATTAGTGTTTGTTCTGCCGTACAGCTGTACACAGGAGAGGAGGAGTGCATCCGCTGATCGCGTGCGGCAGTGCTTGTTTCGAGACGCGGGCGTTCGGCGCAGTTATGATTGGTCATCGTGTATCTTTAGGGTCGGAACGTTATTAATACAGTAATGCGAAGATGATGACCGACCACCACGCCGACAACAACACTAAATATTACTCTACAGCAGTAAATAGTAAATAGCGTATTTAGTAGAGAAGCGCTGGCAGCATTTCTGCCGGGTAGGGGCTCCTCTCCTTGAGGCCCCCTACCCTACTTCACCTTAATTAACCAACCCTGGTCCCCGCTTGGTCCGAGATCTCTCACCTTGCAAGATTACATGGAGAATGTGCTGCGTCTCACCTTCGCTTCATCGCCGTTTTTCCATGGTGCATATTGTAGAGTACATGGAGAATGTGCTGTCTGTGAACGGGGGCAGCTTGAAGGCCCCGCTTATCGGGTGGGACGAGGACGAGGAGAATGGTTACACGCCGAGCGTGCCAGCAGCTTCCGCGAAGCACTCGCTGTCGTTTGGTGCTCTGGTCTTCTTAATTTACTACAACATCGGAGTACCCTTCGGAGACGAGGAGGTGAGAGTAGGCCAGCGCAGGTATGGATGTCCTGACCTCCGTCATGGCTTTGGTAATGCCCAGGTAGCAACAGCCCAACCGAGCAAAGAAAGGTCGGATAGATTTTTTCCCCACTGCAGGGTGCAGGTGCTAGCACAGGAGCAGATAACGCGGCAGAGGATATCCATACAGGTTTCGGTAATTAATATAGTAGAAGAAGGAGCGCATACGAAACAAATGCAAACACAATCAAGCCATGAGAAGGCGGATAGAGACTACCCCATAGCAGGAAATGGTGCTAAACAGCACAGCAGCATAGGGATGCTGTAACGTGGTGGTGTTGAGCCTTCTCGTTGCCCTTCGAATCCGGAGACTCAACCCCCAACGTACGATCAGCGCAAAGAAGACATGTTGGGTTGATTTTTTGCAACAGCAGGATAGGAGGCGTACGCTACAGCTACCGCCACCAGATCAGTCGCCATCTTGCTATTCTTCCTCGAGAAGCACGTGATAGCTTGGGCGCAAGAGCTTGGTTTATTTACGACCCCCAACTTGTACGTCACATTCCACCAACCATTGTAAATTCCCGGATGTTATCCCCTCCCCCGTCATCATGACGTTTCTGACAGGCGGTGAAAGCGGCGGGACCGTTCATGGTGACCCTTGGGTTCTTCGTGATCCTCCCCCTGGTGTGGCAGCTCCCGATCTGCTTCGTTACCGCCGAGCTCACCACCACTTTTCAGGTGCGCAACTGCGCCTCTCCGGGCGTGGTGGGCTCACGCTACTGCTGTAGGCGGAGTGCAGATCCCGGCCTCCGCGCAATGGAAAAGATCGTAGATGTGCCAGGTCGTGAACGTGTGGGCTGTCTACGGACGGGCGCACGCTGGGAATCAAGCACGTCGTTTGAACCTGTCGTCCGTAGGGTATCATCAGCGCATCTTAGGTGCCGAGGTCTGAGAAAAGGGGGGCTCTACTTGACACGAGGATTCCACTGAATCGGCTCGGCTAACGTTGAAAAATTGGTGCGAAGTCTCGCTGCTGCTGTGCGTGCATGGAATGCAAAGAAGAACTGGCCTTTCGAGATCTTGTACTACGTATCTCATACAGCAGCAATTTTTGTCTTGGTCGCTTCTGACAACAACTGCTGTGTGCGATGTGGTTTTTGGCAGGACCACCGTGGGAGCATTGCTTGGGTAACGGAGGCGTTCGGGTCGGAGTGGGGTTTCATCGACGCGGTGTGGTCGTTCGCGACGTCCTTCCTGGACAACGCCCTGTACCCCCTCATCATCGCGGACTTCCTGGGCCTCTCCGGCGCGCTGCGCTGGGTGTTCGTGTACGGCTCCATCGCGACACTCACCTGGGCCGTGTACCGAGGGTCGGCGGTAAGGGAGGAAACGCATTCTATGACGACATAAATTTATGGATGCGGCATACGGAAATGTGGGCATTACTATATACGGCGATTTGGAAGATACAGCTGCTGAGACGGTGCAAACATGAGTTATCGCCTAGTTTCCATTGCGCGTCGGGTAGCGCATAGATTTGCCAGCGTGCCACAATGCAACTGCACCTTCCGCCCCCCCGTCAAACACTGGCTTCAAGGACCCTCTGCATTCACACGCTTGCAGTTCTAACCTGGTGGTATTGAACCCCGCCGTTTGTTTTTGCCGATCCCTCGTCCCCCCACCCGGTTGGCTATGTAGGTGGTGGCCAGTGCGGAGGAATTGGTGTTCGCGTTCACGATGCTTCCCCTCGTGCTGATGGTGGGGCTTGGCCTTTTCCGCGTGGACTGGGCGGCGGTGGCGACTCCCCCAGCGGCCGACGACGTTGACTGGAGGCTCTTCATCCAGATCATGTTCTGGACGAGCACATACTGGCAGAAAGTGAGAGCAAAGGGGCGGGGAGGGGTGGTTTTGTGTCACGACGGGTCGGAAGGAGCAGGGGAGTTTCGCGCTCAAGTTCTGTGCCCGAAAGAAAAACGCCGAGCGCGAGAGAGAGTAGAGTAGGGTGCACCCGCGCGGTGCTTGAGAAGCGAGAACGGCCTACACCTCACACGATATTTCTTGTTTTTTGCTGTGTTTTTTTTTGTTGTTCTCCCACACACGCGTTTTACCTAGTTTTTTGCTCGCTTTTCCGTGCGTCTAAAAGACAAGTGCGTTTGGCCTCCCGGGCCACCGCTGTCGGTGAAGCGCATTCCAAGCCGGCCGGCGAAAGCCTACCAGCGAGGAAAACCCTCATCATCTCGTCAGACCTCGGGCAGCATCGCCTGTCTTATGCTTGGGGCATCCGCGAACCGCGCTTGAGGGTGTTGAGTGATTCAAAAGGAGTCGGGACTTATTTCCCTGAGATGCTCGCCGGTTGTGTTTTGGAGCTTTCTTGCGGACCCTCTTCGTACGAACGCAGAGTTCTGTGCCACGGAGAAGGCAGCGGCAGCACAAAACTCTTGGTGGTTCAAACTTCGGGTTTCTGCCCTTGTTTGGCTGTGTTCCTGACCCCCCATCGTTCCTGAAATTACTCGATAGGGGCATCAGCTCCTACTGGCCTATTTTCTGCGAGCTTGGCGTGACGCAAGACAGACTCGAAATGCCTCCGCCGAAGCCAGTCGAAAAATCGTGGTTTCAATCGTTCCAGCCATGCCTTTTGACTGGTGGTGGTGGTGGTGGTGGTGGTGGTTTGTCGGTGTGCGGCGGCGCAGGTGGCGTCGGTTGGCCCTGACGTGAAGGACTGCCCCAAGAACTTTCCCCGGGCCATCCTTTACGCGGCCGGCATGCAGACCCTGATCAACGGCATCATCCACATGGTGGCCGCCGGTGCCACGGACCCGGAACTGTATCCGGAGTGGGAACCCGGATATCTCAGGTGCGTTGAGGCAAAGGTCTGGCGTTGTACGCGAGTTTTGTTCGCTGCCGTTGTGGCGGAGTTGGACCCAGAATCCATCTTCTTGTGTCCCGCCGCCTATTGCCTAGCTTGCGGTCCTGTCTCGCCCTCGTCGCCTCCCCTCCCCCAACACACTCTAAATATTATAAATACCTCACCCCCGCGCCCAATACGACAGCTTTGTTTTCATGTAAAACGCATGGCCATGTTGCAACAACAAGAAGCCCAAACCCCGATATTGTAGGTGTCTTACGTCAGAAGCATGGAGGGAATTTCCATCTCGAACGGGACGCGTGGTCAATACCAAAATGAGCAAGGCCAATCCCCCCCAAATGGTCTAACCGCTAACAAGGCACGCAAAACATGAGTATCCCCCCCCCCCCCCCCCCGAAATAACAACACCTCTACGGACGCCCTCTTTGTCTCTTGCCCCGGCTGCCTCCCCCGTATAACAAACAACACGCCGACAGGTACGCGGCCGACGCGATCGCCGGGGGGAAGTGGCTAGGGGCGTGGCTCACCATAACGGCGGCGGTGGCAAACAGCGGCTCGTTCCTGTCCGAGATGACCGTCACGAGCCAGGCCCTGGTCGGCATGTCCGAGGGGGGGTTGCTGCCCCAGAAGCTCTTGGTGGAGAGCCGGCACGGGACGCACCCGTACGCGCTGGGGGTGATCGCGGCGCTGATTGCCATCAGCCAGCCGCTGGACTTCCATGCCTTGGTTCTCGTCTGTGAGTGTCGGCCTGCTGCCTATTCCTGGTGGTGTGTTTTGTACTGTAGGTTCGGGTACCACATCCGCGGGACCGGTTTTCGAAGCTCGATTGCTCCACAGCGAAGAGGAGGTCCAAGTCAATTGATGCGTTTTCCGGAAAGATCTTGACGAGACTGTTCCAAGGCCTGCATTTTTCAACACGTAACATTGTTTTTGCCGCAGGAGTAATCGGGCTTGGAATTTGGTCCTTGGGGGTGTGGTATCTTACGCAACGTACAGGAGTAGCGTTTCTTGAAACCAAGCGCCGGCCTAAGGATCTGATTGACGCACTCCGAGTCTATCCATCGACTACAGTAGTTCTGTTCCATGCACCTAGAATGACAGAGGTCCGCCCCGCGCTCTCCCCTTCCGCGCTCCGCTACAAACAAGGCAACTTCCTCTACACCCTCCAGACCGCGCTAGAGCTGGCGGCCTTCTACCGCCTCCGCACCGCCCTCCCGGGGCTGCGCCGGCCCTACCGAGTGCCGGGGGGCTCCGTGGGTGCCGCCCTGGCGTTGGGCCTACCGTTCTTGACGCTGACGGTGGTGGCAATGACGACGGCAGTATCGGCGGCGGGAGTCGGGAGCTTGATTGCCCTGAGCACCGTGGTGGCCGTGCGCGTTATGTTCCGGCGATCGGACCGGGGGGGGGGTGCTGTGGCAAGTGATACCACGGGGAGGGAGGAGGCGGGGGGGTCTGTGTGGGACGTGAAGGTCGGGGAGAGCAAGGTGGGGGAACGCCGGGTGGAAGAGCCTCGTGAAACCGACGGTGGGGGGCCCGGGGCATCCGCCGGGGATAACGATGCCCCCCCCCCATCAGGTGGCGACGGCGGAGAAGTCGATGCCGTGTCCGACGAGGCCGAGGTCGAGCCAAATAGTGGGCCACCTCCTCGAACATGAGAGTGTTCGTATCTTCTTGTGCAGGCATGTTGTTTTTCAGGCCGATGTGGAGATTAACGCCGGCAAGGGATGGATAAATACGAGCATGAGAGTGGCCATCTTCTTTCTTTTTCTTGTACAGGCATATTGTTTTCAGGTCTTACGTAGAGACGTCACACGCCAGCAAGCGATAGAAACACGAGATACTTCTACGTGTGAGCCGGCATTTTGACGGCGTAGGTCTGGAAACGTGTGGGTTTGTGTTTGTGTCCGCGGTGACCGGCGACGTTTTGGGATCTGAGAAGACCTGTTACTGCTGGCGTTCTCGGCCCAGATATCGCTAGATAATGGTGAGGTCGGTGTTAGCTGGGTGCGCCATTTTTGGGTACAACTACTGTTCCGTTGGGCACGACTCGCCCTTGCCCGGGTGGGTGCAAACGACCAATTCTGGTGCAGTTTTGTCCTTTCGGCGTTACTGCTGCAACCCCGAGCGCATGTGATTCGGGACGTAAAGGCCCGTTCCCGGCAGCAGTACGGCTGAATTTTGTAGCGACAATCAGCTCTGTGTTGTGTTGCGGGCTGCAACTTATTCGAGGTGTAAGTATCGTGCCATGATGTGGGGGTTTTAGCAACCATTTGATACGAAGTGCTGCGAAATGGCTATTTCCACTACAGCAGTGAAATGGCTGGTTGTACTTGCTGGGGAAGTTTCGTGCAGATGATGCGTTGTGTGCACGCTGTTGCACTTTCCGGAGAGCAAGAAACACATCGCTCCGGATATTTTAAGAGAGCTACTGATGCCACCAACAGTCGATTGTGTATTGAGATGTTCTTTATCTTCGTGTGTTCCTTCGAGTGATCCGCCGCATGCATGTGTATTTCTTTTTGCGGGCAGTGAGAAGCATCAGTCTTCCCATCGAGTCGCTCTGTTGGTTGGCTGGGTGCGTCGCTTGTTTCTAAAGCAGAAGCCAGTTTTCATGGTGGAGGCTGTTCAAAATTTTGTAGATTTCCCCCCGGTTCGCCTGCAAGCAGCCGCAGCAGCAGGTTATTGAACTTGACCGATTTTGGTGTTTTGGTGACAGTTTTTTTTTGTTTTCTTAGGATAGACGTCGGGCGTTCTTGGGGTTTGCTGTATGTCAATGTGTTGATTGAACCACTAGCCTAGCGTGATCGTGCAGTCGAATGCAGGGTTTTACCGTGTTGGTACAGTATAGCATTGTCGTTGTGGGGCCTTTGTCAAAAGGATGCTTGCCATTATAGAGCTTCCGAAATTGGACACAAGTCACCTGGCTGTAGTTCTTTCCATGACCCCCTTTCGCTGGAAGACACGCCGTTGTCGCTAAAACTTGCAGATGGTGTTTCATTTCCCCCGGCGAGAAAAGCACGACAATCCAATGTTCGTGTTTCCTCACAGACCATGGACTCGAACTGGATACAACCAAGCAAATATTTTGCGGCATTCTCCGTCCCTTTCTACCGTAAGGAGAGGCGATCTCCGCGCCGACGTGGACCTTTAGACACACCAATACTGAAAATTCATCAAAGCTTTTAGCAATGAAGGCGGCGGAGGGTGTAGACCATCCAGCTCCGCTCCTACTTGTCGTACCCCACACAAAAATCACCGCGATTTCCAAGCGTTGCGACGTCATGGAAAGCGTTTTACAGCAGTGGCAGTTCCCAGGGACCCACACACCAATCCATCCGCGAAACCGAAGGGTAGGTAGAGCAGTAGCGCACCTCCACGGGCAAATATTAGAATTGGCACCATGGCGTGCCCTCTAGTATTCATCACCGCTTTGTCCGTTTTGAACATCTAGACTAATGGCACCCTCGGTGATGAGGTGATGAGGTCATCGAGTGATGTTCTTGCGGCATCTCTCCCAACGAAACAGCCTGGGATCCAAGCCTTTTTGCAGTTTTTATGTACAATTGTGTCCAACCCACACCGAAGAGTGGCCGACTCTTCTTGTCGTCCTTGAAGAACATGAGGGCGGCGACTCGTGCTGAAGCCTTTGTTTACGGCCTGTTCTTGAAGGGTTTTCTCTTTGTCTCAAGAGGAACACAACTCTCAAAAATGTTGTTCCATGAATGAAAACTTCCGCCGACACCAAAAGCACAGAGAGCGGGTAACGGGAAACACACGTACGTAGAAACCATTCACGTGCCGTCACCAAACCAACTCCCTAACCATGTAATGCAAAAGGTTCCTGCTGTCTCATGCAATTTTTCCTGCAGCCTCTTCATCGCCTTGGCCTGCCGCCGTTGGTGCTGATGCTGTTGCCTCATCGCCGCCGTGGTTGGTAGGACGAGCGCCGCCGCCACCGCCGCCGGTTTGGGTCGTAACAAGAAACAGCGACAAGAGCAACAGTCCGGCGCCCGCCGCCTCTACGCCCCTAAAAGACTCCTGCGGGAAGAGACGGGTACACGCACATTCAAACGAATCAGAAGTACAGTCTTCTTGCGCGAGGATACGTGGGCTTTAACAGACTCAGAATATGCCAAGTTTTCCAGCCAGTTTCCCTCCACTCAGACTTCGGCACATCCCTTTCGCCTGTGGTTATATCTCGAAATGGTAGTATTCCTGTGTTTTGGTGTAAATTTTATAACAACGCCCCGGAAGTGGGCCACAGCACAGAATGAATTACATTGCCATTTCACACCCCCACAATGCTGCTGCTATTCCACACGATGGAGGTGGATTTGTTTCGAACTCGGAACCGAAGAGAGAATACCCTCATGCCTTGTTTCCCTTGTCTACGAAAGAAGCGAATGCAGAGAGTGGTAAATGTAGCAGCAGCTCTAGTCATCTTCCCCCAGCTGTAACTCTTTGTCCAGCTTGGGGGGTGTACACAGACCGGCAATGTGACGTTGCCACCTGCAAAAAACAAAATCGAGCTAAAAAAATGTTGTGCGCAAACATATATGTGGCCGTCAAATGACATTCGTCCCGCACCTTGAGGAGCATTGCCGCAAACAGGACGGACCAGAGCGGCTGCAGCGAGTAGACCAAATTCGCCTGCCGTGAGGTTGACAACGACGGACACAACCAACCCGGAGGGAGAAATCCGAATCACGGGCAGTAGTTTCAGACCTTCAGTCTTCTAGAGTGTCTCAAGGAGGCAGGCGTGGGTTGGGAATTGTTGAGCGACACCCGCCTCTCTCCACTCCTCTTGGATGGAAGAGTTTCAAGCGTCGCTGTCTAACATGGGGGGTCGAATCGGTCCATTCGAGGAACAATACAGCATTCTGCGCGGTTTCCAGCTGTGGACGTCTACAGCTGTTGTTGTATGTGCCAGTGGATTGAGATGTTCTCAAGACTGTCTGGTGAAAAACAGCAAGCTTCTCTGTCAGTTCACGTCACACACGTAAGTTCTTCGGCTCACAAAACCAACTTCATCGCTGTCCCCGAGCTACCGGTCGCTCCACGGTTGTCTGTAAATCTGTGGGGGCGCTGCATCTACCCTCGTGCCATTCGTTATCCAAGAAGTGGTCGCCCTACACCACACCCTGCGTCACACCTGCACGACGAAAAAAAAGCGGAACAAGCAAGAGGACACACTACTTGGAACGATCAAAGAGAGGCAGACTGCGGAACTAGCGTCTGATGAGAGACTGTGCGGGCGGACACACCACTTCGAGAGCAGAGTTAAACGGTGTCTGAAAGATAAGCTCGAGAGCAGAGCTAAACGGTGTCTGCAAGATTAGCTCTTGGCGGCCCAGAAGAAGTAGATGCAAAGCGGCCTTGAGACCAGTCCACCCTGTTCGAGAAGAAACAACAACCCCCACCTCACTAGGGGCCACCGACGCCTGTCCCCGGGTTTGCGCCCACATGGCGTACGCAGTTGTTAGGGCCCCGTTCCAGATCACCACTGCGGAGAATACCAGGAGCAGGTCAGGCTTCGAGGCCAGGGCACCAAGAAAGCTAATTAAAAAAATCGGCCGAACGTTTTTGGTTGTAGATGATGCGGCGAAGAAGCATGGGTGGAGAGGGAGGATCAGGACTCAGCGGTAGAGCTGGAGACAGGAAGAGTTCGCGTTCATGTTGGTAGAATGGCTTCAACTTTGAGAGTTGATGGGAGCAAAATCAAGTGCCGGTTCTACGTGTTTGCAAAACGGGCGGGCGCGTAGCAGTAGATACACACCCCAGCACGATCACCAACGCGATCGCACCACTATGTAGCGGGGAATCGATCTAGCCTTGACACCAGCATTCAGCCTCTTCGCGGACGGTGTCTCTGCGGATACTGTGTAGAAAATGCGACCATGTTCAAGGTCAATCTTCACAATACCCCAAGGCGATCAAGCCGGAGTCGCCTGCGACGTCTGGAGTCAGGGGACTATTCTTTCTGGGTCTATCATGATACTATCGCATTTAAGATGAATTCATTAGCATTGTGCACCCTCTCTGGGTGGGTAGATAGCCTGTGACCATGGAAGGCGTCCGCGTCATTTGGACCCGTACGGATGATAGGAGGCACTGCGAGGTATCAGAACGGTTCTCAAATGTGCGAAGACAACAACACAAAACAACAAAGCACGTTACATGCGAGACCGCATGAGGTCTCCAGCTTAGCGTCTTGACAGGGATGCGTGCCCAACCACCGAATTCCTGCAGCCACCAACGATAAAGAGCCCCACACCTACCCCCCGCCGGCCTTGCTCCCAACCTACCTCGCGAAGTTGTCCGCTTGCCCCCCTAAGAACCCCGCCACCACCAGCGATAGCGCGGAGAGCCCAAGCTCCGAGAGCGCCTTCGCCCTTGCGAGAGACAGCGTGTCCAGCTTAGACACGTGTACCCCTGCTTGCAGAAAGGCATGGAGAGGGGCATCGGATTCCTGAGGAATACAACAATTCCAATCCGAGGTTGGCTCGAACAGATGAAACCGTGATCGGAGGTTTGGACTGCTGCGGTTGCGCAGGATAGATTCTTTGATATTTAGCAACATTCGATTCCACCAAGCGACGTTTTGAGCGTCAACGTGGACGAAAGCTTCAGTTCAAACTCAAACACGTTTTTGGTGTTGGGTGTAGTACTGATGAGCAGCCTGTGATTCGTGAGTCTACCTATCATCGAGGAAGCACCCACAACCTCAGTCGGTTGCACAGCGTATAGGGAGCACAGAGAAGAGAACAACGGACCGCACTGCCTCTCGCCGTACCCAACGACACAAAGAACAAGTTAGGATGACCAAAATAGGATGCCACACCACAGAACAGCAATCGAATTCACTGCGCAAACCAACATGATCACGCCTGCCTCTAAAGTACGATACTACAATTTGTGATGGGGAACGGCCCATGACTAATAAGTAAATCGTCAAGCAAGAAAAATATACCGAAAGGTCAATTGACCCCTTTCGCTCGCACCTAATCGCACGACATGGAGGGAGTAAAATAGGGCAGAACAGGCCACTAGCAAGTCTCCCCGAAGGTTTCCGCTCGTGACGCTTTCCCACAGCCCCGACGGGGCCAGCCGAGTGGCTGAAAGAGAACCTGTATGGGCGGCCGTAGTACACAGAGGTGGGAGGCACGGATGACCGAGATCAGAGATGATTAATCTCTTACAGTATCATGTAGGAAACACATAAACTGCGTCCATTGCGAGTGTCGGACCAGAGAGTGTCGGGCCATAGGCAGGAACGGGGGCCGTGCTGATTATGGTCGGAAGAGCACCGGTAAACGGCGGGACAACGGAAGGTACATAAATTTTAAATCGGGCGGTGCAACCTATGTTGTGCGGCGCAAGCAACCGAGGAATATGATCCTAAAAATAACTAGTAGGCGAAGGAGCACGGTTTGATGGAAAGGCAGATACTTTAGGACAAAACATACACGCGACGTGAACTTCACACTCTCGAGAGGCGCAACGCTGTGGTGGCAGGAGAAACCAGGAGAGCTGTCTTCACGCTGGAGGTGCTACGGCTACGGGTAGGTGCTTGCCTAGAGTTTACCTACAGCAAGTAGGCCTGATGTTATTTCAAGTACCACTGGTATACTTACATACATGTAGTTTTGGTGGATTGGTCTGCTTCACACCTACGAAACGAAGCCATATAACCTTCGAAAACGTCACATTTTTCACGAGACAAGCTGCGACGCTACTATATGTAGCATGGTCTGAAATTCAGAGAACTCTTGGTATTTACTGTGCTCGGGATAACCTATCTCACCAGCCTGGGCTCACCGGAAATGTACTTGAAAAGATCAGCTCCCGGAGGAAGGATGCCTCCAAGACTCACCAGCGCAACTCCCACCGTGGCAACCGCGCACGCCAACCACACCTGCCACCGCCAGATAAAATTTCAATCAAGATACGTACAGTCAATCGTTGCTATCAACATACATTTTATTGGGCTGTGATCAGCTACGGTACATGTTCTTCGGTGGCGCCGTTGATCTTCACTTCTTTTAGGCATGCGGGCGAGAAGAACGCACGCATGGACGCACACATCGAAATGACCTCTCACCACTCTCCTCACAGACTACACAAGCGACCATTTCCGTGCTACCGTTAAGCTAGATATCATCGATACCGCGCGATCCGTGTCCTGGCGAACCCTAAGTGCATCATTAGGTCGAGGTCACATACGCGAGAGGTGTCGACTTAGGCATTTCCTGCGAGACTTGTGGGGTACCATGGTTGCCGGCTGAACTGCAAAATTGTTGTTGTCCAGACACTGCTGTTAAGGTTGCTGTTGTGGACATATTTCCTTCGATTCTTTGGCCGAGTACAAATTGATGATCAAACCGCACCCAATCAAAGCAAAGCAAATCCTATCACAGCAACCACTCCTACTGTTCCGATACAAAATAGAAAAAATGCCAAAAGCACGCGAGTGGTGTACCGTACTCCTGCAATTGGCGCGAGTTCTCCCTGATTCGGGCAGGCATGCGTTCACCTGTGGCTTGAGCTTTCGCCGCCCCAAAAACGCTTCCAAAACCGGCACGATGACCGTCGTAAGCTGCACCAGGAACCCTGCCCTGCTCGCCGAGGTCAACTCCAATCCCCACACCTGGCGGTGTGAGCGCATTCAGCACAGAGTCAACAACCCACAAGAAGATATAAAAATCACACGTTTGTGATCTGTAGCCGACACTCCTGGGACCGCGGTACTTGATCATAGGGGTTTCCAATTTCCAGAGCAAGCTCGCCGATGACGGTGATAAAACGCCGCGCGATAAACCACACCTTTCAACAGGATAATAGGTGCCTCAGGGACGTGTGTTGAATGCCACGTTCCTAGCTTGAGCGCGGCAACGTCTGAGCGATGTGTGTTGCACGACCGTGCTAGTCGTCTGACGTGTTGCCTTCAGCCCCCGAAACATGCACTTTTCTCAGGCTATCCTTGTAACATGGTCTGAGCCGAGCTAGCCTAGGACCGGATCGCTATCTAGACAAGGTTCTCCTATCCTGCCCTTGACGACTCTTGCCTGTACGGTGCCAGCAAGAAAAAGCCACAGTCCTAGTTCAGCTCCCGCTCGTGCGGTGTAGCGGTTTAGTAGTGCTTTCTCTTTTGGCGGAAGTTCTGCCTCTTCCTCGACTTCGTGTCTCCCCCCCCCTTTCGTGGGCAGGGGCAGCAGTTTCAGAGAGTTAGCATCATGCGAGGAAGGAGGATGACAGTGGTTCGACAGGGTTAGTCACCGGGACAGTATAACGGGCAAATCTGTTGAAAAAGGGCGAAATAGTGTTGTGGGTGTTGTTCAAAACGGTAGGAGCGGGTTGGCAAAAGTGTAAGGATGTGTTCATCCGTCAAGTCTTGGGCGCACATCACCCACCCACAAATTGCAGTGTACGTCGAAACAGCAGTTAGTCCTGCAGGTAGGTGCAGTCGTTGAAGACACTTTAAGAACATCTATTGGTTTCTAAACAGCACTATGTACTGCTGTTGATACGTCGAACGTATCCCAGCAAGCCTCAGGTTGTGCAGCTACCGTGAGGGTGTTGTGCAACCAGTGTGCTTCAAAGCAAAGCAACGTTGATACCCGTCACACATGCGAAGAACGACATACTACTACCACGGGGTGCAACGGTCAACAACGGCAGCACGGAGAGGGAAGGTAAGTGCCCACAGATAGATCCTGCTGTGCAGCGTGGGTAATCTGCTGTATCATTTTGTAGGACACGTGCAGATATTATCCGAGGTCGTGACCACTCACCTGCTGTTGCTGTCCGATGTCTTCTGGCGGTGTTGAGACTGGCGACAGCCGCGAACGTCAGCACGGACACCACGTAGCACGCAAAGTTGAACAGCAGCCCCGGCGGCGATTCTCCCATCTGGTACAAGTACTTTACGCTAGGAGCGTAAGTACCCCACACCAACGGTACGGTGGCGAGCACGAGGAGGCCGCTCCGCTCCGAGCGGATGTTCTTCCCTTTGCTAGCCGGTAGCGTCGCACCATCCTTCCCAGCACCATCCGCATCGATGTCCGGCTTGAGGCTGGTATTGCAGGACACCACTGTCTCTGGCACACCAGTTTCTGCCGTGTTAAGGCGGACGGAGGGGCCGGCGCGCCGCCTGGCCCAAAGCCTGTCGGCTTGGCCGGACTGCGGTTTCTTCATGAGGCGACTGCTGCTGCTTCGGAGAGGCTGATGTGCGAAGCCAAACTGCAAGGAGACGCTGCATCTAGAGGCTACCAATACGGCCATAGCCAGAGCACGCCATAAATCCATGCAGCACGCACGCAAGCACACCGCCACGCCCTGGTTGTTTGTTGTCGACCTGTCCCTTTGCGTCTGCTTGATCTCTATAACACCGGCCGCCGCGGGGTTTCATCGCACGGAGCGTTATGGTTTTCTTGACAGTCTCGCGGTTCCTTGTCGAAAAAGTGAGTTGCCTTGTTTTGGGTGTGAAAGAGCTAGCAGTCTCTCAGCGCTGGCCTCGTGTGCGACTACCGCCACCCTGCTCGGAAGATGAAGCGCGTCTTTGGTGCCGTGTCTGGCGCTTTCAGATCCCTCGTTCCCAAGGCAACCGCGCCGGCCGCACATCACCAGGAATCAGTTCGGAAGGCGATGGAGTCTCTCGCGCCCCCGGGCAGGAGGTTGCCGTCCGAGAGCAAGACGCTGGCGATGGAGCTCGTGGCGGCTGCTTCAGAGGGGGACAAGGAGAAAGAACTCTCGCTGAAGACCCCAGAGGAAATGTTCCTCGCTGCTAACGCTTTGCATCAGGTGCGTCCACCAGCTAATTTGTGTGTGTCCGTTTTGAGTCAGTCATGACCGGATTGAGTCGGCTACTGCTGCTGCTGCACCCGGATACTGCTGTTGTGCGCACAACGGCCGTCGTGTACCATTCCCCGACTCTCGTTGGAGAAGCCGGTAGCTGATCCACCACATGCTTGTGTGATAACACTTAAAGCCATCCACCCTCTTGTCTTGGCACTCACCCTGTTCACCCCGGGTTTCTGGACGAACTACTGCTGTAGGGCAAACACATACCGGCGGACAAGGAGACCGCCTTTGCGCTCTGGAAGAAAGCAGCAGAAGCCGGCCACCCCAAAGCCATGTGAGTTAATCACCGCTGCTGCCTCTCTCGACATCCAGCTTGTGCCAGCGGGAGGGAATCCTCGGGACTTGCCAAAGAAAAGGCTGTAGCTGGGTCAGTTTGGTTGCATGCTGGTCCTCCGTGGTGCTTGCCTTTGTTGTGTGCAAGGGTTCGGGTAGCCGCCGCTCATCAGCGTGTACATATCTTCTTCATCTTCCGTTCCCCTCGTCGTCAGTGCTCCGGACTCCGGACTCAAGCTAACGCTTGTCCCATCGCCACAGCTAATTAGGCGCTCATTTGACCACAACTCGATCAAAACTTGGTCTTGGGGGGTGTTTTCTTGCGTGTTTGCGTCGATGTCGTAACTCGACAGGTACTCGTACGCCGGCTGCTTGAGGAACGGGGACGGCACTAAGAAAGACCTTCCCACCGCGGTGTCGCTGTTCGAGCGATTGGGGGACCAGGGCTTGCTTGAAGCCAAGGTGCGTCGCGGGTGTGTCTGTTGAGCCATCGGGGCCTGCAAACCAAGACGTGATGAGCAACTGCAAGGACTGGTTGGTGCTTGCTCGATAGTTGCTCCCGAGATGGAGCTTGGACGGACCGGCACCGGTTGCTGCTGTATTGCGTCGCGTTGGGTCCATGAACTCACATGCCCATTACCCCGCTCCCCGGACCGTTCCAGCACGCGCTAGGGCTAGTGTTGTCGTCGGGCGAGGGGGAGGATGTGGGAATCCCGCAGGACGAGGAGCGTGCGCTCGAGCTCTTCAAGGCCGCTGCCACTGGTGAGGGGTGACCTTGACGTTAGCGCGCGTGTTGATGACGGTGTCCATGTGTAACCAGTAACAAGTCTCCAGCTTCAGAGACCACGTCTTGCATCGAACGCGGGTGAGAAGAACCGAGAGCGAGTTGGGTTGAATGGCGTCACGTTGAGCGAACCGTTTGTGAATGTAGAGACATGGCGCCTTCCCTCCACAACCGAAACGCATTGTCCCGCCATCGTTTCCCTTGTTCTACTACCGCAGCACCCACATCATTTGGTGTATGCTCTTTCGTGGACCTCCCTTTTCCCTTTTCCTGTACCCCTTTAACCGCGATATGACCTACTTTTTCGGTACCTCAATACCTTGTACTTTTTGCTCTTTGTGCTCGTGCCTCTTGATCGGGATGCGACAATCACGCGCTTCCAAGGCGGCTTCGTTCCCGCGATACACGCCGCGGCATCCATGATGGAGGCTGGCAAGGGGGGAGAGAAGGAGGACGCCAAAGCCGTCCAGTGAGTGAATCTTGCCGAACAAGTGATTCCCGCCCTCTTTTCGGTATGTTCTACCCAGCCACAACGCCCACACCACATTGACACATGCAGCAGCTGGCTCAACTCACATGATGCCACAATTGGCGCGAACTCGCCCTGTTTTGTGTTGTCCCTGCCGGCACAGGTGGTTGGAGGTGGCCATGGAGGCTGGGGATCCCATGGCGTACTCTACCCTCGCAACGTGGTATACAGCTGGCAGGTGATGAAAACGGCGACAACAGAGTGTACCACCTTTCTGTTTGCATATGTTTGCCAATAGTGCAACACGGTGGCGACAGTTGATCGAGAGGAAGGCTGCGCTTGGCGTGAGGATCAATCACCGCAACCGTTACGCGAACGCGGTGGCTGGTTAGGGACGGTGTACCAAGTGGCTTGATTTTCACTGTGGTGGTAGATGCTGTAGCACTCTTGAACTGTCGCAGCGAAAGCTCTGCACATCTTCATACCGTACCCCGTGCTTTCAAGTCAGAAGCTACAGGATGCACGAGCAACGCGACACCGTCACTAACATCAAACGCATAGGTAGAGCTGCCCCTGCAAATGCATGCACTCGCATTGTACTAGACAACTGGAACTTACGCCCAGAAATATCAAGCGCGACCACTGTCTTGCGCGCCGTACAGCATAACGGGAAGCTCGGCTGTCCAATGCGTGTCTTGCCGCAGTTACGAGCCTATTTTTTTTATCCATATCCATGACGGTGCTGCATTCTTTTCGTCGTGCTGTTTCTATAGGCACCATTCCTCCTACCCCCCCCCCGCCGCCACCGTATCACTGCCTCCTGTGTGCTACTGCGGTGCAATTGCGATCTGACTTTGTATGCCCGACCAAATCACTCAGGGCGGGCCTAGAATTGGATCACAAGAAGGCTTTCGAGCTACACCTTCAGGCGGCCAACATGAACATGCCCCGAGCGCAGTACAACACGGCCGTTCACTACCTTGAAGGCACCGGAATCGAGCAGGTGGGAAGCGGTTTTCGCCTGTCGAGCTGATTGTGACCCGGTTAGACCTGCAGTCACGCAGTTTGGGCGTACGCAACACGAAACCGCTGGTTTACCCATGGTTAGAAATCGTAGTTGGTGAGCCTAACGAAAAGCCTTCTACCATCCAGGTCGGAGTATTGTTGTTCTGGGTGATAACTTGCACAGACAAGTGCGATATGTCACACACTGCAAGGCTGTGCTGCTCGTTTCGGAACAGAGGTGTGGTACAAACTAGTACCCACCTTTAACCCAACTATATCCCAGCTATGACATGGCGGCATTCCTTAACTGGAGCTAGACATTTCGATTCTTTTGGGAACAGACATGCTCATTTACTGCGGGAGAAGGAGAGACTAACCGATTGGGCGCAACACAACCCATCTGTCTCTCTTATGAATAGAATCGCCGCCCGGTTTTCCTGATCATGACCCTCAACGAAACCACAACGCGTCTGAAACGTCACGACCAAACACACGATTTTGCAGAATACAAATCGTCTCCAACCGTTTTTCCGCTTTTTTATATATGTCAATTTTTTCATGTGCTTATCTTCAGAACCTCCCGGAAGCGGCGGCATGGTTCGAAAGAGCGGGGGCCTTGGGAATGCCGCAGGCGATGCTCAACCTAGGGAAAATGTTGGAGAACGTAAGTGGGTTGAGAATGCAAGCAGTTGATGATGTTGTCGCTGGATCGATTACGTCCTTCCGTTTTGTTTTATCGGTGGCTTTGGTGTTCTACGACTACGCCGCACAATTTTATATTCCTAGCTATTTAGTCCTTTGTACTTCAACTTGTTTGAACTCCGAATCAAAGTCAGCGATGTCTGTGTGTGCAACGCTGGGAGCAGACGAGTTCGAGTTAAGTCCTGCCAAGCAAGCATGCGATGGACCACAACGAAAACCCACAATCGTAATGTTCTTCCACTCATGTGGAATGCACACAACGTTCAGGGTATCGGTGTCGAGGTGGATCGAGAGCGAGCTTTAAAGCTGTACCAGGCGGCCTTGCGCGCCGAGGGGCAGCTGGAGGGAGGCTTGGCGACGGCCGGGGATGACACAATGGCTGCGCTGTTCGAGGCAAAGCAAGAGGGGCTTTCGTCGGAAACGAAGAAAGGGAATATCGCACGAGGAGACCAAGCAGACGAGCACGGAGAAGATCAAGGCGTGAAACGGCTAGGCGAATCCTCCTCTTCTTCGTCCGAAAAGGCTTCTGCATGACACGCATGCATGCATGAACGTCTCGAGTTGCTGCATAGCGCACGAGGCCATGCGCGAGACCCGTTCGTTTACGAAGTGGTGCCCGTCAACAGGACACCTATCGCGTAGCGGCGCACAGGGGTTGTAGTGAACTCCTTCTAATTCCGCGGGTGCGTAGGTTACCTTGCAGTTAAAGGCCGACGGTGTGCTGCTTGTAGCGACCGTATCGATCAACAAGTCTATTCGCAACCGGAGGCACGTTAGTGCGGGACGTTCATGACTTGCCGCCTTGCTGTTAGGGAGATGATGCACAGCTTGACAAAATGACAAGCACGGACCTGGTAACAGCGGTTCAGAAACGGCAGGCCTAGTATGCTCTCAGTTCATACCACCTTCCCGGGTAGGGGTACAGTAGTTCCGCTGAGTGGAGGATGCCGGCTGGTGTCTACCGACCCGTATGAGGGCACAGCATAAGTGTAAGCACGGAAGAAGACGTCCGTTGTAGAGGAAACGAAGCACCAGCTGTGTTGGGGATACTGCTAGGTACCGCTCACGCTACTGCTGGAGACGCCGATCTACTGTAGAGCTTTTACCTCGAGTGGTCGCTGTGGAACTGATCGCTCGTGCCTTGATAAAGAACTCGGAGATTTCGAGGGTGAGACGCGTCGAGGCCCGGACATGTCTAGTGTGCGTGGATTCCTGTCGCGCCCAACGAAATTTGGCGGTATCCCGCGCCAAGCTCGCTTGCGACCTCGTGAAGCACACACACACACGCACCACGTAGGGCTAGGGAATAACTGCCCAGAGATTCTTGTCAAAATGAGGGTCAGAATGATGGTAGCGAAAACAAGGAGGATAATAGTGAAAGTACCTATAAACGAACTAGAGTACAAGGTAAAAGCCTTGGTAGACGCGTCCAGTTTTCTGCTGTTGCTGCTGTTTCTTTGATCCGAAGGATAGTTTAGCCTCTCCCATGCTGCCCCCTCACGGGGTCCCAGTTCATGGCAGATAGAAGTGTTTTGTGTTTTCCACCGCACTAAGACTGACGCCTTTTCATTGGTCAGCCGGTTAGCGCGGTCGATGCTAATAATAAAACACACACACACACATCCCTCCTTACTGCTGCTGTTTCAACGTATTGTGGTCTTGGCAAAGGCACCAATTGACTCATCGTTGCTATCGCCAACCACTTGGCGCACGAAGCTTTTTGCCGGGGGAATTTTGACGACGAAAGAGCCTCAGTTCGCCTGAAAGCTTTTCATACTATTACAGGATTCGGAGACGGTTTACTTTCGAGCTAGCTCGTTTTCTGTCGATGCGAACTCGCGATGTACTCAAACGTCATGGGCTACTGATCGACCAACTTCCACCAGGGCCAATCGGTTGGGATCTCTGCGACAACGATAGTAATGAAGGTAATTCTTTTGGGAGTAATGGAGACGAAGGAAAGGGAAAGAGAAGAAAGGAGGACGAAGACGGCGACGGAGGAGTAAAACATGGAGGAGTGGAAGAGAGCAAAGGGTTTGAGCCAGATGACCTTCCTCAACACAAAAACGCAGGGCTAGGGAAGAACTGCCAGAGATTCTTGTCAAAACGATGATCAGAATGATGGTAGCCAAAACAAGGAGGATAAAGTGAAAATACTCCTAAACGAACTAGAGTACAAGGCAATAGCCCTGGTAGACGCGTCCAGTTTTCTTCTGTTGCTGCCGTTTCTGTCTTTGATCCGGAGGATAGTTTAGCCTCCCCCATGCTGCCCCCTCACGGGGTCCCAGAGTTCATATGGCAGATAGAAGAAGTGTTTTGTGTTTTCCACTTCACTAAGACTGACGCCTTTTCATTGGTCAGCCGGTTAGCGCGGTCGATGCTAATAATAAAAACACACACATCTGTTTCACAGCCGAAGAGGCAAGAAGCCTTGATCAAAGGAGGGCGCCACGAGTACAATATTTAACATTTACTTGATTGATTAGCACCGCGCAGCGAAGACGTGGGTACTCTCTCTTGATTGTACTTGTAAACTTCGTAAAACGGAGAGATGGAATGACATTTAGCGATCCAAGAATCAGAGCCAAATGGCATGAGGCTCACACCAGCTACTGCTTAGCATGGCAGTATCATATGATATGATACTGCATGAACGACGTGGAGGGGGCGGAGGGGCTCCGCGAGATGACTACCCACCCATCGGAGCTCCGCAGAATCGATGCAGTATCCGCACAAACAATCATGTCACCGCACCTGGCCACCACCTCTGCAGCTACTCTATAATACTCCGGAGTACATCCAGCTCTGAGATCAACCTGCCTGCTGCCATGTCGATGAGTGGCTGCCCTATGGCCCGTGTCCCAGAAATCGCTGGCGTCGTGCTTGCCGTCGTATGTCTTGCGAAGGTATGCAAAGCCTTCACCGCTTCATCACGCGGCGCACTCTCCTCGGGCAGCACGAACAACCACGGTGTTCCTCAGGAGCTGTGAGTGTGAACTATGTGTGATAAGGCTATCTGTGTGCGTCAGTGGGGAAGCAGGAGCAACAAGAACTATCTACAGGGCTCACCCGAACCGCGTTTGCGTTTCAAGTTGATCACGCTGTGTCCGTCGTCGTACAGGCAACCAACCACGTCACGCAACGACAGTTTGAAAACCGCACCGGTGTGATGATTTACTGCTGTACTGCTGTACACTACACTGCTTGCTTCTACGGCCGCCGCCGCTCCTGTTGCTGTTGCTGCTGCTGTTGCTGCTGTACTTGTTGCTGTTGTTGTTGTCTTGTGTGCCAATGCAGAACATGGTTGTCGTATGTCGCACATACCACTGGTGGCATACCAGGTGTTGTGCGACTACACAAGAGAAATGCGGTGCAATGCTGACTACGCAAGCTGTTGTAACATTTTTTTTTTTTTTTCACTTCATATCAGCGCTCACAGCACTAGTGCCGTTTATTCCAACCCGTGGTCACACAGAAGAGCCTCTCTCTACCCTCCCCTCCTGCGGTACTTTGCCTTCGGTTTTTAATGCAAGAAGAGTTCAGCACTCTCTTCCCTCTGTGTACACACGAACTAGCGCTATCCACTTGGCCAGGAGCGGAAGCGAGAGAAAAACTCACTTTGCAAGAAAAGCTCGCCTACGCTGGGATTCGAACCCCTGACCTGACCTCTAGAAGGTTACGAGGCTACCAACTAAACCACCGGGGCGACCGACAGTCTGGGAGTCATCATGCGCAGTATCGAACATTCAGATACGGAGTATGCGAAAGCGCTGCGAAAGAGAGGCACACAAAAATGAGGCAAATCCAATCGAACGAGAGCAGATCTCGTACACCAGTGGTGGCGCTAGCACACATGTTGCTCCTCTCTATGCTATGAAACAATAGCGATTATTTGTGCTTGTGCTGTATGTATCTGCTACAGCATTTTGGGCAGTTTTCGCACCTCTAGACACTGCTGTAGACATGTGGAGGCCTGGCGGGCATTCATTTCCCCGACGGGCCGAGGATTTCACCGACAGGAACAATCGCCGTAGACCTGCATTTCTGTTTTTTTGGAGCTGCACGCCATCTGGCCAAACAAGAGACCAATTCGAAGATCTGATGCGGTTCTCGGGTCACCCGGTTCCTCCACGGGTTAATCCCGATGAACATATGCGGGAGACAACCACCTCTTCCCGTGCATGTCCCTCTCTGGGTGGCGCTATTGTGTGTTTGGGCTCGATATTTGCTTTCGTGCTGAAACTATATAGGTCCAAGTGCGAGAGCGCTCTCCTAGAGCGGCTGAAGCTAGCCACGGAGGTCGCTCTGCAAGCCGGTGCCGCCATGAAGCTGGTCATCAACACCAAGAAGGAAGGCATTGTCCACAAGGGGGCCACAGACCTGTGAGACTGTCGGCACTACAGTAGCAATCGCAGGCATATATAATTCTATCGAGAGAGGTCGGTCGTTGCGTTTGTACAGACTAGCACCTTGGTTGGCGAAGGATTCACTGCCGACATTTTTTGCGTGGGCGAAACAGGTCTTAGTGCGACATCCCCCCCCCTTGTCGTCTGAGCAATGTTCTAGGCCGGTCTTGTCTTTGGGACAGACACCCCTCTTCCTTCGTTCTAAAGGACAGGGCATCGATAGCCCCGGTCGCGACCCGTTGTGTTCACGCCCTGCGACAGGGGTCAGTTGCCAGATGAATTCGGAATTGCCGGTTGCGGGTGACCTTCTTTGTTTCGTGAAAGCGGCAACAACAACAACAACAACAACGCTTTAACAAAATACGCGGCAACAACAATAACGCTTGAACAAAATAACAGGGTGACGGCAACGGACAAGGCAAACGAGAAGCTAATCTTCGATGCGGTGAGAAAGAGCTTCCCAGGGGACGTGCTCATCGGAGAGGAATCTAGCGCGGACGCTGGCTCCATCGCCGCGCTTACGGACGAGCCAACCTGGATCGTCGACCCCGTAGATGGCACTACCAACTTCGTGCACGGGTTTCCTATGACCTGCGTCAGCATCGGCTTTGGACGCGGAAGCAAGGTCAGTCGGTTCTACGCGTGTTGTAGTGGCGGAGGAGGATCAGAGCGGCTGACAACGCCGGGGCTGGCGCGTGTGACAAACCGGCTCGCGTTGTACCATCAGTTTCTTGAGGGTCTGTCGCATTTCCCTTTCTCGTCTTTCTTTTGGTGCTGCCATTAGCCTTGTGTACTTTTCTCGCGAAACGTTTCGTCTTCTTTGTGTGTCTATCGTTGCTGCAAGCAGTGCCCCAGTTTTCACCTTTCGGCCTGTAGTGTACGATCTGTTTGTTGCTTTTCGTGTCTTGCGACGTTCTGCGGGTAGACATGTTGCCGCACTGTGTGCAGACGACTGGTATGAGTTATCCATAGGGTTATCAATGCCGTACGAAACTAACCTCCCGCTGCCCTTTTTCCATTGCCCTTTAAGTGGTCCCGTTTTTGTACGATTGTTTTGTCCCCGGTCGTCAGATGGAGGTTGGCGTGGTATATGATCCTTGCGCGGACGAGTTGTACCAGGCTGTTCGAGGCTTCGGGGCCTTCGTGAATGGACGGAAGGCGTCCTCCTCGGACTGCACCGAGTTGGGGAACGCCGTTGTGGTGAGGGGGGGGAACAGGGCACTCGATTTTGAACAAAACACACACACAAGAAATCACAAGCAGAAAGACAGCCCGTCGGACACTATTTTCAGGTTGACGTGTTGGAGTCTATGTAGTGAAGCTTGAGAGACGCGCGTTTGGCCACTTGGAACTCAGTTGAGTCTTTGATTAGGTTTTGGGCACTTTCGTTTTTGGCTCGAACGAGCAGACCGGGAAGCTGGTTGTTACATTGGTTGCCCTACCTGACTCAAGTCTCGACCGTATTGGTATACATAGCCGTTATCGTTGCCTCTAGAAGGGAATGTAGCCGGAGTTTTTTGGTTTAGGCACGGACGAAAGGAGAACCAGACCCCGCGGTACTATTAATTCATTAGACAGTAGAGGCGAATGTGTGACCCACCCCCCCTCCCCATCCTCAGATAACGGAGTACGGGTACCAGAGGGACCCCGTGGCGGTTCGGAAGATGATGGAGGTTACGGAGAAGGTTCTCAGAAAATGCCGGGGCCTTCGGCAGGTGCAGTCAGAGTATTCCTGCGTGCTCTTCCTAGGTAGCACATGTTGTTGAACTACTGTTTCACATTGGTGGGAACGTACCGTCACGGCGTGCTCGGGTTGCACCCATCTCCGTCCCTCACTCCCCGTATTCCCACCGCCGGTTTTTCACCGTGGAAAGGCAGCCTGTTTTCGTGAACAAACCCAGTCGCGATATAGGTGTCTCCAGCCCGTTTTCCAAGCGGTTCCAACGATTGCGTCTCGTCAAAATCTACACCCGTGTAACCAAGGCGTTTTTTGGGCCTCCTCCTGATTGGTCCATGCTCGCCTTGGGCCTGCTTTTTACAGGTTGGCAGCGGGTGCCTGGACCTTTGTTGGGTGGGCTGCGGCAGGGTAGACGCCTTGTACTCGGGGGTGGCTGGAGAGGGTTGGCAGCCGTGGGACTATGCCGCAGGTTGGCTTTTCATCGAAGAGGCGGGGGGGGTCGTCAAGCAAGTGAGACGGAGACGCTATGCATAGTAGTTGTGGCCCAAACAGGATTGGATCCGATTCGGTTGCACGATATATCGGACCTCACGTTATTTAGGCTTATGAATGATCGCGTATGTTGCAAGGTGCTGATTCTGTCTTTAAAGTGGTTGCAACTTCATGATGTTACCCGAAATGGCACAACGAAGCTCCCTTCGTGCCCTATGGGCAACGGCGAAGCCCCAGCGGCGTGTATGCAAGTCACATCGTTGTTTGTGGGGGGTCCAGTGCTTGTAGTCGCTGCAAACTTGCGTGCCCTTCTCCTCAACATCAGAGTTTGGAGTAGCACTAAACGGGTTTCTTCGTGGTTTTTACACTATCCACCCTCATGCCTTTTATATGTTGTTCTCGCCCCCGTTCGTCGTGTTGTCTTCTTACAAAAGGTGGACGGAAGCCCCTTCCACGTGTTCAGCAAGTCTGTACTGTCCGCCGCGAGCCGAGAACTCGCGGACGAGCTCGTGTCGACCATACGGTGACATTTTGATTATAGCTAGAATTTCTTGGGTGTTTATCTAGCTTAGCAGGATCTGCTAGGGTGAGCGCTTCCTGACAGAGCACGGCCATCTACGTGTCAGCATTTCCTAAGTCGTGTTTTGGAGATTTTTCGTGGGGTCCGTCGAAAGGAATCGATCCCATCCGCGTTTTCTGTCTTCTCCGAAGCGGTGTCCATTGCCCGCTCCTGAGGCTCGCACCGTTCCCTGTCTCTCTCTGTACTGTGCGTTGACCAATCTGCTCCGCCTCTCGGTCTTGCTAGCTACATATATACATCTGACGAACATCGTCGAGATCAAAACTGATGTAACCGTCAAGAGATGGAGGGCCCATTGGAGCCGGACTGGATCAGAAACAAGGTGGTTGATCTTCAACCACAACCAACGTTGGCACGTCGCAAGGATTGTTCGTTGTTTTTAGGTGTTTGTCGTGATCAGGCTGTACTTCTGCGGCCAGTTCTGGGCTTGACTGTTGTTGAGAGCCCGCGAGGCGTTGTGCAAGGTGTTCACCAGGCTGTTCATGTACTTGGCGCGCGCAAGAGAAACGACTGCTTCCTCTGTTGACACCGTGGAGGGTAAAGACCGGGAAATACTTCCTCGTGAGCCTGCGTTTGACAAGAGGGACAAAGATCTGTGGTTCTTGTCAATCACACCCGCTGCTGCTGTTGTATGGAAACACGACAAAAATAAAATGTGCCAAGGGCGACTGCTTGTGCTTCGAACATGAGCGGCTTCGCCCCTTATATTAAGCGCATCAACGTTTCAGCGTGTGCACATACTGGAAGCGGCATCTTTCCCACGCCAATAAATGTACTGCTCGTGCCGTTGTGGATGTGATAGTGGTTGCTACTTGTAGGGGTGGTATGGGACAACTAGCGATCTGCAGTTAGCCTAACCCTTGAATATACACAAAAACCACAGCGAGAACTCTGCACTAACCTGCCCGAAACCCTCAGAATCGTCGCACAATCCAGTGGGCCGACAAAAGAAAAAAGCGACACAGCACGCACTGATCTAACCCGGCTTTCCCATTTTTACATATCGGAGGCTAGTCATGGTAAAGTACTATATTAATCAATACACATGTGATATGCAAGAATGGTACTGGTACAACAAAGGTAGACAGACTACAATATTTATGTCCGGTCGGTGAATGGGCACAGATAACACTTTAATTTGCTCTATCAACAGAGGGCGCAACCAAAACTCTACGCGCAACCCTTCTAGGTGCCTCGGGAGCCTCAAAAACATTGACTTCGGATTGTGGCACTGCAGCAGCGACGACACATACCTGAAACAACCCTACAACATCCACACACGGCGCAAAACGGTGTTTCGGTTGTTAGCCTGCGAACCACGCAAGTCAAGCCACAAAGGGCGATCGGTCGCCACCGTCAGCGGTGCATCTGTCCGTGTCAAGCCACACTGGCGGTGGAGGGCCCGCGGTTCCATCCAAGTGATCGTGCCGGCCGGCCTCTTCGTCCACCATCCAGCTGAGCAGCTCCTTTTGCCTCACGTCGTACTCACTCCTGCTGTCCTCCTTCATCCTCTCGTGCCGCAGTTCGTTCTCGCGGATGGCGAGGGCCCACAGCTGGCGGCGCTGGCTGCTCGCCGTTGTGATCGGCACCACGGAGATGTCCCCAGGGGCGGCAGCAACCCCGCAAGGTCCCAATGGCGAAGAATCTGCCGCTCTTGCCCTCTTGACGCGGTGCAGCAGCAGCGTTGCCCCCCACCTTTCCGCCACCTTCGAACCGATGTCCCTGCCACTATAGCCGACGTTCCGAACGGCGCTGTTCGAGGTGCTCTTGCTAGCCTTTTCTCGCTCCTCCTTGCCACTCACAAGGAGTGCCGTCGTATGCAAGTTTGCGCGCGTCACCACCGCGGCCGCTTCTGCCGCCGCGGCCGCTGCTGCCGCTCCGCTCAAGTTGCTCCTGGTGATTGCGGGGCCGCTCATCCCGTGGACGACGTCTAGCTCGCCCGCTTGCACCTTGGCATCCTGAAGCATTGTCGCAAGTAATTTCTTCAGTGCGGCCGCCTTCGTCTGGCGAGCCCTCCTCAGCTCGCTTGCGGTCATCCTAAGCTCTATACGTGGCCCGCCTGGAAAGCTGGTCGGGCTGGAAAGGGTGAAGACGTCGTCGTTGCCGAGGGCGGCCGACCGGACTCCAAGCCCGCCCACTGTTGGTGCGGTTGCTACCGTTGCGGCCGCGGCTCTCGTGATCGCAGGTGTCACAACGAGGTGGCTGTTTGCAGGAGCGCCAATGTCGCCACCTTCACTGACAGTATCCGAATCTACTTCCGCCGGCGGTGACGAGAGCATCGTACCTCCGGTCGCTGCGGCCAACTCGGCCAGTTCTGCCAGCTCCGCCATTTCCGCCGTTGCCGCCGCCACCGCCGCTTCCCCGCTTGATTCGTTGTCCTGCTGCTGCTGCTGCTGCTGCTGCTTCTCTTGCTGTTGCTGCTCTTGCTGCTGTTGAATCGCTTCCGTTTGAGTATGAGACCCCCCTCCTTCGAGAAGAACGGGGCCACCACTACCCACAACCGTCAGTGGTACCACGTCAGTAGGCATGGCTGGGGCAGTGGGCGACTCGTCCAATCCAGAAATGTCAGGGCTTTGAGCTGTGCCGAGAATCGCATCAGCACTCCGCCTAGCGCGCATGTCTTCGCCCCTCCTCCTTGTCCATACCCGGAAAATCTCTCCCGCAATGGCGCGTTTGACGAGGTCTGGGGCGGCGAAGTTCGCCAGTACGGCGTCACAGCACGCCCTGAACGCAGAATAGATCGACCCACGTTTTGGTTCGATGGCAGACAAGAGCGGGAGTGAGCAAGCGTGAGGTCTGCAAAATTGTCTTGGAGTGTCGATTGAATTGGCCCAGCACGACATGCCGCAGATAATGTCGATCAAGGGTCAGTGGCTTGTGCCCCCGACTACGTCTTCAAAGCCCCAAACGCCAAATGGTGCACTACTATCCCCCAAAGAAGAAAGAAATACCACAAGCTTCTTATTCGCAAGGACTCACACTGCTCAGGATGATATTGGAAACGGAGTGAGGACAACGCGGAACCACTCGCGACTTCGCAACATCTTACTGTGCCCGGCAGAATAAACTCCTTCCCCCCTCCTTTCCGGACCCGGGTCAAGTAAATCACACGCAACCAGCCAGAACGAAACGCCAGCACGCAATTGCACCCCCCTGAACCACGAGTTCACTCAACCATCTGCATCCCTTGTTCGCCACCCGACAGACTTGACTTACCTCAGAGCCAAGAGATTTTTTCTTGTGATGTCCAACCCGTGTGCCACCACCAGCTCCGACGACGGCACAATCTCCCCGTCCACCATAAACCCCGTCAGCGGGACCTTTAACACATCCAAGGGCATACGACGTGTAGGGATCGGAATAACGAAATACGACAATTTGACCGTACAGCTCACTCTCGAAACACGTGACGTGCACATGAGCTTGAACTCGTCAGCGATCACGATCTCTCTAGTTCGATTTTAGCTTACCTTGAGCCGTAGGGAGGGCCGGCACTGCTTCCCCTCCACGATTTGCACGTGGAGCGGCAGGTCGTATTCGACGGCGCTCTCGCCACCTTCTCCCCCCTCTTCCGTTGCCGCAGGAACCACCACCGTCTTCTTCTTCTTCTTCTTTCTTCGGTGCATCGACGTGGAATCAAGGTCCTTCGTCCTCGGCCGGCCGTTGTCATGGTCGTCAACGAATCCGTCGTTCGCGAAGGCAGCAGCGCCACCAAACAACAACGAGAACTCAGCATTGGCACCCCCGACCGTAGCTCTGCTTCCTCCTCCTTCTCCCGCGACACGTCTGCCGCCAGAACGAGGATCTGACGATGCCGGCTGCAGCGATTCAGGTGAGCGTGAAAATCCTGTCGCCCCCGGTTCCGGCCCTACAGTTTCCGCCCCGCCGGAGCCGTACACATCTACGGATGGAGGCGCCGGCTCCAGCTTTCCCTCAAGAACTTTGGGGTCCGATTTCAGCGCTTCCAGCGCCATCTTGCACTGAAGAGGCCGGTTGACGGCTCGGAGGTCGCCCGCTTTCACCCTTAACTCCATGTCGCTACCCGTGTAGGTCATGTGGATAACTCGAGAGTCCGGTACCCATCTCCCCGCTGGTGTTGGCGACGGCGGCCCAGACCGGTCGACATCAAAACAAAAAAAGCGGCAGAACAGCGCATACAAGTTACACCAAACATACAGAATAAAACGAAGCAGAGAAAAACACGCCGTACGAATGAAAAACTAAACAGGTGAATTATTTTGGGCACTCAAAGTACAGCCGCAGGGATTAACTTCGCAGTGGGACGATATCGATCTGATTCCGGAGGCTGGGTCATCCTGGCTACCCTGGAGTGCTTTACGTGCCTGGCCTCGCGAAGCTAACACTAGCAAGCGTGTTCGGGTAAGAATCGCCCAGTCCGGTGTTCTCTCCAGAACCAGCCGGTCGACGCTTATACTACTCACGAACCACACACATACACGCGCGCAGTCCCTGCGGGCTTTCTCAACGCCGATCAACTCAACTGAAACAAATAGCATCGCATGATACAACATGATTACCTCCATAGTGGCTGGATTCCACGGCCAATGATGAGCCCTCTGGCGGTTTGACATGTTCCTCGTCGTAGCGAATCATGGCTTCCGCTGCGATGATTGTGTGAATCGACGTGGGCATCTTCGATCGGTCTGTGGGAAGCAGCGTGTCCCGGAATGCCCTGCCTCGACCGGAGAAGATGATCGTTTTTTAGTGGCGAGCAACGCGGGGTGGCCTTCGTGGATATCAAGTGAAGAAAAATGAAGTGACAACAGTAGCATTTCACACGAGGAGAGAGCTACAAGGATGAGTTCCGTGGGCACTCGGTGGTAGGTCAACAGAGAGTTTTGCAGGAAAGCGATGAGGGACACGTATCAACATCGCCATCTGCTACAAGGCGTCATCCTCGCCGTGTTTCCTACAAGTATAACGCACCACCGCTGTTCCGGGCTGCAAGCGCTGTTCCGGGCTGCAAGACACGGATAGCCACAAAGGAGTATGGCGAAGTGATTCCCATGGGAATAACTGGCTGTTGTATCGAGCAAAACATGATGATAATGACTACTGCTGTATCGAGGAAAACGTGACGATAGGTACGGGCTAAAATAGATGCTCATTTCTCCAGGGTCATTCCTCGTCCAAGGTTGGTGGGCACGTTCAGTAGACGCATGTAAGAAATCATGTTTCCGGTCGCACCGCCTGCCGAAGTTTGGCCAAGCCTCGTGAGGGAGAAAGAAGAAGAGCAAATAAAACTCTGTGCTACACAGAGCCCCAAATACGATGGATTCAAGAGGGGTCGCACACGTTACTTGTGAATGTCGCATTGGGGAGAGAGGGGGGGGGCAATGGTGTGATCGACGTAGGTGGTGTTGATGTTGCGGTTTCTCACGGTCACATGACTACTTGCTACCGTACCGTGTAGATCATGTACCATGGTAAAGAAGTACAGAGGTCGGTTCAGAGGGAGGGGTGCCTTCTTTGCGGTTGATCAGCACAAACATGCATGGACGACGCCCCGGACACCAATTTTCAACCTTGCACACATGGTTCACATCCTCTTGCTTGCGAGCATTACGCACCTTAGGGCCAAGAGGTTCTCTCTCGTGAATCCTGGCAGTACACCGAAGTTGTAAGCCCTGTTCTTGAGAGTGCACTTCTCGTTGTCTATGCGAAACCCTCCCAATGTGATATCCAGCTTCACACCGCCGGCCTGCCTGTAGATATTGGTGGGGATCACGACCAAATCCCCGTTTTCCAGCCTCATCAGTCGCTTTCTCTTGGGGGCTGCCACTGGCTTTGTGGTTGCTGCGATCGGCAGCGTCGTGTGGGAGATGCCAGCGGCTGCAGCGGCGGCACTGAACACAGACGCAGCTACGACGGTTGGAGTACCATTGCTGGCAGCCCCCTTGACTTCCCGCGATGAATTAGCACCTCCAATCAACGATAGTAGCGGTGATTCTCGCACCTCAGCCGGTGCTGGCAAAGGTCCGGCGGCTGCCGAAGCTTCGACTGCCGCAACGGCTGCTGCTGTAAGGGTTGCAATATCGGAAGGCCCCCGACTTGCACCTTGCCCCGCATCCATATCTCCGGAGAACGTGGAGAAAGAAGACGCAACACACGCCGACCGGGATGGGTAAGACACCGACCGTTGGTCGTCGATAGGAAGGGATGATGGCGTGCTGATGCGCTGTGAGGATAAGAGAGAGACAACCACACAGGCAGAGGGGTAGACGGGCACTGCCTGCGCCCACAGCAGAGAGAGTAGAGAGGAACGAAATGTCGGGGCATCAGTAGACTGGGACAACCGAAGGGTAGGTGTATTGATCCGCATGCTACACGTATACATACTGAGCCCCTTTGGCCGATTGACCTGCCCTGCCTGTGCTGCAGCAGCCCCGCCCTGCCACACCTCCTGTCCTTTGCTCTCCTTCCCCCGTTCTTGTTCTTTCCCTCTATATACGAGGGCCAGGGGCAATGTCTCGTGCCTGGCCGGCCAGCGGGTCGGTGCTGCTGCGACGGGTGCCCAGGTGAAGCCTTACCGCCGTAAACGGATCCAAGGAGAAAAAGATATAGAGATACACGACCAGATATCCAGAGAGGATTGCCCCGCGACAGCAGTATTGTATCGACTTGTCGTTGGTTCGTGAAAATGATGCAAAGTACCGTAGTATCACAGAAGAAGGACTGCCCACTCTCGGAGTTTAGTTGGGGTTGACGGCGGGATATACCTTTACCTGTGTGAAGGAAAACACGATGCGGTGCCTCTCTGTTCGACCCATCATAGCGGGGCGGTGGTCGGTGCCGTCCAAACAGCGTTGTGTGTAATTTTGTCTTGCCAACCTGCAACACACACTGCTTGTCAATTGTTGCACTCTGTTTAACCCAGGTGGTTGTCGCCAGCTGCTTTGTTCATCATTTCGTTCGGTCTTCACCACGAAACGCTTTTGGGCGGGTTTGTGTGGGACGATCGACCTGCGGTGGTGAGAGAAAGAAGCAGCTGCTACAGTAGTAGTTTCCGCGTCATTTAACGAAGTGCAGTCTTCTGATCCAAATCAGAAATCATGTATATTCATTTCCTACCGGTACAGAGTGCCTACACCACACACATACAGTTATGCCCCGGTTGCACTTTGAGGCCGTGCGTGTTGGCGGTACTATACATTGCCCCGTAGCTTATACACGATGCCGCCATCATGCGCCACAACCATCAAACGCATGGTGCAATGTGGTACATCTTGCTACAAGTCACATCGCCTTTGCCCCCCGAACTACGCGGTATAGGGCAGACCGCATGTCGGTGTTCTTGGTCATCATCAGCCATAAGACACACTCAAAAGAGCACAATTGACGTTCTTGAGATAGGCCTTTGTGTCTCGATGTTTTCAATCAGTTTCACGGTTGTCACCACCACAAACGGCTGTTGGCTCTTACACTACCCTTCGGCAACGAGGTTCACCTGCATATGAATATGTGCGTCATACGATGATTTTGCTCTTCGTTCCTAACAAGGTGGGAAACCAGGATGTGTGGGCCGGATCATCATGGGGAGACATTTGGCGCCACGACTTCTGGGGTCAGCAGATAGCCCATGCTGAGAGCCATAAAAGTTTTCGGCCGCTTACCACCGTCACGTTCAAGTACGTGCTGATATGTGGTGATATCGTGTCACGTTCAAGTATGTGGTGAAACGGTGATTTTCGTAAGCTTTCGCAAAGTTTCTCGGGCTTGAGCTCCGCTCACTGTTAGTCATGTGTTTCTCGTCACGGCACAGTTGTTTGAAGCGGCCCGTTTTCGTTGGTAACCCTTGTGTCGTACGTGTGTGCTCTCACAGCCTTCCTCGGACAAAGCATCCCTGGTACAATAGGAGATAAAACCCTCACTATTCACGCACTACACACAACTTCACCCGTGCTTTACTTCGTCCACCTTTGGACAGAATATGTTGCTCGCAAGCCATGAGAGCTACTGCTATGACGCAACGGTTGCTCAGTTGCTCAGTTGTGTGTATGTCGTAGCAGTCAAGAGGGGGACGCATATTGCGACAGCACTCCTAGATCTGTTCCCCTTCGGGAGGGCCACCAGCACCCATCAAAGACCGCACCTGTGTCGCCTCCAGGTTGAACAATTTTCTTGCTCAAAAGATATCCCGAGAGCAACAAGACAGCACTACTACTTTCAGCGATCATCACCCGAATGATGAAAACGTCAACTCGATGACAACGGCGGAGTTTGTGGAGAAGAAGGAAGATTTCGCCAGAGGAGCCGGCCCAGAGCGCCCCGATGCCGTCGGCTTCCATCTGTTCAACGTCATCGTACACGCGGCTACCTGTTCTTCCTCGGTTTGGCTCTTCCGTACCATTTTTGAAGGCAAGATCAGTGACACTACCTAGTGCCTGTAGAATGTTTTAAGATTGAGGCATCCTGTTTCGCACCTGGCCGAAAACTAGCTTACCCTCGCCCTTTCTTAAAGAAAACGCTCTTAGTGTTCGTGAACACTTTCATGAGAACGGTGTGCTTCCTGTCTTGTGTGCCCTTGTTCCTGTCATCACCATCGCAGGGGAAGAATTGCCGGCGGTAGCGGCATCGCTCTTGTTCACCGTTCATCCGGTGCACGTCGAGGTGGGAGCTGTAGCACGTACCCTATGAATGTGGTTGGCGTAGGTTGACGGGTTCCTCGATCGATGTATGATGCGCAGATTCCCGCATGAGGGAAAATACACTGAAGAGTTACGATAGCAGCTGGTTCCGGTGAACGTGTAGAAAAACATTTGCTTCCATTCTACTCGAGAACGTTGTTCACGCTCGAACCCTCCCGAACACATTGCGTATGATTCAACGTGCCAAACTGAAAAAAGGCGGTGGCCCCGATCGTCGGAAGGGCCGATCTTCTGTGCGGCTTCCTCTCAGTAATAGCTCTGTCTTTGGCTATCGAGGGAGCTTCCTCTAGGAAACAAAGGCAAAGCAGAAACATTGGGCTTAAATCTCCGGACCGTGGTGTGTTGGAAGACCCCCAACAAGAGCAGAGCAGTCGCCGCCCACCCCGCTACTTCGGCAGCGGCAGCAACAGCAGCAGCAGCAGCAGCAGCAGCAGTCCCGTGGAGATTGACGAGAGTTTTAGGGACCTTGGATTGGCACCAACTATCCGCGATGGCGAACAGGATTTCGTACAACTCAAATCGAAACCAGGGGAGAGCGTTGTGCTCACAGCGGGACAGTCTCGGCAAGGCGAGACCACCGAGGCAACGGCGACAAAAGGGGTCCCACACACGGGCACTCAAGGGCTTGCTACGTCGCTCTCGACGACTGGACCGTCGCCGACCTCCTCTGCCGCCGCTGGAGGCGAGAAACCGATTGGGTCTACGACTGAAGAAGCAACGTATGTCACGGCGGCTTGCACGGATGTTGGAATGGCGGCGGACACCGGCACCCTTACGACAGTCGCGGTCGATACCAGTGACAACGAAGGAGAGACTTTTGTGACCCCGGCCTTACACTGCGAAAGCTCCGTCGCCAAAACACAAGAACCAGTGCAAAATCTGCTATCTGGCAACAACGATTCGTCCAGCCTCAATGATACCCCCGGCGACGACGCTGGGCGCACTGTCGCCGCTGAAGCATCCGTCGAAAGCAGCAACGACGCTACGTCAGAAGCTAGGGGCAGTGTTGTTACGATGGAAACGATGAAACCACCAGCAACAGCTCTAGAAGCACCTCTTACATACGTTTCCAGCAAAGGATACAATGACGAAGGGGAGGCTACTGCTGTGCACGGGCGGGCATTGGTAATGGCGGGAAGCGCTTCTTGTCCCCCGTTCCCTATGGGCTTTAATCTTGCCATGACCTCGAATATGGTCCCGGGGAAAGGAGCTCCCTCGATGCATAATAGAGCTGCTATCGTCATGAAGGAGAAAGACAGCGGGCCTGGAGTGACGAGGTATTGTGCGGCGCTTCTTTTCGCCGCCAGTGCAACGCTGTGCAAGGAGGTAGGCATCACGGTGTTCGGGCTCATGGCCGGAGGGGAGGTTGTGCGCTTCTTCGAAGAGCGCGAGTGGCGGCAGCGAAAGCGGAAGCTGTGGCAACGTCGGCGATCGGGGGTCATATCAACAGCGAGAAGTCGTGGGATTTGGCGGAGACAAGCCTTACGGGAATACTGGCGCTGCCGGTTCATGATGCGGGTACCGGCGGCTGCGGCGGCGAGAGTCGTATCAGCGACAATCTTTGCCGTGTTGCTGGTGTATCTACACGTACGATTGCACGAGGGGGCGCGAGTTCGAGAGTGGGGGGTTCTAGAGAACGACATTTCAATATTGCCAAGGTGGGTGCGCTCAGTCGTCGCTTATGCCCCCCTTCACGACCTCTAAGCGTTTTCGCCTACATATGCAATCCCGCTGAGCTAGCCTCGATCGTCGCGTCATACGCCCTGTTGTCCGTCGCGAAACGTGAGCTGCTTATAGTGACCCCACGGCCGCCGGTTATTGCGTCATTAAATGCTACTGTCCTACATGACTCAGTCGCACGGAGAGAGCGCTGTCGTACGCTTTCACGCACGCCGTTTACGCCTCAAAGCTCCTGTGGCCGACCCACCTGTGCTACGACTGGGGTTTCAGGTGCGAGGAACCCTACTGCCCTTGAAAGAAACGCCCCTCATGCTTCTGTTAGGCACACACCACTTGAATCTACATAGTTCCTCTTCTATTTGGGGTCCTCACGGACATGCATGGTCTGCTATGCCACGGAATACTAGGAGGGTGGGGCACAGGCATGCTATGCGAGAAGGGGGAAAAGTGGCAAAAAAGATAGCATGTGAGTTGAGACACAGAACCTCCTGCCCGGCCCACTCTCGCGATTGATTGATCTGCCGGTCAAAGCATGTGTCACGTTGTGTTCTCATACCTTACCCTGTCCTCTCCCCTACCCCGTTGCCGCTGCTCGATCGAACAACCAACCGAAACACCAGCTGTATCCCCCACGTCACGTCGTTGGCCGACTCGGCTAACCTCGCTTCGCTCGCGCTGTACTCTTCGATCCTGGCTGCTGTGGTCTTCGCCGTGGCTCGCTGCGACACAGCAGTCATGTGGGGAATGGCCTTAATCGTGGTGCCCTTCTTGCCGGCCTCGAATGTTCTGTTCCCCGTCGGCGCAGTGGTTGCGGAGCGGGTACGTACGTGGGAAAGGACCCGGTGGGAACGGGAGAGGGGGGAAACCCATTCGGTGCTTATCTTGGTCTTGAGGCCGCCAACCACGCCTTACTCATACAGTCATTTTCATCGGTTTAGTCACCCTTCGAAAACAGCCGGTCATGTTTCAAAAACAATTTCCGAGGAGCAAGGTTTGGGGGGTCGTATCGTGCGCGATACTCTTTACTTCAGCAGGAGGTTTCTCGCTCAGATCGTATCGAGACCCGTCTCTTGCTTGTGTTCTCAAGTGCTACTACCCCCCGCCTTGCCGTTTCTCGCCGTTCACACAGCTTCTGTATCTGCCAAGCCTGGGCGCCTGTGTTCTCGCCAGTTGCACCCTGCGTTCCCGCGACTGGACAAAATCATCACACGGAGAAACTGCTGTACCTGGCAACGAGAAATATAGTGTCAAATACACGGAAAATTCGAACTCGAACCGAGGAAATGGTTCAACCTTCTCCTCCGAGGGCGGCGGAGAGGACAAGGAGACCAATCGACCCTTGTGTTCGCCCTCTTGTAGTGGAACAAGCACATCGAATTCGTTCGGACCGCCTAAAAACGAAAACGGAAGCCAGCAGGATCGGTCGATGATTTTCGGGCAGCCTGCAGTCCTTCCCTCCTCGCCGCGACCTTTGGCAGCAAGGGCACCTGCGTGTAGCAGCAGCAGCGCACTCCTTCCTGACCCAGGTGTAAGAGAGGAGAAGCAAAGCGTTCTACCCCCGCGGCGGGCGCTCTCTATCAGAGGTACGGTCCTACTGCCCGTAAGACGCACCGCCGTGATGGTTTTGTTACTGGCCTGGACGACGTACTTTGGCGCGGGGACGCTGCGGCGGTGCAAGGACTGGAGATCCGAGAGAACTCTGTTCGAATCGGCCTTTAAAGTGTGCCCCGATGGCATCAAGACACTCAACAACCTCGCCGTGGGCATGCTCAACGAGAAAGAGGCCGGCCGCGCTGAGGAGCTTCTCCGGAGGGCCGTCGAGGTTGGTCCTAGCCGTAGAGCAAGCAGAATAGGGTCGTCAAGAGGTGGTCAATGAAGCAAGGTTTCGCCCATGCGTCAGACTTGGACGAACAAGAGGCGCAAGTCTAGACTACCTCAGCCCCCCCACCTCCTCGACTTTGGTTTCGAAAAAAACATATTGCGCCCATTGAAGGGAGCCATTTGAGACGGTTACAGCTCAACCCGTTGATCTACCGTTTACATTCAGCTCCGGAAGGCAATCCTTGCAAGACTCTTATGTGTCGTGCGGTTGGTGGTAGTTGAGAAGTACGACCCCGCCCTCCCCTGAGGGTAGGTGTCGGTTGGCAACGAAGTTGAATAACAAGCCTCAGTTCACTCTACGTAAACGTCGGACATCAAGTAGTCGTTAGTTACGTGCGTTGTGTGTGTTCTTTGTGGCAACCATGAATGGCGGTCTAGTTAGATCATATTTGTGTGGGATAAAGAACCTTAAGCTCACACAACGGAGATGATTGTACCGCGTATGTAGTCTATGTAGTGTACAGGTGGTCACAGATCCACGCGGCGGCAAAATAGTATACCCATGACGAGACAAAAAAGTTGAATTCATTCGAGGTTGTCATATTGGCAAGGAAATAGGCACACGATGTCGAACGCCTTTCACAGGATGCAGCTTATCGCTTATGCGACTCGCCGAATATCTCACGGCGTTTTGCGCTTTGGTGCGAAGAGTTAGCCTGCCTCGGTACAAATTCGGCGTGCTCCATCATGGTTGGATTGGGGGTGCGAGGTAAATTGTCTTACGGCTTCAGCACATATGCTCACGTGTACCCACCCTTCCCTCGCCATCGCAATGCCCAAAAAGCTGCACCCAGACTTTGGGTTTGCACAGTTCAACCTCGGGGTTAGTCTAATGATACAACGGGACCATCTCGGCGCAGTGTCTGCCTTGGAACGAAGCCTGAGGCTTGAGCCCTCGAACACCAAGGTCATGGTCTACCTTGGACAGGCAAGCACACCGTCGAGAGAACTGTCATGATGCGCCCAGTTACACGATTGCCCAATCGCTACTAAGTCATGGGCTTGAATGTACAACTGTACACCACGCACGGGTTCAATTCGCCATGTGTTTCGAGCGATAGGAGCATGTGGCAGTACTCCTTCAATGTCCACTGCGTACTGAGACCAGCGAGTAAGGTGGGCAACGCACATGCATACTTATTGCATTGTAAAGAGAGTCGTTTAACACACTGTATCGGTCGTCGTGATCCACCTGGGCCAGAGGCAACTACGGGAAGAACTTGTGACTATTTCATTTTGCGCTCATCCTGATTGTTGTGCAGCAATTCCTGTTGCTACGTGCTGTGGGGTGGATCTCCAAGAAGCACGTTGTTACCACTCCCTCGTTCTCGTTCTGCAAAGGCACGGTAAACCTCAAAGAACCGTAACCGACCCAAAATGAAGCTTTCCGCCACACCATCGCCACCACCATTATTATTTATTTTCTGATCCGAGATATCGGAGATCCGTATGCTGTCGAGTACACAAAACACACATGAAAGCACATCTTCGAAGACATTTTTCGGTCGACGCGTTTTTCCTCCGTTGTCCGGTCAGTGCAGGTGTACCTGGAGCTAACCTTGAAGCGGTTAGAACCCTTGCCCCAGAGAGACCACGGAAACGGCGTTGACGCTGGATTCGACGACACACAACACCACGACGGTGGAGCCATTGCGGGTGACGGCCAAACGGATGCCAGCAACGACATGCGCTCATCATCAGCTGAGTCGCTCTTATCGAGCGCGGAGTTGAACACCGACCGGGCGTTGGCGGCGGGAACGGGGCTGCCTCTCGCCAGGCTCGTTAAGGGGCAGGCACTAGCCCTCAGGGGTCAGCATCAGGTGCCGTTATTTTTCCCCACGCCAACCTCCAAGTGTTTTCCTACTGCCTGCGACATCAAACCACTCCACAGATTTGAGGGGTTGATTGAAATTTATGTCGTTCCACTTGCCACCTAACCAATCCTTGAAGATCCCTGAGGTTCGGGGTACCTAGCGACGAACATTTTTGCTTTCCCTCGCCCGTCGTGGTGGAATCTTGTGGTTTTGGCGTGTATTTTGCCACGATCCGTGATCCCCTTGGGTACCAGCAAAGCAGCACACCAGGGGATGCAACAATAGTTCCCGACCTCTCGAGCACACCCCCGTACTGTTTGAGACATGTCTCCTCTCGTTCGGCAACATTTTTTCCCGTTCGGTCGATAAAGAGTGCTGCAAAGTTCTTCCAGGAAAGCATCGACATTTCACGGCGTCTACTCTCCGGCCGAAGCGCAGCCAAGGTCCGCAACAACGAAAGCAACAACCCGGTAATCGCGGCAGAGACCATTGAAGTGGCGGACGCCGTTGACCTTGCGAGCACCTACAACCGACTGGGTCTGACTTTGAGAGATTCAGGGGAAGATTTGGTTGCCACCAAGGAGGCATTTTTGGCGGGACTGTCGGTGACACCCGACGACCTCGCTCTCCTCGTCAACGGGGGAGTGGCGCACCAGGTACGAGCAAGCTGTCGTGCACACCGCTCTTCTTGCTGATGACATCATTGTTTCCCGCTAAGTGGATTATCACTCCTCCAGCAAGTTAAAGAAACAGGCGCTTCCGATATACTTGTCTGTTTCGCGAACAGACTCAGTGGTCTCATCATAAGAGACACCGGAACACGTCATCGCTGTATTGGCTGATGTAGCTACAGCACATCACAATTGTTCTTCTATGGCTTGTCTACCTTGTAATGAGCGTCTCTTCTTACAATCCCACCCCCCACCCGTTTGATGGGAAGCATTATGACAAAAAAAATGACGGTGTTTTCTCGGCCACAAATGAAACATTAAATGTATGCCAACTCACACAACCTGCCCCCCTGCAGTCAACGGAAAGCAAAATCGTCGGTACCTTGGATATATGAGTGCCAACGCCTTTCCTCACGTAAGGTTGACAGTCATATCAGCGACCCTCTCATGCGTGTAACCAAATGCGTATGCGCCCACCCTGTATGGTGTCACGTGGCATTCCGTTGAGGGCTGTGAACATGATGCGAAGGGGTGGAGAACCCACACTCGGCACCAAGGGGGGACCTTAGTATCAAGAGCCAGCAACATGGTAGCCTCAGGACCGGAAGTGTCGGACCCATTCAAAGTGACGACCAGTGTGTGAAACGAAAGACGCACAGTGCCCTGAATCCGCCTCGCAAATAGTTTCTTGCAACACCTCGTGCCGACTCGTGCTTGATGGGTGAGCAACCGTTCTGCTCTTTCCCGGGTAAGTGGGGACGCGTAGATCTGCCCCTGATAGGTACAACCATGCCTGATGCTGAGTACACCCCTTCACTCCCAACACAAACTCGGTCCATTGCTCCCCTCAATCAACAAAAGACGGCAGGTGATATCCCTGGCGCTAAAGCCCTTTTCCATCGAGCCCTCTCCCTGCAACCAAACTCGCCGGAGTTGCTAAACAACCTAGGCTGGCTGGAGGAACAGACCGGCGGCGGGTCGAAATTGTCGCTAGAGACCGCGGCCGGGTTGTACGAGAGAGCTATAAGGTTGTTGGATGAGAGATCCCCCGTGCTCGGGCGCGTGGAAGCAAATCTTAGCAGCGTTCAGAATAGGCTGCTGCTGAAGGAAGTTGAAGATTGGCCTCCAGCAACGGCAAAGATAGACGAGAGGTTGGAGGACCCATACTACTTTGTAAACCGACAGTAACTAGCTGATAGGAGAGAGGAGTATACCAAGAAGGGCGCGGTGTAGTGTGGTACGCTACCCGATGGGAGGGTAAGCGGTGGGAGATATAGAACGATCCGATGGGCTTTCTCCAAGTGCAGTTTTGGAGGGGGTCTGGGCGCTTGGAGATGGTTTCAGCGGTTTTGGGTAGCCGCGGTTCAGGAGTTGTTGTCGGTACATTCAGAAACACCAGATACTTTTGGGTCAACAGGAATGGAGACACGTGCACACAAGACAGACCACAACTGTTGGTTTCCATAATTTTCACCACTACAGCAGTTAGCGCCTGCACTCAACTTGGCAAGTAAGAATTGAGCTTCGAAAAATTCAAAATCGAATAACTTGAGCCTTTCGTGAGCCCGGTTAACCCTACGCTACAGCGGCCATTTGTAGCATAACCCTAGGAACTAAGAACCCCAGCCTCGGCAAAACCACTGCAGTTGCGGCATGCGAATAAGAAACGCCAACTCGGGATCGAGGCTCAATTTCTTGTGACGTCGAGCTGAGGCCAATATATAGAGTTTAGTGTAGGACCCACGGCTGGTAGATGGTTTTCTTAATTTTGGTTTCGCGAAAGGCCTAATCTCATTTTCCTAGAGAGTCATGCAACGGTAAGGGTTCACGTTTTGGCGTGAATCCCTTCTGAGTTCGCTAACTGCTACATGGTCAGCCATGACAGATGCACGACGGAAATGCCTAAATACGTTTTTCTTACTTGCGGCCCAAAAGTGCCGTAGAGGTTCTTTGGTGCGGGCCGCTAACTGTACGCGGGCGATCTACTCCTGTAGTTTCTCCCTCCCTCCTGTACTCCTGTACAGCAGTGCAGACAGCACGAGAGCTCATCCGTCGTTGCTCATTCTCGATCCCACATGGAGGGAGAATACGTGTGGCGGCTACATACCAAGGACCAAGAGCTCGTCAGGGCACCACCAACAAGCAAGGCAATACCCTACTATTTTCCCCAACACCAGATCAAAAGAAAAAACAAAATGTACTGAACAAACTCAAAATAAGCCCAGTTCCCAGCCGGTTTCCCTCCACTCACTGTAAAGACTCCAAGCACATCCCTTTCGACTGGGTTTATATCTCGAACGAGATATTTTTTCTGTGAGATTATGTCTACTTTCTAAAAATTACTAGGAAAAATAGATACACACACAGAAAGACTACCCGTTCGAGATATACCCACATTCGAACGGGATGTGGTGGAGGCTTTTCAGTGAGTGGAGGAAAACCGGCTGGGTACTGGATTATTTCGAGTCTATTCAAGTCAATACACTGATGATTTATATCAGTGATACCAGCTGGTGCTAAGTACAAAATGTACACGAACAGAAGAGCGGCGGGGATCGTTCGTGGCGTCGCACGCGATTGGCTGGTTTGATTTGGCGGCAATTACGCCGTATCTTGGAGTCGTTTCCCAAGTTTTCAAGCCCCCCTGCACCTGTTAGACAACAAACAGCTCTTCGAACTCTCTGGTTTCTCCTCGAGACAGCTACATCCGGAAGGGATTGTGCTTGACGTGAAGAGGCAAGTATCGTGGGGCAAGATTCTAGACGCTGTAATACATATTTACCTCGCCGCGCTTGTTAAAAAAAAACAAACGTGTCGCTCGCTCTAAACTGCGGGACACAAGTGTCGGGGGGGTGTCGATGTGTTCCTGCACATATAGAGAAGGGGTCAGAGCAGGAAAGGCGCAGCTCTATCCATTGTGTACTGGCCACCGAATTCGAGAGAATAGAGAGGGAGCTGTACATGCGCTGGGTTTAGGGTTGGTGTTTTCGTGTCTCCGCCGTCGGACACATGGCCTCCCATCAAGATTAGCGTAGACTACAGCAGCAGACAACTCTACACACCATTCTGCAACACAAGATGACCACTAACCTGTGTTGTCGATGACTCCGTCATGTGTAAGGTGGAGCTATCACCGTTGATCAAGAGATCGATGCCCTCCTTCAACTTACGTTTGCTCGTTCAAATGGCGTTGTCGTTTGTCAGACAGGGCCATTCTACTCCATTGTCTAGACTGCCCGCACGATCGTTGATTTCAGTGCAGCCGTGTAGACGCGACTTTTATTTGTACAAGGCCAAAATCTCCCCAACGTTTGTCGAGGACGATTCCCTCGTTCCGCATTGGGGTCGGGGTGAGACTTCTGAATTATGTTGAAAGATTAACCCGGGTTCAAACCCCGCCACCCACCAAGAAGAAATGGTGGAATCACCGAAACAAGAGCACCCAACATCCCAGATTTTCGAACTTGTGGTATTTCTGATCACGTGCCGGACGCAGCGCTTTCATTGTCATTAATCGACTACATAGTCACCAGCCGGCGGGCTCCGGATACCCCTAGAAGCCTTGTCCTTGTCTTCGAACAAACAAACACAGACTCCTGGGGCGGGGGTTGCTACGGGGGGGGGGGGGGGGGGGGGGGGCCCCTTGGGAAAAAACTTTTTTAAAAGGGGGGAACTCCCCCCCCTCCCCCGGAGGAAATTTGGCAAGGGCCCGGGGGGGGGGCCGGGGGGGTTTTTGGGGGAAGCCTGCCCCGGAAAACCTAAAGGGGGCAAAAGGGGGAAACCCCGGGGGGGAAAAAAAACCCCCCCCCCCCAAAAACCTTTTTTTTCCCCCAAAAAAAAAAGTTCGTTTCCTTTCCGGGGCAAGGGGGGGATACCCCGGGCTCGGGGT